TAATCTGTATATGAATCTGTTTGAAGTTCCTCAGTGGATACCATCATCCCTGTTGGTGTGACTTCATATCAGGGTTACCATGCTACAGCACATCAAGTTGGCATCAACTTAAATTATATCAGTTTGATGTCTTTTGTGCCATCAGTCTGTTTCTATGTAGACTCTTCATATAGCTTTTAAATATGCTTTTTAACCAAAAGACATACATTTTGTAGAATAAGACATCTTCATACAATAATTTTTAATAAAAATAGAATATAACAGCAGCCAACTAGGACATTTTAAATCTATAATGATTTAATAATATCAAAATTAAAAGAAATGGCATTTGTACCTGTCCAGGGTGTATCCTGCCTTCCGCCCAATGACAGCTGGGATAGGCTCCAGCACCCCACCGCAACCCAGAAGGATAAGCGGTTTAGATGATGTATGTATGTATGTATGTATTTGTACCTTTTAGGAACTTGAATAACAAGAGAAAACACACAGGATAAAACATTGTTTTTCTTGAAGTGGGAAAAGCTTTTAATTAAGGTTGCGCACTGTTTTAGCATACCGTTCACCGTTCCAATTCCAGATTGTCCAGTCTGATTGTGTGATGCGTACTTGCATACAGCTTTTTGATCAGATGCACGGATCCCGTGTAGCAATGGAATTTTGCGGAATTTTTTCCCATAGAGAATGAATGGGGTGACAAATTGCATGCCAATCTACTGTACTTCTGCTTGCCCGAACAACACCGTTTCACATACACTATCTCAGGGCAGGCCCCCAAGAACAAATTCACTGTTGTTTTGACCCGCAATCATCCATTTGTCGTTTTTCTCCATCCCTCGTTTCTCCCTTAGACTCCTATTCATTTTTGCCACCCCACAAAAGCTAATACTTCTTTGCGTTACAGGCACCAAACATCATGTCTTCACTCAGGAAAGGTTCCCAAACTTTAATCCACAGCCACACTGACCCGCACTCCTCTATGTGTTGTTTTTTCATCCCTCGTTCCTCCCATAGAGTCCCATTCATTTTCACCCAAACTGTAACCCTGGTTTTTCCTTTGCCCATCAGACACCAAAATGCATGTACTAACTCAGTGCAGGTCCCCAAGATAGAATCCAAAGTCATACTCACCCGCACTCCTCTATTTGTCATTTTTCATCCCTCGTTCCTCCGATAGAGTCCCATTCCTTTCCGCACAAACTGTAGCCCTGTTTTTTCCTTTGCCCAACAGCCACCAAAATGCATATACTAACTCAGGGCAGGTCCCCAAGTTCCAATCCAAAGTTCATACTAACCTGCACTCCTCTATTTGTCGTTTTTTCATCCCTCGTTCGTCCCATAAAATCCTATTAATTTTCAGGCCCCAACAAAGCCCTAATCTTTTTTTTTCCCTACAGCCACCAAACTACATGTACTCACTCAGGGCAGGTTCCCAGGCTCTAATCCACAGACATACTGACCCACACTCTTCTATGTGTCATTTTTTTCAGCCCTCGTTCCTTCCATAGGTTCCCATTCATTTTAAACAACACAAAGCTAAAACTTGGTAATTCCCTATGAAATACTAAATACACACCCCATGCACCATGGCAACTACCTAGCAGTAATTTAGCAATGGCGTGGGATACCATAGCAATTGCCTAGCAACACTCTAGGTCACCTAGGATATCATAGTAACTACTGCACAACCATTCCACGTTTCCTTCAGGGAATGCACTTTTCTAGTTATTCTTATTTTTCTGATGTTTCTTTGCTGCGTAACTCTTCCCGCAGTTTTCGAGATATCAACACCGTTCCAATTCCAGATTGTCCGGTCTGATTGTGTGATGCGTGCTTGAATACAGCTTTTTGATCAGACGCACGGATTCCCTGTAGAAATGGAATTTTGCGGCATTTTTTTCCCATAGTGAATGAATGGGATGAAAAAATGTATGCCAATCTACGGTACTTCTGCTTGCCCGAACAACACCGTTTCACATACACTATCTCAGGGCAGGCCCCCAAGCATGAATTCACTGTTGTACTGACCCACACTCATCCGTTTGTCGTTTTTTTTCCATCCCTTGTTTCTCCCGTAGAGACCCATTCATTTTCACCCAAACCCAAGCCCTATTATTTATTTGGTGCAACAGACACCAAAATGAATGTACTAACTCAGGGCAGATCCCCAAGCTCTAATCCACATCCATATGAACTAGCACTCCTCTACTTGTCGTTTTTTCATCCCTCGTTCCTCCCATAGAGTCCCATTCATTTTCGTCCAAACACCAGTACTAGTACTATTATTAACTTGGCCCAACAGCCACCAAAATTCAAGTACTCATTCAGGGCAGATCCCCAAGCTTTAATCCACAGCCATAATGACCCCCACTTTTTCATCCCTCATTCCTCCTATTGACTTCCGTAGTTCCATTACTTCAGGAAATGCACTTTTCTAGTTTATAAATGAAAACGTACACTTTTGCCATCAGTATATTTACAGTACTGTGCAAAAGTACCATCCTTTATTTTTAATTTCCAGTCAAATGGCCATTAAGTACAAGTGCTTAATTTCCCAGTATCAGGAAAAAAAACAGATAACACATATTTAACAGTACATTACACAGAAGCCTAAACAACAAAATATAATATTTTTAATATTTAGTATGTCCTCTATGAAAGTTTCCATTTAGTGAAGACTGGTTTTCAGTTTTTTAAAGAAATCTGCAGGTATATTTTTCAATGCTTCTTCTAAACTTATCCCAATTACATATTTAGACTCATCAGTCCATTAAACCTTACTCCATAACTCAAATATCCAGTTACTGTGTTCTAGTGCAAACTTTTTCTTTTTGTCTATTTCCTTTTCTCAGTACCAGCTTCTTGACAGCTGTACATCTTTTCAAATCCATGGCGTTGACTGGAAGGACGGACAGAAACACGTGTAGATTTTTGTTTCAGATCTGAAGCAAGAGTGGAGCTTGATTTTCTTCTCTCTCTTAAAGATGAAAACTTTACGTACTGTTTATCTGATGGTAACAGTTTTGGTGGTTTACCAGACCCCTTATTATGCACGTGGATTATTTGATATCTAACATCCTCTAAGATTTATTATCCTTGAAAATGCATATGGTTTTTACTGGATATGAAATAAACAAAAGGGTGCTTTCTGATGTTTATCAAGATATCATCTAAACTATTTTAACATCAAAATATAGGCTTTTTGTAACTTACACATTGTCTACAACGACTTGCAACTTAAAGTACCTTGCACAGGAAAACAGTGTTCATCAGTGTCTAGCTGGACTTAAATGATCACTCTAGGTGTTGCTTCAGCACTCTAGGTGTCAATTCAAAAACGGACACTTCGCTGTGTAGCCATTGTTGAACATCTGACAGACTAGGCTTGGAAGTAAGAGTGCTGAATTATCCAGTGTTTCTGTGTGTGAATAGAGGCTGACTGCTCTATTCTTTTAGTGATTAGCATTTAAACAAAAGCGGACTCGTGGTAAGTCACTCTCATTGAATCAAAGGACGGGCTCCTCTGTTACCAGGGTGCTACATAAATGACAGTTAGACTCCTGATTTCAACCAATAGACTTGTGTAAAGTGAAGTGTTCCTTTATAATTGGCCGCCGGGGCTCTTTGATCTCGCCGCCTCTGTTACGGTGAGAGAATCCCCAAAGGCCGTCACGCCCTACGTAAGCTATTTAATGGGCCAAACTCTTCATTAAGCCATCACAAACCAACAATCCAGGCCTAATGATAATGATAAACGAATTATCATTGTGATTTGAAACAGGGAGCGGATCCTGATAAGTGTTTGTGGGCATCGACATTTGCCCTCGAAACCTCCTACGTGATCCTTAAAATGGGTTCATTAGGTCGACACATCAGGCTGAACGATACGAATGTTCTCAACATGTTTACATGTACTGTATGTTCAAAAAACCTGTTCATCAACACTGGAAAATGTCGTGATGAAGCTTTAACACAAGGTTGCAATCTTCTTCCCAAGCAAATGTTAAAGTCGATCTGCACTATACAGCAAAAAGGGAATCTAATTTCATGTTGGGGGAAAATGCCCAGTTTTCTCTACACTATAAAGAGGTAACCGTTATTTGGATTGGCGTGCGATGAAAACTCGGTTTATTCAGGACGTGTGTAGAAATGAAGGGTACCAAAACAAGTAGACTGACTAAAATGGGTAGAACTGGTAGATATACGCCCTGCGATGGACTGGCGACCTGTCCAGGGTGTATCCTGCCTTCCGCCCAATGACAGCTGGGATAGGCTCCAGCACCCCACCGCGACCCAGAAGGATAAGCGGTTTAGATGATGTATGTATGTATGTATGTATGGTAGATGTACTGCCCGAGTGTCGTTCTTATCTGCAACATTTTTTCCTTTCTTGTTTCATATTTTCATGTTTTTCCACTTCAGAAAGTCTTATAATGTGAATCAGATGCATAATGTGAATAATCTGAATCAGATTCATAATGTGAATTATGTGAATAATAATAATAATAATAATAATAATAATAATAATAAAAATAAAAATAGTAGTAGTAGTAGTAGTAGTAGTATTCGCCCTTCGCATTGTTCTCTTCAAATAATTCAGGTTATTTTCAGTGTTGCACTGTCGTGTGTTTACGATTTTCTCATGCACCCTTATTGTATCATTGTTATACTTTTTTCTTCCACAGCAGAAAAAGCGAGTGTGTCACAAGAAGTTTGAGTCTCACTCCATAAAATCATGCGGATTAGGAAACAGGCATTTCAAGGCCAATAAAAACTACCACATCAAATAAAACATCGTGGATCAAAGGAGCCAAAGCATGAGCGCTTCTTTTTTTCCTCTCTTTTTTTTCCAATAAATGAAAAGGGTTGAAAGACGTGTCGTTTGGCTCCGCCCCCGAGGTCTGCCCTCCGCTCCGATTGGCCCTGGCGAAAGAGAAGGGGGGCAAATTTAAATAAAACCCGGGGCTTAAGACACACGCACAGGTATTCAAGAGAGAGGGAAACAGAGAGATCGTATCCTGCAGCACAGCCTCACGCAGTTATACAGTGGACGCAGGACTACTTAAATAACTTGTAGTGTTTTCTAGAGCCCAGCTCTAGAAAGCAACAAGCCTGTTTACCGACGACCCTGTGCTCACTGTGGTGGTGTTTTAGTTCGACTGAGAAAAGTCACCTGTCCCACTGAGTACTGTGAGGAACGCCAGCAGCTCGCGCTCCCTCCTCAGCCCGCTTTCCACAGCAGCTCATACAGACGTGTAACTCGCCTGAAGGAGATGTGCAACAAGCGTCAGCAGGAGAGGCTAACAGTAATCGGTCTTGTCCACTCGGCGCTGGTGCTGGGGCTTCTTCAGTCCGGAGCTCTGGGTGCCCGTAGGCTCCGGGGAGGCCGCAGCGAGCGGAGAGCTTCCCTGCTGCCCTCATCCCCCCATCGCCAGCGCGGCGACACTACCACAACCGAGAGCTTCGCGCTGGACTTCACGGCCGTCGAAGACAACATGGACAGTTTCATGACTCAGGTGAAAAATCTGGCGCAGTCCCTGTACCCGTGCTCCGCTCAGAAGCTCGACAATGACATGAAGTTGCATTTTCTGGAAAATACGTCAGTCACCTGCAACGACGGCACACCTGCTGGGTAAGTGTGTGTTTGCTCTTCACAAGTGCCCGCACGCAGACGAAAATGGCAGGCGGTGTTACCGAAAGTCGCAGGTGACTTGCGTGGGCACCCCGGCAGCAGGTGGGCGAATTTAGAGCAGTGGTCCCCAACTCTCTGGAATGCAAGTCTTAATTTTAACCTAAACACACTACATCTGATTGGCTGTCTTCAGAAGTCCCTGATTTTTCTGATCCAGAAGGATGAGTGACCACTGAGTTAGGGATTAAGCACGTGGTCCTGAGAGACATGGACGGATAGAGATTCTATCCCATAAAGTACTTTGCTGAGTTCTGCAGTGCACGTATTTATTAAAAAAACGCCTAAATTCAAACGGAATAGCCTTCAAATCAAATAGATTTACGAAAATGTAATGATTATCCGCTCATGTACGCCGTGTTCTGTATTGTGTAGTGTACCAGACGTTGCAAACGTCTTTACATTTCCAGCTTCCACTAACTCTAGTTGCGTTTTCAGAATTATAATTTTGACGTTTAGATGGATATTTAATTATAATAAGAAGTGCACATTCAGATGCGCCTGAAATAATATACCAGCCTCACTTCCTCCCTGATGTTCATTTCATTCATACTCTTTAACATGGCATGATTTCCTTCAGGTAACTTATGTTACACAGTGGCCTGATCATGTTACTGGTTTTCTTGTCTGTACCACGTTTCTGATCATCTTAAGTGACTCTTTGCTACACACTGTTTCTAAGTGGGTTTTCTAATATTGATATTTTCTACATGATCTTTTGTCAAGGTATTCACACACAACATTTTAAATAACTAAAAATTCTTTCCTAATCTAAAAAGCATCCAGTGTCCTTTGCCTTAGGAGTATGCATATCACTGAATGAAAATGTACTGTAAATTCTAACATGTTTGTTTTGTACAAAATGTGTTTTTATTGCTGGTTGTATTGCTGAGCAGCAGTTATTAGCCGTACATGTGTTTAATTACCTCAAGAGTGAACAAAGTAGGTTTTTAAAGATGAACAGTGACTTCTCTGTGGATCCTTTATAATTCCTAGAATGTAAACTTTAATGTTCCATAGAAATGTAGTTCTGTGTACCTTAGAGTATATAGAACTAATCTCTTTATTGTTCTTCATCTCTCTGGTACAGTGACTGTGGCATAGGTAGGACAAGCAGACTGCTACCCATATCTTTTTTTGTGTGTATCTGATGCTTGAGCCAGCAGTTTTACAAAGGTGCATTGTAGAACTATGTACATAATTGGTGGACTTTCAAGGAGGTCTGAATGCTCTCAGATGACACGACATGCTCATACTACTGACTTTTAATGAATGTTCAGTACTGTGCCATGAAACAAGGTAGATGAAAAACAGAGTTATTGATGTGTGAAGAAATAAGTTCTCTCCATAATTTTAAATCCATTAATTATTCACATGAACAGTAAAATACATAATTTACTATAATCTGTGCTTCAGAAACTTTTAATCTTAATCTGTACTAAATATCCTATCATTTATTTACACACTCCCCACCATTATACCATTTATATATTCTCCCCAGTGCGGGTTTGCAGTAGGTACACAATAAATAACACCACAGTTGAAAAACAACACATTTCATGATAATGTGTACCTGCTACAGGTGAAGCCATAAATGCTTATGTCAATTTCCTATTCAAAAACAATCAAGGCTTGTCTGAATACACTAGTTATGAGAATGGAGAACTATTCATAATTTATTTAAAGTAGGTTCTGTCCTTGGAAGCCTATAAGAAAACTAATTAGAAATGAGATCCTTGGACTAGTATTCCTACCTAGAATCCTACCTACACCTGGCTTGTATGCAGAATTTTGCCGCACATTGCCGCTATAGTACAGTTCCTTGTCCATTACATGAAGATAAGCTATTGTGCTGCACTGTTTATATGATGATGTAATTGCAGGACAAGACAGGACAGAGATATTTGTTAGTGTTTGCAATTCGTTTGTGTTGCTGTCCCATCTGAGCCATGCAGATAAACATCTTCATGGAACCTCTGGGTTGCTCTGGGTAGACGTTGCCTTTATAAACTCCTACACAGCCTACAAATTGCCCATATGAACTTCATAAACTGCCATGCACGCAAATAATCTTAATCTTAATCATTACCATAAAAAATATTGCATCTTAGGTTATCATAAAGACATTACATTGTGCAATATTGTGAGCATTCTGGTTCATAGCAGTGCTGGCACCTCCTCGAACGCTTGTTGATGTGGGTAATGAGTTTGTGGGGTCTTGCCTCTTGTCTTTTAGGTACTACCTGAAAGAGTCAAGGGGAAGCAGAAGATGGCTGATCTTTCTAGAAGGCAAGTTTAAATAAAATATCAGCTCTGATTTGTATCTTTGTACCTTGTCATGTTGTCATTATTTTTACAAAACTCATCAAATGCATTTTTATTGTTACAACATGGAGCAGTACTCTATCTAGAGTACTCAGTTTTTCTTTACATACCTGTTGACAAACAGAGTAGTGTGGAAACAGGGACTATATCTACTTGGCTTAGCATTATAGAGAACTAATTTCTTTTATATCATTCCTACAGGATTACAAATGCTGTAATGTCTACATTTTATTCAGATGAGCACAGTAGCCCATTGCCAAAACTATCTTCCAGAGTGCAGTAAATGTATTATCAAATATCTGTTTGAAATATATGTCAAATCAGATCTGTCAGGTGCTGCTATTTTTTTTTAAAGGAATTATATGCTGTTCCCTTGTTATTGTGTGTCCCTATTAAATAGGTTTACACCATAGTGTTTTTGTATTCTGCCTATAAGTGAATTAAATTGTGCGTGCTAATTTGTGTGGGATGGACAGAGGCACACATATTAGCATACCTAATACACACAAAGAGTTGTGTTTTTGTTTATTTTTTTTTTCCTCAGTAAAATTTGTACATGCATGACCTATTCAAACATCCAGATGAGGAGTCTGTCCAAATCAAGCATTTTTCTTTTTTTTAGTGTGATGAGTGTTGAGGCTATGTTGTGTGTCCTCATATTAATCTGCTTTTGTTGAATAAAGCCACATCTAGCTGATTTAGTTACTTATACTACTTAATAAAATAAATGATACATAGATAAGTTTAATGTATATAGCTTCTTTTTCTTCCAACGTTTCTTTACAGAAGTATCATAAACACATCAATATAAACAAAAATCAACAAGATAACACAATAATTGAACATACAAAGAGTGAGAGAGAGAGCACGAGAGAGCACGTGCACTGAAAGAAGAGAGAAGAGTTTTCCATAGTATCATGTTGGCATCAAGTAGAGATGTACCGATCATGAATTTTTAGGGCTAATTCTTTTCTTTACAGCCAAATTGCCCGATACCTTCATTCTTTTTGGCTGATTTTTATTTTACTTTATTTTTTTGTCGGGGTAAATGAACGTATGAAACACATTAGCACATTACCAGTATGTTATAAGTTAAACCTGCAACTAAACATTTATTTGCCCTTCAATGGGCCAACCTTGCATATGTTTTAAAATTTTAAATCAGTTGCCTATTTAAATAAATTGAATCAAATAAAATGCTAGATTGAAAAAAAGCAGCTGGCTGTTTATAAGTATGCTATGAAGTTTTGGTATAGGTGTACCAGCAGCATTGAAATACAGCACAAGGGTACTGACCTGGATGTTGTTATTTATGTCATATAATTGCAACAAAATAAAAACAATAAATTGACCAAATGCCAATTTTGGGATTTGAGCCAAAGTCTGCCCGTTCCAGTTGTGCATCCTTAGTATCAAGCAAAGCACTGCTACTCTTTGTATCAGTATTGAAGTTAAATCATAGAAGAATAAAGTTGTATTATGGCAGCCCTTATTGTCATGCAATAACAAAGCCACTCAACACAGGTCTCTTACACTCTGTAGGTGGGTGGTACTGCTTCAACAAAGAGAACTGTGACAGCAGATATGAGACAATAAGAAGACTCATGAGCTCCTCAAAATGGCCCCAGACCAAGACAGGTTAGATATACAACTTGAATGTTCTGTTTTATAGATCAGCATAAATACCCATAAAGTACTTTTAATCCCATCATGCTTATGTGGTTCCACCAAAGTAAGAATAGCAAGAATTACATGCTTTCACAATGATGCAGTAGGAAGGTTATTCATAACAGATGTGAGGCACAGATGGCATTTTCACTTTTTTCATATTTTCGCATTTTCATCTTTTCTTCTGCAGGCACAGGTATTCTGTCTCCACTACCAGAGGATAACCCTCACTGGTGGAATGCCAACATGGTGTGAGTACTTCAGATTTTCTTGTTTTCTCACATAAAAGTTATGTGGTCAATGATTCAGTTTAATAAATTGCATATGTTGGTGATTACTGATTTGGGGGGAATCTTGCTTTGGGGGGGGGGAATAATTTTGCATATTTTTCTTCAGGTTCATTCCATATTGCTCCAGTGATGTGTGGAGTGGAGCCACCCCTAAAACAGATCAAAGTAAGTAACTTCTGTACTGTATTCTTCTGGGAGATGGCTTGTCAGTTTTCAGTTCTGTTAAGAGTTAAATGGCATTGACATGTTCTGGTTGCATCCTGCTCTTTTTTGTATTCATATTTGTGGTAAGCAGATGAGTATGCTTTCATGGGTTCGCTCATCATAAAGGAAGTGGTGAAAGATCTGCTAAGTAAAGGTCTGGACAACAGCAAGATTCTACTCCTAGCTGGAAGCAGGTTAGTCTGTAGTGTGAATCTTCCTAATAGGGCTGCATGTTATTGACAAAATACTGGTATTGTGTTTATCTTGTTACATATTGCAAAACACCTTGCAGTATGTTAAAACACATTGGTAAAATTAATAATGTGCCCTCAATAACGTGACCACATTGTCCTGCGTTATTTTGATTAAAATTTGTTTTTGTTTTCTGAAGTGCGGGTGGTACTGGAGTGCTGCTAAATGTGGACGCTGTGGCAGAGCTGCTGGAAGAGCTGGGGCACCCCAACATACAGGTGAGGGGTTTATCTGACTCAGGCTGGTTTCTGGACAACAAGCAGTACCTCTGCACAGACTGTGTGGACACAATCAGCTGTGCCCCTACAGAGGCCATCAAGAGGGGAATCAAGTAAGTAAACACTTCTTAACGTTGATATATTACATAAATTTGTATGCCTTAGTTGCCTCCATTGAAGAGTGCTGATCTTGGCACTAATTGTAGGAAGCGTAATTTCTCAGATTAGCACTTTCATTCATAGAAATTTGGTGTCTAAATTAAAAATTACCTAAAGCCCATAAAGGCTTCTACAATTTGTATAGTACTTATCATAATGGGACATAATGGTATGGTACTACAAAGATTGAAACCTTTATTTTTTTTACATTTCTTGGGCAGAAGCAGTTAAAAGGGATTACAGAATTTGAGACATGTCCTAGAGGAAAACTTAAACATTTACAATTGTTATGAAATTGTGTGTGTGTGTGTGTGTGTTGTTGTTGTTGTTGTTTTTTTTGTTTTTTTTTTAATTAAATTTAATCCCGCCAGTGCATATATAGACATCAAGTTTGCACACAAAGCATCTTTTAACTTTGTACTTTATATTATTAATGATAACTGAGTTTCATTTTTACTTAAAAGCCACAGAATGCTCACCTTTGTTCAGCCAGCCTAACGTGGCAAGCTATGTCATTATCAGAATTGTCACTTTCACCCCAGAAAGCGTCATGACAGCCTAATGTCAGGGGAAAAAAAAGTCATCTGACACAGATGTTATGTCAACTTGGCATCAAAGTTGGCTAGGGCAACCTCTATGAAAATGAGTATACATATACTTATGTTTCATATATATCAAAATAGATATTAATGCTAAAAATTATGCTAGCATGGATATAATGCTAAAAACCTGAAAGCCAGCAGTCACTTGAAAAAAGTGGCTGGAAAGCAGCAGGAAGCAATGTGTCTAAATTAAGCACAGAGACATCTGTCTAAAATATGCACATTTTGAGCATTTAGACAAATTGCAACTAATTCAGAACAACGTACTCTGGTCATAATGAAACAAAAACAGAACTCTTGTGCATTAATTCTGCCCATCATGTTTGGGGAAAGAAGAGTTGCACATATGATCTCAAGAACACCATACCCACAGTGAAGTATGGGAGCATCATGATATGGGGCTGCCTTGCTGCAAACGATACTAGGGCATTACAAGTCGTTGAAGGAAACCTGAATGAGACAACATATCAGGATATATTAGAGAATAATGTAATCTCGTTAGCCAAGAACTGAATATGAGGAGAAGATGTTTGTTTTGACAAGACAGCATTCCCAAACTTACAGCCAAAATAAATCAAGTCTGGTTTCAAAAAATAAAAAAAGAAGGTGAAGGTGCTTGCATAGCCGACAGGCTTGAATTCCGTGGAAAATAAATGGAGAATTTTGAAATTGCGAATCCATCAGAGGCCCTCATAACCTTGTGGAATTGAAGATAATTTGCTGAAAGGACTGGGCCAGATTTGAACCATAATACTGGAAAAATCTAATTACTTCATACCGTCAATGTCTCAAAGCTGACAACAAAGTACTAATGTTATTCATTTTTTAATGTCAGAGGTTTTTTTTTTTTTCCCCAATCTTTGTTTATGCTTCTGAATACGTATGGTTTTTTTTAAGTACTAAGTCAAAAGATATTTAGTGCAAATTTGAAGCAGATAAATGCATGGGAAATATATTAACTAACAAAAACAAAAGTGTCTGGATACTTGTTTCCCCTCACTGTATGTCCTGTCTATAAAGGTTATCATGCGTTTACATTATAAATGTATAATCTGAAGTATGATTTTCCCCCAAGGTATTGGGGAGGTGTTGTGCCTGAGCGCTGTAGACACGCGCATGAAGGGAGTGAATGGAACTGTTTCTTTGGTTATCGAGTTTACCCAACAATTAGACGTGAGTCACAAAGCACATGGTTCCGAAGAACAAATGAATTCAACTCATTAAACAGTATAATTCTAAATGTATACCTTGGATCTTTGTGTGGCATGCATTTGCGTCCAGCACGCATCTGTCACATATCCTGTGCTGATTTATTATCAAGGTGTGTGTGTGTGTGTGTGTGTGTGTGTGTGTGTGTGTGTGTGTGTGTGTTTGCTTGTTTGTTTTTTTTTGGTTTTTTTTTCCCCACTATCCCTAGGACCTGTGTTTGTGGTGCAGTGGCTTTTTGATGAGGCCCAGCTGACTGTGGACAACATCCATCTTATGGGTCAGCCTGTCCAGGAGGGACAGTGGCGTTATATACAGAACCTGGGCATAGAGCTTAGAAACACTCTCAAAGATGTCCCGTAAGTACAACGCCTCTTTCAGAACTTTCAGAACCATAGGCAATCAGAGAACACCCTTTCAATTAACAGTTACGTTGTGGAACACGCAAGACATATTTTCTTGTTCTGTCTTTGATTTCCAGAGCTATGTTTGCTCCAGCATGCCTCTCACATGAGGTTATCACGAGAAAGTAAGACATTTTCTTGTATTGTTTTTCTATTATGAGCCATACACCCTTCCTTATGTTCCTTTCTAAGACGCTTCCTTTCTCTTACTATCTGGAAGTGCACATTCTTTGAACAACAGTGCCCTCTTATGTCTGTTGTAGCTACTGGATTGACATACAAGTGAAAGGGACATCTCTTCCAAGAGCTCTGCACTGCTGGGAACGCAGTCTCCATGACAACAGCAAAAACAACAAGGCCCCGCCCAAGGGTTGTCCCATGCACTTGATTGACAACTGCCCATGGCCCCACTGCAACCCAACGTGCCCTACCATCCGAGATCAGGTCACCGGGCAGGAGATGAATGTCATCCAGTTTCTCATGCATATGGGCTTTGACGTGCAGAAGATGGCTCAGCAGCAGGGCATGGACCCCAGCAAGCTTCTGGGCATGCTCAGCAGTGGCAGCTAAACATCATGACAATGGAAGGACTGCCTCCCTGCTTTGGTGGTTCTTCCTGTCTGGCTGTTATTGTACCTCTGAACAGTGACCTCGGACCACCTTAACCTGACCTGTTCCCTAACCTCACCGTGAACCCCTCCCCATCCTTTAGTATAACATTCCAGTTCTCATTGGAGGTCTCCATCCCTTCCTGTCATTAGCACTGACCTTAAATAAAGCTGGACTAATGAGAGCATAAATAGCTGCCACATTCTCTCATCTGTCCCACATATGTACAGCAGCTTATTAGCCTTGAAGGGCAGGGAGACAATAGAGAACCCTCAAATGGATATTTAGGGTGATAGAGCTGTTGTCAAATCCACCTCAATGAAAACCATGGGCTGCTCACTGTTAAACAAATTCCACTCTCATGCAGTACATAGCTGCAGAGGGAACTTTTAACAACACCCAGGGCAAAACAAACGTGTTTCTTGTCTCTTAAAAGAATACTTCACCCAAAAATGCTGTTGGTGCTAATGATCGAAAGTGGCAGGCAGGCAGCATTAGCGTGTTACAAATCTTGCAATTGAAATCAAACAAAACACTTGATACTTCTCAGGGCACATTTACTAAGCACATCCAAAACAAACTTTAACAACTGCAATCATTGATCCGTAGTAGTAGTAGTAGTAGTAGTAGTAGTTTTTTCTTGGCATGGTCTAGGCTAGTGGTGAGCACTTTTGTTTTTAACTAATTTACATTAGCGTATATGATACCAGCTTCATGTTTTTCTTTGTTCATTCATTTGTAGGCATTAACTAGGTAGATCTCCAGCTGCTGGCAGAAGTAATAGCTAGTGAAGACCTAAGAATTGTTTTATAAACAACTTGGCTTTCACCTGACTTCCAATTTGGCCAGTTGACTTTGGAATGTCGAAATTTAGTTCTGAACAAATTAAGCCTGTCTAGCCTGCCATTGGTTACTGTTTATTCACTTTTAGCCACATAAATTTTTTTTTTGGGTGAAGCATTCTTGAAATTAATCTTTTGGTTGTAAAAGTATGACAAATGTAATCCAATTTTACAGATTTGAATTTTTAAAAAACCTTTTTAAACCTATATATTACACATTTTATTAGGTTCATATGTCAGTTGAAAGAAAAGACTACAACATGGTGGTCATGGCTGAGTTGTAGTTTAGCTTTGTAGCATATATGAAGTACAAATAAAAATGCTGAGTTTATAAAATTGCTATAAGGAGTCCTATAAAAGCAGGCAGACACTGATGTGACTCCTAGCAATGCTGATGTTGGATAAGCTTCCTTGTGTATACATAATTGAATTGATTAAAAGTATCCCAGGTCAGCACACTGCAAAGTAAATGCAGCATTTGTTAGTGTACTCTCACAGCAGCTACAATTTGTTACAAGTCTTTAGTAAAGTTTAGATGATGAACTAAAGTTCCTTTGTACGGTCATGACATCTTTTCAGTTGTACACAAAATTGAACCAAACTAGGATGCTAGTGTTTAAGTCCTGTTAGAAAGTGTATACAGTGAAGCTGGCCCAAGTCTCTTTTATACTACTTGCTGCTTCCTCACCATTATGACCAGAAAGAGCTGTACAATAAACATCTTCTCAGTTTTTACAGTTTTTTTTTTTTTGTTTTTTTTTACTCAGGTTGACTTCTATTCACTTTTTGATACACCTGAAAAGAGACCTTTTTTTTATATATGGAGGAAAAAATGAAAAATGAAACTTCTGACCACAGTACTATTGTACTGCTGCAACAGTATGTAAAGTTAAAGGAAATGTTTACCAATTTACCTAGACATTTTAACTTGCCTAAAAGTTATATTTATTACAATCAGACCCAGAGTTAGGTAGAACTAATAGAACATAGATTAGTTTTATATTCACAATAATATTTAGAGTATCCAGAGTGAAACCTTTGTTTATTTCAGCACAATGGTCAACCATTTCTTTTAATTTAACTTTTAATGCAAATGATTTAAATTCTATCAGTGTAATTTTTCTCCCTGTTATTTACAAGAGAGGAAATTTTCAATGTGCTTCCGTAAGCATTTGCTTATGTTTTAGTTGTGGGTTTTTGTTTTGTTTTGTTTTTTTGTTTTTTTCTTAAACATTTTCTCACTTGAGAAATTATTAAATGAGGCACTCTGGACTGTTACAATATTTAATAGAAAGTTTGCTTTTTAATATAAAGTTTGTTTCTTGAAACAGTCTGCAAAAAATCAAGGCAAAACCATTGACAAAGGTATTACTATTTTTTTTTTGCTCTGTAACATATTTTTTTAACAAAGGAACTCAAAGCTACATGGTAATTTACATATTTATTTTGCTATGTAAATCATATTTATAAGTGATATTTTCACAGAGAAGTGATTCTTTGTAAATTGTACATATTTTTCCCATTGTGTTGTCTGCATGTATTTGTATCAAAAGGAACACATTACAGTTATTCCAAAGAATCATTTCGTCTCTTCATTGCTCAGATAGTTTTTTCTGAAAGATCCCAACGGAGAGCTCCCTACATAAAAAGGTCTAACCGTGTAAAATAAATTTGATCTCTTACTCAATTTTTCATAGTCATGTTTTTGTAGTAAATGTCTGAAACTACGTCCCTGCAAGTCCACAAATATGTTGTGTACATTTTTAAGTGTATAGTGTAAGGTGGAAAGTGCGTGTACCAACACTGGGTTAAAAATAGCCTTCATCACCAAGCAATTGTGTTGCTTGGGTTTAGCGCTCCACCCAGTGGGCACAAGCTTTATTCTCTGAAACTGGCACATGGACATTGCATGCACTCCACAAGAATTATCCAAAACCGACAAGCCTGCAATAGAATATGTTCACTCTATAGAGATATTGTGATGCTTCCTAATATGAAACTATGATCATTAAAAACAATCAGCATAAAGGCATCACTTTTCTAAAGTTGAATGAACTTGAAAACACCCATGTGGTCCTCCACCCAACACATTCACATACATAATTACCCCAGAATTTTCAGGGGTTTTTTCCTTTGCTCTACTGAAGCGTAAATGAGGATCTTTTCATCAAGGTCTGTCATTACCTCACACAAAAACATTTCCCTAGGAGATGCACGCACAACTTCCCCATTCTGTGAAACACGACTCCCCACACGGTTGCCTGACACAGACATGTGGACACCCACCCCATTCCGCTGTGGAATATAGGCACCTATTTATAGAGATGGTGTGGCTTATGGCCCTGAGCTCAGCAGAACGGTCATTTGAACAACTTTCCCCAGTGCTCTACTGCTCTTTCAGAGACTAGACGAAAACCCAGTATGTATAACAGTTCTAGAGAGACTACAAAGAAGGAGCGTAATGTCTTCAAACGGCTGGAGTTCCTGATTTGAACCCACTTTGTTTTTTTTTTCTTTTTTTGTGTTCAAACCACCAACGGAACGAAATTTTGTGATCTCCCTAGTTTGGAAAGGCATTTACCAACTTTAGTTTTGGAACTTTGCTGTGGCATTGTTGGGAAAATTCTGGGACCTTCTATTTCTTGAAAGAAACTGCTTTGAGCTGTTGGAGGTGGCATATGTCTCTCCCTAGATGGAACTTTCCATTTTGCTCCAAAGGTAATGTCTGGCTGGCAAATACTGAGCACATTTATTAAGAACAGTACAAAAAAAACTACAACATGATTTAAACAATTTTATATTTGAATATATTGAAATATTGATATACAGCTCATATTGATATACAGCTCAATCACAGCTAAGACATAACCGTACATTGCTGTATTATAAAAATCCTCTTATCTATCTTTATCTAAGATCTTTTTGTAAAATTGCTTTAAGAGGCAGGCATAAGGCAGACAGGAGTTTTCTCTGTAATCTGATCCCACACACACGGCAGTAATTACAATGCATGGTGGGAAAGCACTGAAGGAGATTTGTAATTAAGGGCATCTATAAAAAGATCCAGGCAGAGGGCGAGGTTTGTGGAGCCGGGTGTGGAGGTGCGGTGATACCCAGTCTACAGTCAAGGGTGCTTGGGCCCATCCTGAGTGCAGCACACAGGCCTGCTAATGGATCCCTACGGAGGCCACTACCTGAACCGGGATGCAGTCCTGTCTGGCCTGGGGGCTGCCCGCATGTGCCAGCTGGTGTTAGGTTGCACCACCATGGCTCTGGTGGCCCACAGTGCAGGCTTCAGCGCCACCTATGGTACTTTTTGCATGTTCGTGTGGTGCTTCTGCTTCGCAGTGACATTGATCATCTTCACGCTGGATGTGGCACGGCTTCACGGCTGCATGCCCATCTCTTGGGACAACTTCACCGTGGCCTATGCCATGCTGGCCACACTCATGTACGTCACAGCTTCTGTGGTGTACCCAGTCTACTTTCTCAGCAGTGAGTGTCCATCAGAAGGCTGTGAGGTACGCAACTACCGCATTGCTGTCACAGTCTGCTCCAGCATCTGCTGTTTCACCTATGGGGCTGAAGTCTTCTTGACCAGGGCCAAGCCAGGACATGTTGTAGGGTACATGGCCACCATGTCCGGCCTGCTGAAGGTGGTCCAGGCCTTCATTGCCTGCATCATCTTTGGTGCCCTTGCAAATGACAGCGAGTACAACCGTCACATCCCCACCCAGTACTGTGTGGTTGTCTACAGCCTGTGCTTTGCCGTCACTGTGGTGGTAGTGATCTTAACCGTCTCTGGAAGGACATCGGCGCTGAGGTTTCCCTTCGATCGTTTTGTCATCATCTACACCTTCCTTGCGGTGCTGCTGTACATGAGTGCCGCTGTGGTGTGGCCCGTTTTCAGTTTCGACAAGAAGTACGGCACCCCTGGTCGCCCAGATGACTGCCCCCGTGGGAAGTGCCCTTGGGATAGCAAGCTGGTGGTGGCTGTGTTCACTTCTGCCAACTTGGTGCTGTACTTTACTGATCTGGTGTACTCTCAGAGGATTCGGTTTGTCTCCCAGTCAGCAGCCTAAAATAACCTTTCTTCCAACTGCCAGAACATGTACACATACCTCACTGGAAATTATAAAGAAGCAATTATTGATACAAATAAGACCATTGTGCATTGTGCCATTTCCAGCTTGTTAGCAAACCACCAAAAAAATAAATATATATATATATATTTTTTTTGGTGGTTTGCTAACAAGCTGGAAATGGCACAATTCACAATATATATATATATACACATATATATATATATATGTGTGTGTGTATGTGTATATATATATATATATATATATATATATATATATATATATATATATATATAAATAACAAATGAATTTAGGTACCACAATATTACCTTTTTCTCATATTACCCACCCCATATTTAAAAGGTTTTTATGCACAAAGATAATGAATAAAACAATGGTTCTTAATAACCTCAGCAATTTTTAACAAGGACACACAGATCTCCTGCAAAGTGTTATCTACCGGCTGTTGTGTTGAAGTTATAACCATATCTGCTTCCATTCTGTGATATCTTTATTCTCAAGAAATGCTTTCATTAATAATCGATAATAACACTTTTTAAAGTCACAATCAGGAATTTGTAGAGCCATTTTTGTTTACATCAAATGTTCAGTAAATGAAGGTAAAGCACTTCAAATACAACTGTTTTATCTTATTGTGGGCAGAAGATTTTACACCATTCCTTTTAAGCAATGACTGTCAATTTGACTATTCATGTGTATAATGGTTGGTTATTGCATTTATCCTTTTTTGCCCTTCCTTCAGTGTTTCAGTGTTTTTACTTTGTTGTCCAGAAATTCCAAATTATGGTTTTAAAGGCAGGAAACTTTTAGTTTAGTCTATTTAGATCTGTCTATTTTATTACTATTCAGCAGTGTTAATCATACAAGTTAAAACCTTTTGAATTTATGTCTAAATGTTAAAAATGGTCAACTAGTATTCAGAAAAGCAGTTTGAGTACTTTATTTAAATTAATTGATAAATGGCTGTTTGGTTTTAATTACATCAATTACATAAATGTTATGTCTCCAAAACTATGGCTGACATGCCATATGTTTATTTATGATAGATTTAATGTACACTCTTAAAAAAAGATGGTTCTTCAAGGGTTATTTAGTAAAGAAAATGGTTCTATATAGAACCATGAACACTCAAAGTACGCTTTGCATGATTAAAGGGTTCTATGCATTGTGAAAACATTCATTAGATTGCTGGTTGTATATACCACTAAAAAGCGTTCTGCTATTGTTATAAGCTTGACATCATCACAATAGAAGAACCTTTTTGGTGCTATACAGAACCTCTTTTATGCATCACATTCCCAATCAATCTGAAGAACCCTTTCACAATGTAAAGAACACTTCAATTATGCAAAGAGTTCTTTTAGTGTTCATGGCTCTATATAAAACCATTTTCTTTACTACAAAACCCATGAAGAACCATCTTTTTTTTTTGTGTAGCTTCTATTTCAATGTTTCAGACTTTTCTTTTGTGTAAGTATCCCTTTCTAAATGTGTTCAAATGTATACAACCACTGCAGTGATTAAACAAGATTTCATATTGTACTAATCTTTCAAATCAGTGTGTTCAGGCTCAGTCACTCGGTCACTTTAAGATGAATCAAGACATGCGCATTTCAAATAATTTGTCTTTGATACATGGAGTTCATATGAACACATGGACAATAAAAAGGAATACATTTGGCATATATATGGCAAATATGTTGTTGAATTGATGAAGCAAAACAAGCTAGCTAGCTTTGGAATTGTTTTTCCCTTGCAAGGGAACCTCATTCTCTCCACACGTCACACATCTACATGCATAACTGAAGTTTTTGGGGATACTTTTAAGCCACACTAACTTACATTATGTTTATGAGCTAACAACAGTCTTGTTATCTGTTGGACAATGTTGATGCTGCACCAACACCCCTTCTTTGAGCTCTGCCTTCACCAAAGTTTGGATTGGTTTAGAAATCTTACATGGTTTGTTCGAACTCTTATACGTCTTTGTTTCTATCCACATTTAGCATAAAATTTCTTATGGTTTTCCCCAGATGTTCTAGCTACAAGATTATGTCTGGCCTTATGAGACTACAAGTAATCTAGATTTTCAGGTTGGAAAGCATGAACATGTTATGGTTGTTGTTTAAGAAGTTGTTAGTTGTTTTGGTTGTTGTGATCAGTATACAGTAGTGTGTTATACTGATTAACTGTGTGATTAGACTAGCATTTGCTTCCCCATCTATGCAAGCACACCATGCTCTATCCATGAGAGTCCTTATGCAAGACTCCTAATGCTACATTTGCCTACCACTGTGTTAAATTAAAAGTCGCATTGGATAAGACCCTTTAGCCAAATATAAGATGTCCTGTAAATTTTATGTAAATTTCTCAACATGCTTTTATAGAATATGTTTTGAATAGCACAAAAAACCTGATGTAAAAGCAGGAGTGAAATAACATGTTGTGAACGTGTAATCCATTTTTAAACATCTACCACAGTCAACACTCGCATATAGCCTAGGTGTCTGTATTGTAGAATAAATGCAATCATTTCATCATATAGGTTACATCGAGTGTAGGCATCGGGTGTTATACAAACATGTTGTTACATCACTCCACATTTTTAATCAGATAACAAAACAACTGTTTCATTTTTAGTACCTTAATATATGTGTATAGTACTTCTCCAGTAGAATAATTAGATAACATAAAAAAATATTTTTCACCTTGGTCACCTGAGTGAAGAGATTTTTAAAAAGTGACGTAACTGTCGCCCCGCCAGTAGAGAACAAAATCTAGCACGATGATTGGCTGTTTGCATAGCAATGCTTTCCTGTTATTGGTTCTTCAGCTTGTCAGCTTTGTCGTGTCATCTCGCAAACGCACAACGCCTGACGATGAGCATGACGGTGACACGCGAAACTAAGCAGCAGCTAAAGTGTCCGAAGGATTTTTTTATTTATTTATTTGTTTATTTTTTTTAACAAGAGGTAAGTATGCTTATTTATTCTGTCCTTACTTAACTAGTTTGTGAGTCTGTACTGCAAAATTTCCAACCTGCCTCGACTGCGACCAGGAAATAAGTGTAAATAAACATTAGCATGTGTGCTGAACAACTGTCCATGCACAATATGCGTTATACTCGATATGCTCGCCGTAGCACCGAGTGTCTTTTACAGACTATGCTACGGAGTTTTAGAAGTATTTGTTCTGTTCGGTTCGTATTCAGCTAGGCAGCTCTCAAAATGAGTGTTGGATTTATCGGAGCCGGGCAGTTGGTCCACGCGTTGGTGAAGGGATTCAGTGCTGCAGGTAAGTTACACTCTCTTAATGGCTTCTTCGTCGGTTTATAGAAACAAAACCTGAGCTGTTCCTTCCTTCCTTCCTCCTCAGGTGTGATCGCTACACACAGGATAACAGCCAGCTCTCCTGAAACGGACCTATCGACAGCCACTAGTCTTCGGGTCAGACCCGAATTTTTCTGGTTGATTTTGTAATCTCCATACAGGAATGCCTCTAATGACAATATATTGTAGTTCTATGTGTCTTGAATTAGTTGTTTTTAAATGCTTCTGAATGCTGATGCTGATTAGTAGTTTGTCTTCAGAAAATGGGAGTGAACCTGACCACCAGCAACAAAGAGACTGTCAAAAGGAGTGATGTGTTGTTTCTGGCCGTCAAGCCACATATTATTCCATTTGTGTTGGATGAGATTGGACCAGATATTGAGGAGCGTCACCTAATCGTCTCCTGTGCTGCAGGTGTCACCATCAGCTCCATAGAGAAGGTTTGTGAAGTGATTGCAAGAGACTTTAAACATAGCACTCAGTTCATGCGTAATTACAAACAGTGTTAACGAGATGAGAAGGCCTAGAAATTCACACACGAGAAGTCTACATCAAAACCAATATTGGCAGACTCTGCAATCAAAAGATATATTATTTCTATATAGTGCACATTAAATAACCTCTTGCTGTTCCATGTCATTATGGGTTTTAAAGATCTTTAAGGTAGGTCACAGGTTTTTTTTTTTATTTATTTAAAAGGATTCAACATAATACCTGAAAATTAAGCAATAATTTTCTTTTTGTTGCGCAAATGCAACATTTCAAACCAACTCTTTAAGCTATCTAAGATTTTACAAACAAATAAATAAAACACAGCAGTTGTCCTCATTTTGCTTGAATATCTTTCTGTCTTACGGAAACTGCCCCAGAATAAATCATGTTAGTCTGATCTATGAACAATGGTCAGTCTCTGAGCATCTCTTATTTCACAGAAACTGCTTCAGCACCGGTCTGCACCTAAGGTGATGCGCTGCATGACGAATACGCCAGTGATGGTGCGGGAGGGGGCAACAGTGTATGCCACTGGCATGCACGCTGACTTGGAAGATGGGAAACTGCTTGAGCAGCTGATGTCCAGTGTGGGCTATTGTACAGAGGTGGAGGAGGATCTGATTGACGCCGTCACAGGCCTCAGCGGCAGTGGGCCAGCCTATGTGAGTAAGACTGGGGGAAGTCTTGGCTGCCTGGACAGACAAGAATCCATCTCAGGCATTGAGAGACTTTGTCTGTACCATCTCAAATAAGTAGTTTGGTAAAAACACAACTATGCTATTATAAAGTTTTACCCTTATCCTAAATGTAGTCTATCAGCCAAGACTGCTTTGTTTTTATTGTCCAAAGTTTGGTGCTTTAGTTTTGTCCTGAAGCTACATGGCTAATGTAGCTAACAAGTGATGAGGGCTTATACCCCACTAATTAGCATCCTGCAAATTGCATACATAAATCATTACCAGTGCTTTAAACTGGTTTGAAGACATAAACCAGAAACAAGCAGTATTTCAGAAAGAACAAAAACAAAACCAAAAGTGTAAGAATCCTTAACTCTTCTTGAACAGAAATGTTCATGAAATGTTCATTGATTTTAACTGTTATAGCATCTCCAATCTCTTTGAATGACACCACTACACAATTTTGGAGGTAGATTTAGGTAAACTGAGCTTGCTATAAATGTTTGTGTACAATTTACATTATGTTAAAGTATACCATTTACTTGGTATACAGTAAGTTACAATATAACAAGCGCAATGCAAGGCAATCATTAGGCTGTCTGTACTATAATAGCAGCCTGTTAAATAATTTGATTGACTTTTTGATAGCAAAGTTTTGGAGTAACTTACTGTTTGAAAACAGTAAAATTCCATAGCCTGTGTGTGTGCAAACATGTCCATTTCAATATAAACGCAACCACCAAGCCTAACAGCTTTGCAGAACCTACTACTTAATATTAGGCCTACACACAGACACTGCAAAAGGAATAGAAGAACATTTTTAATTTTGTTATAACTAATTTAGGAACATTTAAGGTTAGATTTGGAAAGCAAGAATGGAAATGTGTGGTTTCTGACACACTCTGAAACTGTCGACACACTGTTGTGGTCAAAAGTGGTCAAAAGTTCTGACAAATATCAGACTTTAAGATGGCTACTACTGCTTTTTTTTGTCTGTGTGATGTCCACTTTTTCTGTGTTCCTTTAACACTAGTCCTCAAGAGCGTGTGAACCTATCCGATTGCTTTTAGGAAAAACTGATCCAATGTAGCAACCATGAATGCAAATGCCATAGATTTGATCTATATTGAAGAGCACAGACTTGCTTTACAGATAGCTCTGTTACTGTTTAGCTCAAGAGCCCCTGTTTTGTTATCTGTCATGGTCCTGATAAGATGTTAAGCCTATATCTTTGGTCAGGCTTTCACTGCTGTTGATGCACTTGCTGATGGAGGAGTGAAGATGGGGCTGCCCAGGAGACTAGCTGTTCGGCTTGGAGCGCAAGCCCTTCTGGTTAGAGCTTTGTCTAAGACATTAGTTATATTTATTTAAAATGATTAATAATGCAGTGACTGTGACTGACAGTTAAATGTTTCCAGGGAGCAGCAAGAATGCTACTGGACTCTGAGCAGCACCCTGGTCAGCTGAAGGATAATGTTGCGTCACCAGGGGGCGCCACTATCCATGCTCTGCATGTGATGGAGAGCGGCGGTTTCCGCAGTCTGCTTATAAACGCAGTGGAGGCATCATGCATCAGAACCAGGTTATCAGAAAAATTGCCTTCAAGCAGTATAGACAGCATGCAGCTGTTATTGCTTTATAGGTCATTATTTATTCCTGTCTGTGTTTTTTTATTATTATTATTATTATTATTATTATTATTATTTGGGGTTTTTTTTGTTTTTTTTTTCATGCTCATGGGGACCCACTGCCCTGCACAGCTAATTATCAGGCCTTATATGAGCTGAATTAAAATTAGGCATGATTTGCGAGGTGTTTGAAGCATTTTTAAAACAGATCTTATCTTCTGCTGCTAGGGAGCTTCAGCACTTAGCAGACCAGGAGAAGATTTCTGCAGCTTCAATCAAGAAGACCACTTTGAAAAAGGTGTTGCAGCAGCCAGGTGTGAGTGGGACAGGGGTTGCGGTGCGGACTGGCATCAGCCTCAACAGCCCCAGCTCCAAACACAAATGAAACTGAGGCTGTGGGTGAAAGGTTGCACTCCCATACTGTTCAGTACATTTACTTTATTGTCAGTGTTTCCCAAATTTGAAAAATGCCAGTATGATCCATTTTCATGTGCATGCACAGGGATATAGATGCAACAGATAAGGCTTGCGATTTCAGTAGTTTCTGTGTGTAAATAACCAAAATTGCAAGTGTAATCTGTAGCGTCCATATGCCTGTGTGATATGTGAAGGAAAGTTGGAATTAGGCACAACGCCAGCAAAGAGAACAAAAGAAGGGAATGAACCATGTTGACTTACAAGGTAAATAATATTACAGGAGGTTCCAGACTTGGGCTTATATGGTGCGAGACTATTAAAGACTGACCAAACTTTTTGGCATGAGATGAATTTATTTCTTTGCATGCAAGCCTGAAACGGGACTGAGGTTAGGTGACTTTAGCCTCCAGAAAAACTACACAACTCTGTGAGACAGGGATGACAAAGATAAGGTTATAGCCTACGTCACCATCTTTCATAAATAACATTGGCAGGAATGTACAGGAATGTGCTGTTAAATTTTTTGTTGTTTTGCTGTTAGATGTCAGATAGTCTTGCAACTTTTACATCTCTTTTAGCTCTCGCCGAGTAAAAGCCAGTCCTACACTTACTCTTTTCTGGTCTCTTGCTTGGTAACTCTCTTTTTCTCTCCCTCACTTCCTCCAACAACGTCTTCTTCAGTCTCTTTGCAGCCTCTGCCATTATGTCTGTGCTGGGAATACTGAGCTAGCTTCTTCTTATAACTAGCTAAACACCCATAGTCGTTGGTGTAGGATATGGTGCCGTAAAGCATTACGCAGTTCTCGCAAGAGGTCTCGTGCCTGCTCTTTCAGAGTTATATAGCGCTATAACAGGCATTCTTGGCCTGGAGTGGCAATGGCAGAAATGCCATTCTCCCTATTATAAGTCGTGTAGCAATAAATTGATCTTGATGCTGTTATTTTAAAGTAAAATTGTCACAAATTGTTGCTTTAACAACTCAGCGCAGTTTGAGTCAAGCACAGTATGAGTATTCAGTATGTTATGTAACTTTTTCCCACAATTTAAGTATCTTTTAAAAAAAAGCCAAAGATTGTCCTACCTGAGCATGGACCAGTGTCAAGTTGCAGAAATAAGACACTTTTTCTTAAATAGATGCTTCAACTAAATGTTTACACTGTCATTAACCCAGTTTGCCCATAACATGTTTAGTGTAAAGATCATCTTAACTGGTAGAAAAAGTGTTCAGTATGACTCGCACTACCATTTTGTGCTAAGATGCTTTAGGGACAGTCAGCCGTCATCCAGTAAATTTTGATACAACAATCAAGAGAAGATATGGTAAATGTTTAGATTTCGATTTCTGTTACAAAAATATGTAGCCTCCATTTTTATGTCTTTTCTGAGCTGTCCTCTCTGCTTCTCTGGGATAAGAGCTGAATGCTGTATTTTCATACTTTGAGTATGTTTGTAACTTCTCCTGTCATTGTGTCCAACTGATATTGGAGCTGTGCATTGCAGCAGAATGTATGAAGTACTACTGTATAGAACATAAAACTGCTAGTTGTTTGGGAGTAGGGTTGGCCTTTATGTGAAGATGTAAAAGGAGAACCCAGGCATGGTAATTTTAAATAATTACTGCTGCAGCTGTGATACAGGTAGTATCAATTTGTTGTATTACTTAATACACATAGTTAGCAGGTTTATTAGGTACATTTACCAGTTTGTTAGGGATGCAATAGAGTTAATAAAGTTACTGACTCGTCCTTCTAAGCTGACACTAGGATACCAGTATGTTTACATACACTTAATAATCCGAATCAGAATGTAGTTATTGGATTAAGTGCATTTTAACGCACTTATTCTGCATACTTACAGGCCACTTTATTAAACACACCTTCCTCGTTGGTTCACCTTGTTTGTATCTTATTTTTCTCATGCACAGTTATTTTAGTCATCCTCTTGCCATTTATCAGTGGTCAGTTTCTGAATACAAGACCACTGCTAACTGGGTATTTTTGGTTGATGGACTATTCTCAACCCAGCAGTGACACTGTTGAAAAACTTTAGCAACACTGCTGTACTTGGTACACTCTTACCAGCGCCACACACTCTGCCATACTGCTGTGTTAGGATTGGTCAACCTAACATATACTATCTAGACAGCAGTGGTCCTACGGTGGTCTCTTTTTGACCAGCTGTGCAGAAACAGATGGGATACAGTCAGTAATTGTAAACCTACAAAGCCCATCTGTATGGTCTGTATAGTGGGTGTACCTGATAAAATGGCCAATGTACAAGGTGGCTGTACCTCAGTCTATTTTAATGGAAATGGTTAAACTTCATTCTTGACAATTCAATTGTATCCAGCCTTTAATCTTTTGGAAATGCTAAATGGTGAAAGAATAACATATTTGTATTTGAAATATGTCTTTGCTCTGTTGCACTGTTGCTAATTATATACTGTTAGCCTATATACTTATATAGGCTAACTTTAACTATACAGAACATGCTGTCGGGTTGTGGAACTAGCTAAGTAGTAATTATATTAATGTAAAACAAATAATTATTTTTGGAAAAAATCTTTTGTGGTCATATTTACATTGCACCACAATAAATGGGCCAAATAAATGGTTAAAATAAGTGTATTTGAAATAATACGATGATGTTTGCATTCAAATGATAAAGCTATTATGAAGATTCATATAATTAAACAACATATAAATAGCAAAATATGTGAAGCTGACATTTCATTATTGTTTGACTCCACTGAAAAGATAAACTATGAAAACCAAGCCTGCCAAATCTGTTGCAAAAACAACATGACACCATTTACATAGATGACAAAGAAGGTTTTGTCTGTCACTTGAGCTATTTTTGTCCATCGTGATGTCTTCCGTTGCTTGAAGGTTTCTGTGGTTGAGAGATGTTGATGTGCTTTCTGAAGCTCTGTGATAATCTGTTGAAGGACAGTGATGCTACACGACTCTCCATTGCTCCCTGTAGACATGTCTGAGCAGCTCTGTGGAGCTCTCTCTCCAGCTGTAAACAGAGATTAAAAAGGCTTATGTGTCTCAAGAAATATGTAACACAAAAAGACATAGTCAATCTCAGTGCATTCAATCCAATAATGAAACTGACCTGTTCATGGTACAAAGACCACCAGATATTTATTGTACACTAAGATTGATACTTTTGGAATTTTGTTAACGTTCTGCAACCAGTCACCTAATTTCTGGACTGAAAAAAGTTTGTGAAGTACAGCATTACGTTTTTAAAAAATTCATTATTTTTCTTTGAGGTATTTAGTAGTTAGTTAAAGAGCATAATTAATCAGGAAATTTACTGGCTTTAGCCATTTTAGCTTTGCTACTTTAAATTATTATATCAGTAATATCAGGTTATATCAGTAAAGTCAACCTACAAATAGCAGTGGAGACTATTTTTAGTCTTTAGATGTAAAAGAAAAATAAGTCTCTTTCAAGTTAGATGATACGATCATGAATGATTGCTGTAGCTGTGAGGCAGATTAGACGAGAAAACAGCACATTATCGCAGCAATGTGACTTCATGCATACAGACTACATACCATTTGAGATTAATAATGCACTCTAAATGTAGGTATTTTATATACATTTTCTTATTGGATAAAGTGGGATTTTGCCAACATTCTGTAAAGATGCATTTATGGACAGAGCATAGACAGATCTTGGCCTTCAGATGCAGGAACTTACTGTTCTGAAGTGCAGGAACAGTCATGGTTTCTCCAGGCGGTTTTGCCGTGGCCTGGGTGACACGAGTCTTAAGAAAAGTCACAAGTATAGTCTCCAGAAGGCTTACTGCTGTGAAGGTGAAAATGACACTGCAGTAGACCCCTAAGGTGACAGCAAGGTTGTCATGTAAAGTTATAGTCAACCACACTAACAGAATGGCTGCTTTTAACATAACATTGCTGATGTAATGTAAGCTAATGTATTATGGTGTTCATAAAACATTACCTTACATCACATCTGTATAGCTTGGTGTTCAAGCTATACAGTTTAGGAAATATATAGACAGTGCAGACAAACCTATCAGTGGAAGCCTATGAGAAGTGGAAGGCAGCATGTCGTGGAGGATTAGCAGCAAGACAGAAATTGCCAAGAGTAACGTCACCTTAAAGCTTATCTTCTCTCCTCCATCATCAGCGATGAAAAAGGAGGCCAAATCCAACACCAGGAAGTACAAGATTGGGAGCAGAAAGATGACTACATATAGTAGGGGTCTCCTTTTTATGGTAATCTGTTTGTTAAACGTATAGTTGTATTGCAGTTATATATTATCATCATCATCATTAGTAGGCTTACAGAAATGAGTTCAGGTCAGTAAAGACCACAGCACACCAACCCAACAACATTATAGTGATGACTATAGGGGTGGGTGAACTCAAATTTATATCTATTCAGATGACAACAATAGCACAATAATTCAATAAAGTCACTTTTTCCAACAATCTCAGCCCCTTTTAATGCTTCCTCACTCATCTTCATTTTTTCACTTTGTAGCTGATCTCTAGAATAATATTTAGAGACCATCTAGGTGTAGGGTAGGTGTAGCTGAGAAAGGCAGCTCATTCCATGCTTGAGTTTACAGCCCTAGTCCCTTCTAATGACATGCCTCACATGGCAGGCAACAAAAAACATTCGTTTAGTGTGGGTGCCATGCTATCTGCTACTCACAGATGGTGTAAAAGTCTACACTGATTAATGTGGGAGCAGCGGAAAGTTTCAGGTCTAAAATGTGCTTTTGTTGAATTTATAAGAATTATTGAAATTATTGACATTCATTTTTATTTTGTTGTGAATGCAGGGTTGTTAATGGTTATATAATAACAGCATCACTTTTATACATACCTTGCAGTAATTCTACAGTATTTATAAAAAGAACTGAAAAACCAAATATGGACATAGAATCTCCCAGCAATCCCACACAGGCAGTGCAACACCAAAGTTTTGTTTGCTGGTGTATGTTGGGTCAGTGTGTTCTGGCCTCAAAGGCGATATTGAAAGTTAGTCTGATTACTGAATAGCAGCAGTATTTGCATATATGCCATTTAATAGAATGGTCAATTTTTGTAGCCAAATCTGAATACATTTTTCTTAACATTTTTTTGTGTCATCATAAGCTAATAACAACATAAATAATGACTGCAATAATACAGTCAAGGCCGTATTATATTGTGAGATCGGTACCGTATATGTGAGCTGGTCCCATTGCCTTCCATTGCTCTGTAAATGAGTCTTCGACATATTAATGCAGACTAAGTCCCATTCTCCTTGGTTTTGAAAGATCTCCTTTGAGCTTAGAGTCAGCATGGAAGCATTGGAGTAGGCATCAATTCGAAATTCTTCAACTGTGGAGCATTGAGGAGGAAGTTGTTTAAAGGGTATGAGAATACTGTTGCAGCTACTAAGGAGTTGACTGCATATGCAATGGCTTTTACATTTTTTCACCTTTTTCACCTGCGTGAGTGTGTGTAGGATGATGAACATAAACTATATGGACAAAAGTATTGGGACACTCATACACATTACACCTACAGGAGCTTTCATGACATTCCATTCTAAATCCATAGGCATTAATATGGAGTTGGTCCCCCTTTGTAGCTATAACAGCTTGCACTTTTCTGGGAAGCTTTCTACATAATTTTGGAGTGTGTCTGTGGGAATCTTGCTCATTTATCCAGATGAGCATTTGTCAGGTCAGACACTGATGTTCGAAGAGAGGCTGGCTCACAATCTCCTTTCTAGTTCATCCCAAAGGTGTTTGTTGGGGTAAAGGTGAGGGCTCTGTGTGGCCCAGTCAAGTTCTTCCACACCAAACTCACGCAACCATGCCTTTATTGACCTTGCTTTGTGCAGTGGGTTACGATCATGCTGGAACAGAAAAGGGCCTTCCCCAAACTGTTCCCAGAAGGTTGGAAGCATAAAATTGTCCAAAATGTCTTGGTCTGCTGAGGCATTAAGATTTGCCTTCATTGGAACTAAGGGGCCTAGGCTAACCCCTGAAAAAAAAACACAGCATTATCCCTCCTCCACCAAATTTTACAGTTGGCACAATGCAGTTAGGCAAGTAACGGTCTCTAGGCATTCGCCAAACCCAGACTCATCCATCAGACTACTAGAGAGAGAAGCAGGATTCGTCACTCCACAGAATACGTTTTCCACTGCTCCAGAGTTCAGTAGCAGCGTGTTTCACACCACTCCATCTGATGCTGTTGTTAATGCCAGAGGAGGTTTGGAACTCTGCAGTTACTGAGTCAGCAGAGCATTTGAGACTTTTATGCACTCAGCACTTGGTGACCCCCTCTGTAACTTTACATGGTCTGCCACTTCATGGCTGAGTTGCTGTGGTTCCTAAACACTTCCACTTTTCAATAATACCACTCATAATTGATCATGGAATATCTAGAAGGGAATAAATTTCATGAACTGACTTGTTGCAACGGTGGCATCTTATTACAGTTCGAATTTAGTGAGCTCTTCAGAATGACAAATTCTTTCACAAATGTTTGTAAAGGCAGACAGTATGACTAGGTGCTTGATTTTATGCTGGGACTGAATGAAAAAACCAATGATTAACAGGTGTGTCCCAATACTTTTGTCCATATAGTGTATCCTAGGTCAGGACTTCAATTTTGAGATGCTTGATCAATAATTAATATAAGATATAAAATTCTTGATACCACACAATCCTACTTACTGTTGTGCAAAGTAGACTGGAGGGTAAAAGTGCAGCTCTGTGTGTCGAAGGGAAACCGGTATAGATCCATCTTACAGGCAGTGGTCATTATGTATGCCTGTGCGAATGCTACAATGCCTGTAGACTGTACCTTCAGAAATAGAGCCTCCTGTGTTGAAAACTCTGTTCTGATGCTAAACAAACAGCAATGATTAAGTCAAAAAGCAATAACTATTTGAATCTTAACTCCAGTTGCATTGTTTGTCATAAAAAGTTGTTTATGTGTTGACACAAAGGCTGAGTAGAGGTGTATTTGCTACTTACTTCTCCATTACGATGACATCCGGAATCCATAGCATTTCTTTGGGAACAGACATGACAGTTATACCACAGAAGTCTGCAGGGTTCCATTTGGTAAATTCATTGACCCACCCCTGGAAAAAATATGTTAGATGTATTAATTTAACCAAAATAATTTCCAAAATGAATAATACTCTGTGTGAGAATAAAAAAGAGGTGGCTATGTTGTGTATGATAGCATACCATTTCCAAAAAGACCAGAGGAGAGAAAGTTTGAGCTTTTTCATTCTGGCGGAAAATAAGAAAACTGCATTTAAACAGTAAGCAGTTGGAGTTGAAGCGAGTCATTCATATTCAAAGGGGATGCTCTGCCCACAAATATGTTCTTTTGTATCTACTGTTCTAAAGCTGGTCAAGCTTTATTAAAAGTTGACAAAAACCCATCTAACCCTAGTAAAAATTTTTAGAAATCTTTTTTTTTTGGTATTGAAGGGCAGTGTTCTTAAGGCTACACAACACCTACAAAAACTGACATAAACCTATTTAGATACTATAATGGTAATGAAATTACATAAAAATTGACAAAAGCAGCTTTTATGATAACTGACACTTCTTGTAATAAGCCTTTAGAAATGCTTATGTTGGTTTATGTGATGTAGCCTCATGAATGCTTTTGTTTAGATTCAGTACAAAAGTTTTTATTTAAAATGCTACATTACTGAGCTGGCTGACACTGCATGTTCAAATGTTGGTAGACACGTGTTCAACATTTCTTCCTCTACTCTTCTGGGAAGACTTGGCCTACATGTCTTAGATGTTAGGATTTGATTGCATTCAGCCACAAGAGCATTAGTGAGGTCTTGTACTGATGTTGGATTAGTTTTGAATTGTTTGTAATGAATATTGTACTATCAATATGGTTATTTTGATAAAAACTGACATATGCTTTCTCCTTAGGGTTGAATGGAAATTTCTGAATATATTCAGTAAAGCTCATCCAACTCCAACAGTTGCTATAAACGAAACATTTGTGGGTGGAGCATGGGTAGGTCATTTAATTCTCCCCTTTATGTATGAATGGGTTGCTCAAAAAGAGCTGCTCATTGTCCAGTGTGTGCAGTTAAATTGCTTGGCTGATGGAAATATTAAAATCAAAATTCTAAATATTCCCAGAACACTGCAAATGGTAATAGCTGTTTATCTTAAAGGCAGAGGTCACATACCACCTCTGTGATAGAGGAAATGTAAAGATCTGCTGAAACGAAAGTAGGGGTTTTCCAATTAAAAACCGGCCGTAAAGAGGTCATCTTGATGTTGTCCTTGTCCAGACCAAGGTACTCCTGAACAGCCTGATAGCTGCAATTGGACAAAGCTTGCACAATCCCTGTAGAGGCAAAAGATGTCATATTTCGATTCCTTATTTCACAATATAACACTAGTTACACAGAGTTGCCAGTGTATTAGGTAAACTTACCTACACTCATTGACCATTTTATCAGGAATACCAACTATACAATGCACTTTGTTGGTATAGTTTCTAACTTTACCTCATGAATTGCTGCACAGCCAATGTCACTTTTTATATATTCTAAGTTGAAATATACTATACTAACTCTAATTGAATGAGGTGCCAAGGTAGGGGATACCTAAAAAATTGGCAACCCAGTGTAATTTCTAATACAGCACTTTAAACATACTTAATGTTTAAACTTTTCCTTCATCCACAAAAACTAACAAACATGCATTGCAGATACAAACAGCCTTAGAACCCAATGCATGGGCTCTTCAGTACTCTTTACTGCTTCTAATTGTGTCTCAGTCATGGAAAGTATAAATAATCTTTTCTTTCTTTTCTGGTTAACCAATTTAAACAGAGACTTACCAAGCAATGCAGTGAACAGGCAAAGAAGATACATGTCACTAGAAAAAGCTACTTTACTGCACTAACATACAAGATTCTGACCATTCACTCTTTCAAACAATTATGAATTTTTGGCATCCAGTCAGATATTTATGCCTTTAGCACACTGATTATGCCCCACCTCTTCTTACCTTAACAATAGCCTATGATCTACCCTAACCAGGAGATATGGACAGCTCTGTTTTCTGAGCTGACAAGATGATGCTTTACACAAGGCCGACAACCCTGATGTGTACTCAGTGAAGCTTTGTCCCTTTTGGTTTGTGTTAGCAAAAAAAGAAATCAAATTAAATTCACACACAGACGCTTGGAGAAGTTTGAGTACTAGTGACATTATATAAGTAATTACATCATACCACTTCACTCCCAAGTTTTAATTTCCTGACCAAGTCATCAGTTAACCGTCACTGACAGCTAAGGCAAGAATGCTGTTGTTAATGCTGAAATAAATTCACATTATTCCAGTGAGAAGGTTTTTACATCTTGGCTAGGTTATCAGATTTCCAATCATCCAGTTCAATCAATATTAAAGGAATTCCCTGAGAGACAGTTTTTACTTAGTTAAAGTTCCACTGATAGCAATTCAAGGTCCTTTTCTGCTGTGCAGACAGTATGTAACTGAAGGGTGGGCAAGATCCTTTAGTAGATATCAGTGGGCAGCTTGAACTCCTTGAAGCAATAGAAAGAGATATCTCCATGGTCCACCACTGCAAATGTGACTGGGACGTCCCCACTCTGGAAGGACAACTGCTTCATGACACGCAGGTCAGGCACTGGACCATCAAAACTAGGTGAGGACAAGACATTACAGATCAAAATCAAACCACACTTCACAAAAATGTGGATCAATATTTAGCTCAAGAACAAAGGTTGCATGATATCATCAAATTACATGAATAAAACACCTGCTCTGAAAATCATTTACAACAAACAGAAAATGTGTTGGTAGAGTCTGACTTATAATCACCATATTGTGTTTCTGTTTACCTGCAAACACAAATGCGTGTATAGGGCTTTCCAGGGTGACTCTTCTTAAAGTCAGCTACCATGTCAGGCTGGTAAACATTGAAACAAATACTCCACTGCTCTGAGTGAGGTAACCTGAGAGGGCAGAAGCTGAAGTGAGATATCAAATAGTGCTGTTCAAACATTGCCAAGGCTAAACATCATGCCTCAGCGTGGAGCAGTATGCACCTGCTTTGAAAATATAAGGGAGTACAATCAAGGGCATGATTTTGGTTCCAAAAGTAGGTGGGGGAAACAATGAAGCAGAAGGCCACCCCATCCCTCACCTACACACACACACACACACATCCACTCTACATCTCCAGTCTTCTCTGAACTTGCAGAAACAAGGACCTAATTTGCACATTAGCAACAAAGCCAAAGAGCTGTCTAATTCTGCCAGGTGAATAATGCAGGCTTTTTGCAAACTTTCAGAAAGTCTGCTTGGGATGCAAACAAGCAGGGAAGGCAAATGTACAGATTTTCGTGTCAATATGAACCATGGACGTGAGCTGAGCTAAAGTATACTCTGATTAGCACTTTTTATATGATTGCAGCCATGCGGCCTTGCAGGTTTGACGTGATGACGACGAGCACTTCAATAAACAGCACAGAACGTAGGTCCAAAGTTGGTTACAATTTGTTCCACAGAGTTCGGATATTCAGATTGGGTGATACATTAAGTTAACTAGCTAACATGATTTCAAACACATATTGGTCCAGCACAGCAATAATTCTCTTGGCATGGATGGTAGATAGCTGTATAGCAATAGCTAACATAACTACCAGCAACTAGCATAAGCTAAATAACTAAAGTAACTCCATTTCACTATTTATATGGTAATGCATAGAACGCTACGATTTCCTTGCAACCTCTTTCTACTTCTGAAGGTTGAAGGGACAAAAACAGAGTTTTGAAAAGTGGGGGTGACGCATTCTTTCCCCATCCCCAGTGAAAACTAAGCCTGTGAGTGGAACAACAGAGCATGCCTTAAGCAAGTCAATGAGAAAATAAAGACGGAAACTTTAAGTACCTGGAGGCTCCGTGCAGCAAATCAGAAGACTGAATGATGCTGACTTGCTCCAGCAGATCACCTGCCCAACACAAAGGCAGAACAAATATTTACACTCCCCAGAAAAAAATAATAACATTCTGTTCCTTTGTCTTTTTTTAATCATCTTTAAAGAAAAGTTTTGGAAAATCCAATCCTTCCTTCTGCGAGTTATCTATATCTAGTGGAGAAATATCTACTTTTATCCATTTTAGACGTGTATGAGAAAGAAATTTTCTCAAGGCACCTTGGGTAGTTGCTTTTTGTGAATGTTTATGTCTTGGAAGGGTGAAGGGTGACACTTTTGGGAACAGCTCTGTTGTGAGGACACATCTGTAACTGGTTGGTCATAAAACTGGAAGGATGAAAGAGGTGCAGTAGGGTGTACAGAAGAGTGGACAAAGTTGTCCCTTGATTCTAAACAAAGGTATGCACACATACAAAAAATTGTAGTGCAGAACTTACGGTGTGAATCGCACTGCCCAGGCTGAGTGAGGGGTATAACGTCCTGTTCCCAGAGGTGGGCAGGTCTTTCCCTGCACCGCTGGCTCCTCCTCTTCTCCATCAGCTCTAAATATTCGGCCCAGTTCCTGCAGTGCCGCACCTCTCTGTCATCGTTAATGTCCCGATGGTATCTGTCCCGTTCCCTCTGTCGCTCCCGCTCCCGCCGGGAGAGCCTCTCTGCTTTCAAATTCAGTTTCCTCAGCCAGGGGGCCACCTCACATTCTCCCACCTGCAGAGCCCCTGGGAGTAGCTTAGGGTCAGGGGCTGCCAGGCGGGCATGGCCAGCCCTGGACGAGCCCAGGTCAGGGAAAAGGATGCATCTGAAGTCCCATGGCCGAGCTGACGTATGTTGGCCTGAAGTATGTTGGGCCTGGCACGATGTATCTGTCCACCAGTTTCTCCCTGGAGCTCTGTCCAAAACTGTGTTAAACTCCATCAGCTCATCCTGGGGAGTCTGCTCTGTTTTCGCCTGGTCAGAGGCTGTCTGGTCTAGGCATGGATCACCGGTCATAACTTCTCCTTCACATTGTTGTGCAGCTGTTGTCTCCTCAACAGGCACAGTACTTTGTTTGTCACAGTGGCTAAATGACATGGATAATCTATCAGTCATACATACACACTTACACACAGTGGGGTCCAAAAGTCTGAGACCACTTTAAAAATCTAGGTTTGTTTTCATTTAATCCTGTTTAAATAAACAACGGGAAGTTAAAAAATGTACAACAAAGAAAAGTCATGACGAATAAAAGGAAGAAGAAATGTAAGATTCTTCAGTATTCCTAGGGCACTACACAAATTTAAGCAAACTTGTAAAACTGACCATGTTAAGGCCTTTGTACAATAGGTAGGCTTGCTCTTTCCACTGAAGATCATATTCAGATGACTCTCAGGTGGATTTCACCCACTCATCAGAGGCTTTGGTCACTGTCAGTGATCAGAGTTGTGCCACCTCAAGTGCACACTGTCGTTAAACCAAAAGGGGAAAAAATACTAATAAATTCTGGAATTCATGTTAAAATGTAAAAAATTCTAATGTTCACTCAAATTGTAATGCTGATAATATAACCTGTAATGAAGACGTTTTATTCAATTAGAAAACAATGCAAAATAGAACACTTTTCACTAGTGGTCTCAGACTTTTGGCTTTTGGTTCCTATATATATATATACACATACAAACATACATACACACACACACACACTACTGTCAAAAAGCTTTAGGTGCCTGAGAAAATTCGAATTAAAATTAAGCATTTCGTGCTCAGAAAAACACCTATTTTACAATACATACATACATATAATATCAAGACAACAGGTAATGATTTAGGTATGTAAATGTGTACTTATTCAACCCTTCGTTATGTTAAAATCAAGCATACTGGTGATGAAATTTAATAAATCTATGTGATGGCTGAGGGCACTGAGGAGATATCTGACACCAAACTGTGTTCTTCAAGCTCACAAGATATCAACTACTTTTTTGAAGTGTGATATTTGAGAATGTTTCCCTTTAAAACTACCGGATTATAAAATTTAATATATATTTGAATGCAAAATTATTTTGGTCAATTTTATCAGTTATTTATCAGTCAGTTCATTTTTAACCTCTTTGCCATAAAATTTTCATATCGGCCACACCCTAAATATTATCCCAAATATTCAATCATCTAAGATTTTGTATCTTTGCACTGGAGCTACACAGCTAGAACTAGATATGTAATCTCAAATAGACTTACTTGTGTGGTTTCTGACATAATGTGATGTACTGTTATCCAAGATGGACATGTGTTGCATAGTTAAAACAGTTTTGAAGCTAAAAAAGAATTTTGCTCATTTTCATAAATAACACTATGTCAAACAGTGTCTGAAACCAAATAAGCATGAATTTTTGGCCAAACCGTGCCTTTAATACCCAAGACAAGATTGACTGGAGACAAGAGAATGTATGATGAAGGCAGTCACTGAGCAAACTCAGTGGATACCTAGAGCTTAGGGGGCTGTTGCTACGTTTCCTCTTCAGATGTTTAGTCTGTTTATTGCAGGACAGAGGCAGATTCAGCTGTCTTTCATAGAGGGACGGCACTATGCTGCAAGAGAAAAAACTCTTTTAGAGAAAAACTGACACATACACATCAAATGTTAAGGTAAAAAAAGGAAAAATAATGTGAATTTACCTAGGATCAAATCTGTTCACCACATATCCCAGTCTCTTTAAATGACCAAACACCTAAGAAAGGGAAAAGAGCCATGCATGAGAATAGCAACAATTTGCCATCAAATACTGGGACAGTAAAGTCAAAACTATTTTTATTTTGCACTGTACACTCAAGATATTTAGAATAAAGATAAATGCAAAAATAATGTCACTTTTTATTATTGCATATTTTTAAGCCTCTACTATTTTAAAATTGGTTAGCGTTGCTGCGTATTGAAACCACTGCACCTTTTCAATTTCATATCATAAGCATAAAAAAGGAAAAAACATGAATAAATTGCTCATTTTAGTGCTTGGATATCTTTTCCAAATTTTGGAGTCTGTAACCCATAAACATGACCAGATACTGGAAATCTTTCCTAGTGATGCTTTTCTAGGCCTGTAAAGCAGCTGTCTCTGAGGCTTTCTGCCTTCAGTCTCTCTTTAGCAAGTGAAATACATGCTCAGTGGGTCAGGTGATTGATGGGGTTATTCAAGAACATATCAGTTTTGGTTCAATGACCAGTTCCTTTTTTCTCCACAGTTTCCTCATCTTTTCTCTTTTGCCATCTGCACAGTAGCACTTATATTGCACTTTTAATAAAATAACTTTACCTAAAGCTAAACCTGATCTCTTAGTTAATGTGGCTTTTTGTCTCTTGTCTAATATCCCTACTTTGCACATAATCTTTAGTACAGGTTTATCTCCTGGTCTCTATAGCAAAACTGACTTATTTGTGCCGTTCTGGCCAGATAAGAGCATTTCTCATGATAGACACTTAACAATTCTGCTTACGAAGTCACTCTGAAGTACCTCAAAAATACTTGCTGATCTTCCGCATTTATTGAGTGTCAATGTTTGTTCATGTCTACTGACTTTAAAGGCAAATGGCAAAAAAGCAAAGGCTAAAATTAACAACATACAACGACAACTCTATGTGTGCTCAGTCAGTGCCACAGGAAGTATGCAGCCAGTCCAGAAACATTTCAGCCAATACAAAGCACCAAAACACAAGATGTGCTTGCAGCCACAATTTTGACTCCACAGTCAATACAAAATGATTACTAACTTGGTACTGATGGAGAGTCACTGTTTCAGGAGAAAGAAACTGTTCATAACCTTCCTGGATGGATAGTGGAAGGTCCTGGTAGAACACCTGAACACTGCCCTATTATGGTTAACAAAGAACAAAGATTTAATGTAATAACAAACAGAAGGGAAAAAAAACATGCAGTAGTTACAAAATAAATACACTGCCATTCAATCAGCTCCTTCATACTATAGTTTTTATCTGACAGTGTGACACCACTGGCCATTGTTTACAGGCTCTTTATATTGAGTCTAAAGCTTTGTTTTTTATGAGGCATGGAACTGGCCAGTGTTCTAGAAATATTGACTAAACATGCAAAGGTTTGCTTAGGTAAGCACACTGTGATGTGGTTTATTACTATAACAATAACATATCACCCTTCTCAAAATGCTAATATGGCTCAATCAATGCTGGCAAGTGGGGACTGGTTAGCATTTTTATTACAAAATACTGCATGGCCCCTACTACCACTCACACATTCCATGAGGTAGAGAGCCTCCTCTGGAAGCAAGCACTGCTTGCCGCGATCTGAAAAGCCCATAGTCTGCCAAAATTTCCCCTTCAAAAAACACAGTTTACACACAGTAAGACACAGTCATTTCCACAATGTAGAAAATGGATTGTCCTTGAAAAATGCAAACTCTTAACAGATGTGAAGTTGGAAGAAATTCTCTGAAAGCCATGGTTCAACCAGAAATCTTTTACAGCTTCGCTTTAGTTCAAATGTAGTCAGTCAGGAAAGACATACTTGCTGTTTTAAGTCTGCTTCTTTAGTTTTGCACTGGAGCTACAAGACTAATGTAACTAACAAGTATAGTTAACAAGTAAACTAGGCTTATAACTCATAACTATTATTGCAGCAACTGCCTCACAGAATCCAGTTGTTGAAGTACCCTTAAAGCCATAAATTAAAACACAAAAAATGATTTATGTTGAAAGACAAATTATTAAATATTTGTATGCATTATTGTTATGCACAAGACAGTTAAAATAGCATAGGAGCATCCTAAACCTTAACACTCATTAAATATGAGAAGAGCTATAAATGTCCATGATTATGCAAATTGTAAATGACCCTTTTATGCTGCGTTCCAAAACCCCACCCCTTCCCTTCGGGCTCAGGCCAGGCCACCCCAGCCTTTGCCTTCCAAATAACACACCCGGAAGTGACCTGCTTAGGGATGAGAGAACCATTTGAGAGAATTGCTCCATTCTCTTCCATTCATTACGGCTGTTTTCAGTCCAAAAATATAGGTTCAAGCTCGATCATCACTTTATCGCTTCAAAATAAACATTTATCCATGACAGTATGGAAAATGATGTGAAGAAGCTGCAGCTCGAAAGACTGCACTGCAACATTTGAAGTAGAAGCTCCTCAATAACACAAAGCATGGAGAAGATTCACTCATTACTACTACTGCAACACAAATGCTGCAGTACAATAAATTAATTACAACTATTTACAGTATTTACAATAATATTTATTTATTAATTACATTTTTTGTTTTTTAATGATCAACATTATAATGCATGTTTAGTTGACCTCGTTTTCTCTGTATCGTTCTCTTGCTCTGTTGTTCTCATATGTTCTCAATATTTTACACAAACAACTAATAATGGAAGAAGTATATTTTGAAAATGTACTATTGTTCTGAATGGCTGTGATACTTGCATAGCACACTGGAGATCTGCATCGTTGTGGCGCCTGTGCAGTTTCACACATCCCAGCTATCAGCTAATCAGGAAGTGACACAATTGACCTCAGCTTGTCCCCACTGAAAACAGCTTGGGTACTGGCCTCATGCCGCTTCTGTCGGCTCTCGACACCGCCTGGCACTGTCTGCACTTAGCATATTTAAGTATATTGGACCGTGGTAGGTTTAAGCATGTACAGAACTATGCTGAAACATAGCGCCACACAAAATTTAAAAAGCCTTTTAAATCTGCACTTTCATCTGTCTAAATCATCATAATAAGCCATACAAGACATGTTTTAAATAATATCAAATAACATTAAACACCCCAGTTCCTTATTTATGTAAATATAGTGGCTGTTGCCAATGTTCAGACTGCATGGATGGCTAAAACAACTTATAATCAAATGGGAGAGGAGACAAAGAAAGAAGCTATACAGCTGCTTTTGTCTCTGTTCTGATGTAGCATTCACACTACAAATGTAATGCGATCATAATGAGACCTGACCACTTGTGAAGGTGACTTAAGATGCACTGGACCTCGTTCACAGCTACACATTGCACCGTCCATTTATAACTGGATCATCCAGGATGCACATAAATGCCAGGTGTGAATGGGGCCTTGTTTATGACGATTTTCTGAATTTTGTCCTTATTTTTGTCCATTTCCTATGTAACAGTACTTTGTACAGTGTGTAATTTAGGCAGGCCGTTTGCACAACAGTATTTGTAGCTATACACCTCCATTGTTTGTTAGCTGTATTATCCTTGCAGCCTCTGTGCAAAACTAAAGACGCAAACTATGGACATCAACCATGTCTTGGCTGATCAACTACAGGGTAAAGGGGAAACTGCATAAATCTATTTTATGGCCGAACTATCACTTTCATAAATAGATAACTACAAATGTTTCCTATCTCTAGCCCTAGATGCCCACCTGCACTGCATGTTTTTCCTGTTATAACACACCTGATCCAGATAAAAAAGGATTTGATATTTACCTAACGATATGACAGCAGTGCAGGTGGGCCTTCAGAACTGGAACTAAAAAATACTGGAAGAGAAGTAGGGAAAACTCACTGCTGGTGACTGCAGCTTCACTAGCTTTTCTTCTGGAATCCATTCTGCATTTACAAGGTTTCCACTACACAGGAATGAAAAAATAAGAAGCACACAGAAAAAAATAACATTCATCTTGATTAAAAATCACATATTTACAACTATATAGTAGTTTGAGGATAACATTGTTCCATCTTGAGTTCCAGAAAAACTGAACTTAAATCTGATTTAACTTGGTTTATCCACTGTGGTACCAAGTGGAGTTTGCTCTGACCACCAGTATCATATAGCAGTATGTACAAAATGGTATCTAATGGTATCTAAATGACTCGACTTTAACACTCCTCTGTAAAAAAGCTGAGGTTTAGTTCACCTTTAGTTAGAATAGGGAAATCACTAAACTCTGTTTAGTCTGGCCTCCTAGGAACAGAACTGATGACTGAAGAGGCAAATCACTTTTCAAGGTGTGCACTTGGGCCAGATTCCCACATATTCATATTGTAGCAAACTGCCAATTTGAAAACTGTAAACTGACTTGTAAATTGCACACAAACAGCTACCAAAGCGGCATTTACAATTGTGAAACTCTGGAATCTGAATGATACTTCTGGATATTTACCGGATCTCATATATGAGTCTTATCTTTACACATTAATTGTTCAAAAGTCCCAATTCTTCGAGATCTGTATGCCACTCACAGTCTCTCTACTCGTTCCTCCGCCACGAGTGTCCAGTGCTCATCCAGACTCTTCTGCAGGCGCCCCCTCTGCTGCTCAGATCCGGTGGGCAAGAAGTCTTTCTGGCCCTTCACAGGAATCTTATGATTTCGAGACCGCGCATGGAGCAGCTCTGATGGACTGCGAAGGAAAGAGGGGGGAAAGTTTTTGAGAAGTAGCAACGAACATGTACACAAATAAAAGACGAATGCAGCTTGGCGAGTTGTCCCCTAAACGCGATGTTCCTGGTTACTCAATATCATGTCGCTAACAGCAGAGACTCTACATGAGCCTGCAGTGAATCGGTTAGTCTCCATTCCAGTGTGTGTCTAGTGAGTCTACCGCTCGGGCCATTTGAGTCTCGCAAATTATATACAAATCATAAGCCTGAAAAACTTATTGGAAGACCGGCTAAAAACACGTTTATCTATTTTTCTAAATAGGGCAGCAGCTGAGTTCATTCAACAAAAGTTTGTTGTGTTGGCTAGCTTTAGCCGTCTTGCTAACGGTTGTAGGGCTCAAATGCTTCACGGTTAGCTGTTCGGACTACTGATTTGTCGCTGAAGAAGCCGTGCTCAGAGAATCAAAATGGGAACCCACTACTTAACAGCAGCACAGTAAAACAGTATTTAATTCCGCTTACCTTAGTAATTCATTACTAAATTCTACTTGTACAGCCTCTGTAAGAGTGTCACTGGCAGCCATGTTTACAGCCTGCTCTTTAGCTTGTGGGTCCTAGTGCATAAGAGATAAACGTGTAATTGTATAACTGTACCATGGGGTGGCAGCATAGTACAGCATAATAGAGTGAATTTGACTCGAGCCCGTTGCCCACTTTCTCAACAGGTTCATGAAAGTTCAAAAAGCACCGGTACCGACGCGTGAGGAGCAAGGACACTGTAGTGAGGATGGGAGATGGGGATTTTTCTGCCACCACGTGACCAATAACATTCTCCTTATAATAAACATTTTGCATAAGGACTAAAACTAAAACGTTTTTTAAGAAATGAAAACCACTGGAATTCTCAATAATTTTAAATTTTACATGGGGAGGCTTTGGCCAGTTCATTGAGTCTCAACATCCTAACTAAACTTAATCTTGGACTAAACTGCAATGTCAATATTGCACCACTGAAACACTTTAACAGTCTAGGACTAAGCTTAGGGCCATGTCGACCTGAAAAGTGCATTTAATGTGTTAATTTTATGTTTCATTTGTCTTGTTATATAATAATATAAAGCATAGCATTGCATCAGTGAGCCACATCCGTTTACAAGATTTCTTGATTTTGTATCCTTTCAGTGTTTTCATCCACCTTCAAGATACATCACCCTGAAGGGAGTTTCCCTTGTCTTTAAAGTGGAAACTCTCACTTTTGAGACTATTGTAGCACAGCTGTAGGAGGTGAGTGGGCATATTTACAACTTTTCTGTCAGGTTGCATTTTTCATTTTGGCTGTTTTATTCATTTAAAGTGATGTTTTGAATCTAGGATATGGAGAGAATTAAAATGGGTGCTAATTACTTAATTTATCATCAATTTAATTGTCATTTTATATTGCTTACCATACACATTTGTCATCAAAATGTAAATGTAAAATCTAGCTTAACAAAAATACTTAAACAGTTGAGGGAATATGATCATATTGTGTAGATGCTTATTCTCACATCCGCCTATCCTCATAGTATGCTACTGATTGACGCCAAAGAAGAAGATGACACAAGACCCTATTACACACCCTGTGAATGTTTAAGGGCTTTTGTTTTGTATACTTTTTCACTGTCATTCAAGGCAATTGATAAAGTGTCCACTGAGGTTTTATTAGGGGTATCAGGTGGAAAGTGGACAGTGATGTGTGTGGCCGGCACATGTTTAAGCTGTCCTTTTTTTGGTCACGAAGCAGGGCTACCTGACCCCAGAGGTGAGGTATGAATGTGAAATGAAGGGATACCTCGCAAACTCAAACCTGGACACACAGCACAAGGAAGTGAGCAGCCACTCCTCCCACGGCCCCCCGTCACCCCTCTCCCCACCCCCTGACTGAAAGTCAACAATACAACCACATTTCCAGTAAGCCAGATAGCTTCCCAAGTGCTGATCATCACCATAGAAACAAACGCCTCAAGCTGACAGTGGTGTCTCTCCTTTGGCCAAATGAGGCCACCCAAGCTCCAAAAACATGCAACATGCTCTGTTTTTACTTTGCAATACATTAAGCAAGTTTTTACTATAGCCATACAGACTCATGTACACAATAAACTTTTTGTTTTAACCATTTATCAGTTTTTTGTATAGCTTTTTTTATAGGTAGAAATGTGACGAAAGAAAGAAATAAAACAAAAATTCTAAAAACATCTTGGCGATCACTGGTTACAGTCACATTGTTTTTAGTTGCACATTTATACCCTGTGCATATATTACATCCAGAAAATCCAAAGGGCTAAAAATATAAATAAAAGAATAATTCCATTTTTTTTTTTATTTCTGTAAAAAACGTAAACTGTCAATAAAGTCATTCGGAGTGGTTTGATGTGAAATGTGGCATAAATGTTCACAGTGGTGATAGGAACCAGACATGTGAAGTGTTTAATACCTTTTTAAAACAGAAATTAAAGATATGAAATGGTTACAAATATGCCTGTCTGAAGTCTGAGACATTGTTTTATGTTATTATGTAAATACCTTATATAGTGTAATATACGATTTGACCCAAAGCATAAATAATTTAAACATTTTCATGGTAGATAGACATGATTTTGAAAGACAAAATAAGAACCAAAGTTAACATATTTTCCAGATTTACTGCTATTTTAGCGTTATCAGCGTTAAATGTAAAAACTAAAAAGATGTGTATTCCGTTTTGAAGTCAGTAACCTTCTCTTCAGTGCACCATTTCACATTAAAGAACTTAGAATGGCTTGTGTATATCGCAATGATTGAACTATGCAAAATCTGTGGAATTCTCATTTAACTAATAAAACAATTAATATGTGAGCTCTTTGCCTTATGGGCATATCAAAAGAAGCAATTAGAAGAGAGCACTAGAATATAGATTGTATGAGTGTTGAAGTGTAATTTTGCAGTAATTTTCTCCAATAGATTTAGATATTTAACCCTCTCCACTCATTGACTTACAGTTGCTGCTTATGATCTATGATCTATGATCTTTCTTGCCACCAAAAATAGGATATTGAGCATTAGTAGGTTAGTTCTTTGTACAAAATCTCTTCACGAATTACTTATATAATATATATGCAACTATAGTAACCTTAACCCTGTTGTTTAAGAGGGAACAAAGATACTACTCACAGTACACATTAATTGTTATGTGAATTATGTAGGATCAAGTGTGATGTCAGAATTGTGGGAACATTCAAAATATCAAAATCTTTACAGCAGTGCAGGAAAAAATTTAACTAGTGTTCATTCACACCTTAATGGGTTGACAGATTTTAGCATGTGACGTCATTCGGCCCATTGTCTAATGTGACACGGCAGCTTTGTGTGCGATTCTCCATGTCTTATTCAACCGTGCTTAACTCCTGGGTCTGGGGTTGCGTGGAGGTCTTTTATAGTATGTGACTCTTTAATCCTCTGGATCGAATGCGCTGAATTGAGCTTCTTGCATCTAAATTCAGCAGAGCTGGATGACTGCTGACTTGCAAAACATACGTGGATATGTACAGGCAGCGTGCCAACAGGATCATCTTAAAGCATTAGCCTCAATATTAACACTGTTTGATACTGGTGTAGCAGTATGTTTTAAGCTTTGGACCTTTATGATGATAAAAGGTGGACCATCTACTTTGAAGCCTGAAGTTATAAGACCATTTAAAATGCTGATTTTGGACAAAAGCTTGGATGTATTAGTGTGGGATAGGTCAATGAGTAACCTTCTCGTAGCTAATAAAATATTTTAGATATTTTCCAACAGTCTGAGATGTAAGCTCTCTAGTGCCCAATTTAAATTCTCTCACTCAAGAATCCTGTGTAAACACATCTTAAGAGTGGCAGAGAAGCTGACACAAGCAAAGCCATTAGCAAACAAAGCCACGCTGTGGACTGCTTTCTAGCGTAACAGACTCATCCATGATTTTGCTTCCTACAGCACTAATCTGTTAAATCTTTTTTTTTTCACCTCTATGCACTTTCACTGATACTGTGTCTGACACCAGGCCAAATCCCCAAGCCCCCTCACCCACCCCCCAACAGAAACTTCTGAAGCTTCCTAGTAGCTTACGGCATGATAAGTAGGCAATGTCTTTCACCTGTTCAGTTTCACATGGAAGTTACAGATTTGAACAGCAATGTTCTTGCCCTGCAAGACCCTTTGATAGTTTATGGTCTTACAATTTTTTGAGGTGGTAGTCTTTGTAAGGAGACCTAGGGGAAAAAAAAGAGAATTTACTGCACTTATTCTCATGACCTTTAAAAAATTTGGACTTACCGTTCGATATGTGACTTGTGGAATATTACAGATATTTCAGAGGGGTAACCACCATCAACCACAGGTTGTGTGAAACACACTTTATCTAAGTTTAAATGTCATTTACCTTTATTTTACATACATATTTGTTATTATAGTATCAGTGGCACAGAAATGGCACCTCAAAAGTGGAAACACCCTTTTCATCTGCCCTCAGAACTGTATAGACTGGTAAGAATGCCAGCACAGCTAGTTCTGCTAACTGCTAAAGGGAACACAGCCCTGAATGTGATGTTAGGCTAGGTCCTACACAAGGTCACCATGTTCCACCCTTTTAAGGATTCCATTGTTCTAGAATGTTCTGGTCCCCCCCGGATGGATCGTTTGTGTGGTTGAGGTGGTGATGGTGGGTGAGGGGACATACCCCTCCTTTATTTTTCTCCTTCTCCACTGTGTCCAGCCTTTAAGCTCTGGCTTGTTTGCATTCCTCTCAGTTAATAAGTGTTTGTCTGATCCCTGGCAGGGACTAAAGATCACCCCACACAAACACACTGGGCCCCTCCCACGCCTCACTGGAAAGGAAGGAGCAAGAGTGACACTAGGCTAATGAGCGTCATAAATTTCATGGACATCCAGCTCACCCATTAACCATGATAATAACAAGCGGACCCGCAGAGATCCGATCTACCACAGTTGAGTCAGGTGACCCCTCTGCATGCTAACACTTGTACTTTGCTAGCACTCATGCAAACACTCACACTCATAAAAACTCTCAAGACATAGGAGCAGTGTTTCAGAATTTGAGAATGCAGAGAAACTGGGAAAAAGAATTATGTGGGTCAGTGAACATCATGTTTTGATCATTATGTAATAGAATAGTATAGAATAATATAGACAGCAATTATATGTAGCTTTGGAGTTGTATGAAATCAATCCCTATCAAAGCAAATATTTTTGACTATAATGACATAACCACTTATAGAAACAGACTGACTGAAAAAAATATTTTTTTATTATGTGAAAGTTTATATTTTTCTCTCTTTGAAGTACATAATGTGACCTATAAAGCTAGTAGACCTCAGTAGGCCTATCCATTTGATGTTCAGTTAACCTTTAGCTTCATCCAATAAACTTGCAAATTGTGGTCAGTTCAAAAATTATGGGTCTCAAAGTGTGCATCATGAACATTCATCACAAGTCCTACACTGTAAGGTGATTCTGTTACACTCTGCTAGCCACAGGGCAAGTCACGCTGATGAATCTATGCCCATGCTGTATAAAATCAACCTTGGACATGGAGCAAGAGGGCTGTGGGAAATAGCCATGGTAGTTTCTTTTTCACTTCATACCCCGTCTGTTCCAATCAAGCCCTTTAAAGACAAGTGCCCGGCACAAACAGCGGGTCCCATTGCTGGGGGTTTGGTGGCCTGAGAATGCGTGGCCGTTGTGTTCGAATTAGCAGGAGAAAGCCCTGGCCAGGCTACTCTACGAGGGGGTCCCACTTTGGATCCAACGTTTGGGCCTTTTGTTGGGTTTTTGTCACCCCCGGCAGCTCACCTATTGAAGGGAGAGCCTAAGATATGTAAAGCAGCATTGTTTCAAAGCGTTTGCTCTGCTGGGAAACAAACAAAGAAATAAAGAAATCAAATTAAAACTTTTTAGAGAACTAAGAGTCTGAGTGTGTATGTGTGGTGGGGAAGAGAAACAAAGAGAAAAAAGAGAGAGTATGCTCTGAAGAAAGTGTTTAAAAAAGGGCCCTGGCAAGCAATATATAGGAAGCCAGTGACGGTTTGGTTCTGAGACAAATAATAAATAAATAAATAAATAAATGAATGAATACATGGAAAATATGGACTGGGGTGCAAAGAGCTTACTATGGTTTTATTTGACTAAAGTGGCAGCTTTTTTTTCTTTTTATTGAGGCCTGACAATGTCCTGCAAGTGCCTTGGTATGCCTCCCACCCTGCATTGAAAGGCAGGCCTGGGCTTGCCCGTCCAAGGTCGTGCCACAGCCAACAGGACTGCACTATGAAGCCTTAACCTGGCTGCCATGGCCTTTGTTTATGTTTGTTTTTTTCTCTCACTCTCTGTAATCCTCTCTCGCCAAGGCCCCCTTAGGGATAGTCTGTAAGTCTCTCTCTCTCTCTCGAGGCTGAGATCAGGTGTCGGCTGTGCGCTCCTCTTCCTACTGAGGTATGTGATAAACAGCTCAGGTCAGGTGCTGCATTGTCTTTTCGTCTCCACAACAGTATATGTCGGTGTCTCAGGCTTAACGCACCTGTCCTCAGAGGTGACAATAGAGGCCCTGTAATTGTACCATTTTTCTCCATCAAATAAATGTACTTCCTCTGCAGTTCAAAGCAATTGGTGCTTTGAAGTCATCAGATTGAGTTGTTGTTGGTAAGGTGACAATGTGGTTTGATAGTGGAAAGTAAGAGGATGCCTCTGGTGCTGCTGTTTTTTTTGCTCAATAATAATAATAATAATAAATAATAAATAAATAATAATAATAATAAATAATAAATAAATAATAATAATAATAAATAATAAATAAATAATAATAATAATAAATAATAATAATAAGAAGAAGAAAAAAATAACTATTAATAACTAACAACAGTATTATTATTATTATTATTATTATTATTATTATTATTATTAATGTTTTATTTAGACAGTGCCGCAGAACCAAGGTTATTGTACCATACATATACATGTAGTACAGCATGGTATTGTTACTAATCTGAACCCAGTTATCTGTACCCAAATCGCCCAACAGAACCTTGTTCTCCGGTTCTCTGGAGGTTGTGTGACAGTCACATGATTTCTCATGTGACATTCGTGTTAGCAGCAACCATGGAGAGGTTTGTGGTTTACCTTTTACCTTACGTTTGCTTTTACATGAGAATCACAGACAGTGATTATGGTAGTTCACTAGTGTTTTTAGAAATGGCTGCCATCTGACTTGACTGATGCCATTTGACGATTCTGTAATGATTCCATTTGACCAACCAATTGTCTGCATTATTTCTATACATCTCTGATAGTTACGCTTGGTACCCCAGCAAGACAGCTAACTAAATTCAGCACAGGTACAGTACAGTTCACTTGGCAGTGGGAATGATGACAAAATGGGTAATCATGGATTTGTAAACAAAAAAAAAAAACTAAACATACTGCCCAATGGAAAACACCCTAAGTTGCCATATTATCAGGTACACCTACCATAATGGTGCACTTAGTTGGTTTACAATCACTTATTGCAGCCCGTCTGTTGTTGCATAATTTATCAGCCACCCCCTACAAAATCCGTCAATGGAAAGGGACAGCCATAGAACCACTAAGCAGATATAGTGGCATGCTAGTGTCTGTTGTGTTGGTATGAGTGTATCAGACATAGGAGCATTGCTGGGGATTTTTACTGAGGAAGCCAGTGTAACTGGATTCATATGTGCTGATGAGTAGCAGCAGCGATATCAACAACAGATGCTATGCTACACTCTTAAAAATAAAGGTGCCTAAAAGGGTATGCACAATGCCATCAAAAAAAAGAACCACTTTTGGTTCCATTAAAAACCTTTCAGTGGATGGTTCTTTGGGAAACCATGTTTGAAAAAGAGATTTGTGAGTGGGAAGAACCTTTTTAATGTTGTACTTTTAAAAAAATGTGAATGTTCATTAAACCTTTTCAAACATGGTCAGGTAACCAAAAGTGGTTCTTCTAAGGCATTACTCAAAGAACTTTTTGTGGCACCTTGCTATGGTTAGAAAATAGAGGCAGACAAACACGCCAGTGTTCACTCCCACAGGTGGCATCACCAGCTTCTCAGAAACAGGGCAGTGTAGATTTGCTTTTCGGGAACCCGATGCGTGCTCATCTCCTACTGCAAGCAGAACCTTTTCAGCTCACCTGCTTACGCTCTGATTGGTCCATCCAAGAAGGCCCGCTTTTAGATTTGGGGCCATGAAGAACATAAAACAAATCACTCTGGAGCAGAGTTTATCACTATGAGACATGACGATCCCCATTAATTGGCTACAACGGGAAACGGCTTTGTCATGGCGATCTTTTGCCGTTTCATACGAAAACACCTACAAAAGAGCGTCACAGCTTTGTGCAATGAATAAGGGACCTCCCACTGTTTCACTTGGTATTGTTCCCTCTGCGCTTGCTCACCGTATGTATTGCTCGCTAAGCTGGTGATGGATGTCAGATTACCCTGCTGCTAGTGTCTCACTCACAAAGAGACAGTGGCTCAGAGAACACTCACACACACACACCAAACCTAAACCCACCAGCAGCAACTCTGCATACAATAGCTAACGGCGCTTGTCTGACTCCCACTTTTGAGAAGTGTCTGTATCCATATGGCAAGGAAACTTTGGATCTGAAAAATAAAGCCTTCTTAATAGTTTTGGATGGGCTGGTCACCTTTGCATGTAGTGTATCTCATTTAGTAAAATGGCACCTTAAAGAGCCATCCATTGAATGCCATCGTTCAACCTTATTTGCAGTTGAATTTTAGTGTGTGGAAGTAACTGCAGTATTATAAGTAATAATAATAAAATTACAGAAATGATTTCTTTCTGCCTTGTGTCAGCATGTAGCTATACTGGAGTATATAATGAAGTTGAAGAACTCTCTATAATCTCTAAGGTCAAAATGCCATCCAAGCACTCCTCTTTACTGATGTGCATTTGTTTGTGTGCAGGACCTCAGGTCAAGCGATGTATTGTCTCCTCATCTCCACAACAGTACCTTACTTAAGTGATGAAGCCAACTAAAATAAAATGTGAACATCAGCCCACCATATTTTTATACTGTATCAGCAGTACTTCAACTTCGTCTGCCACGTCTGTACATTTGCTTTCCCTAAGGTTTTCTGTTACCTATGTGCAAAGTCAGGAGCCTGACTCTACCCGTGTTCCTGTGTTGGTAACGCGCTATGGCATTCAAGATTCTCAAAAAATCTTGCCACAGACTCGTAGACCAAGCCTCAAGCTGGAAAAAGCCTCAGATAGCTAGCTAATACACATCAAAAGAGTGATGTACTTTTAAGCACAATTATGTACCTGCAACAAACCTTCTCTGAAACAATTAATTTTGTGATAACAGACTTTTACCTAATGTGTGAGCTACCTCACTAAAATTTAGATAGATAACTTGTATAGCTAGCCAACTTAGGTGGGACGCCACCCAAGCCAGGGCTAATTTTGCAAAAAAAGTATGTGTTTTGCAGAAACATTTACTGATGAAATTTAGCAAAATTGCCTCTTGTCTGATTATGGGTAAGATTTATGTAAATGTGATTTTTATTCTTTAAGTACAAGGAAACATGTAAAAAGTTGTTGTCTGCAGGTTCCTGAGTTTCACAGCTTTCTAAGCATTGGCTTTACCATCAGGAAATTGTGAGTCCCCCTGACGAGGCAACGAACGACAACTGACAGAATCATGTTTGAAAAGAGATTTGTAAGTGGAAAGCATTTCTATATAGGTTCTAGAAACAACCCTTATAGGTTGTTTATAACCTTTACATTATGTGAAGGTTGTTTAAACCTTTAAAAAGTTCTTCATACTCAAAAATTACCTTTTTAAACAGACAAGTACCACGATGCTAACTAATGCAGACATCCGTTAGCTGACATAAGAGATTGGCGGTTAGCACTCTCTGGCAGCACATGCTGGTGCCATTTGTACAGTAGTTTGATAAATATGTCAAAATACTATAGGCATACTGAAATACTGTAGAGCTTAGTTCAGTCTCAAACATTAAGGGGAGCTTCAGTTGCCATCGCATGAGCCATAGCTGTTAGGGGACATAGATCTGGACGTTTCCTTGCCCTTTCAATTTGCTGCTGTTTGAGCACTTAGAAAAGCCCCATATAGTTGAACTACAGAAAAATGTATGTCTACCATGACATGATTAATCATGCACATGAGAGACATATAGACTCACTGTAACTATCCCCTAAAAAGAAATTATCCCCTACAGTGTAGATAGGCACAGAGGTGTTCATTGATTTTTATCTCTCACCCTCACTGAGAAGCACTTTTTCCATTGAAGACACTCTCTGTTCATTGAGCAGCTAAAGAGGCTCCAACAAACAGTACACCCCTGAGTGGAGAGAAGAGTCTGAGGTTGTGAATCCCCCCTCCAGTGGTTTTTAGAGGTTCACATTGGCTATGGGCTATGAGTGTAGCTACAAAGCCCTACAGCATCACTGTAATAAATCTTGGTTACCACCAGGCTCTTTCTCTTTCTGTGTTTTCCAGAGGGACTGTTATGGGCTCTCTCACATTTTGTGTCCAGCCTTCATGACAATAGCACCCGCAGTTACCCAGGAGACTGGCCTTTTTGGGGGGCCATGTGATGAAAAAAAAAGATGTGTTCCACCTCTCTCTTTCCACTTTTCCTTTTTTTCAGACTTTTGCTGGATGGAGGGGATACATTAAGGTTTGAATGGATGCCTGAAGCAATGGTGAAGCTATGCTTTCCTCCTGTGGTCCACAGCACCAGGAATACCAAAGAAGTTGTGGTGGCAATAGTGGAAAATCTATCCTGAAGGCACAGCTTGTCAATGTGGCTGATATTTTCATCAGTGTAGCATTTTATTGAATTATAAAAGAACAGCTATAAGAAACCATAATGTCAGCTGTGTTATTCTAAATAAGTCAACCTGAAATGATGATAGATCTGTTTTACATTGTTAGTGGTCATATTAAGCATGGTTCATCGTGTCGTATCATTTAAAAGACAAGATTCTTGTTATAAATTAAAATGTAATGACTTTTGCCCACCTCTAAACCATCTTCTCATTTTTGTTTATGTCACTGTGCACTAGCAGGTGGGGAAAGATAATATTAACCAATAATATCACATTTCACCTCCTATCACCCCCATCATTAAGCAAAAAACTAGCTCACCAATACTGAGAAAACTGACTAAATGAACTTTTCCTAAGTGTTATGATACAATCACCTCTCCAGTCAGATCTAACCCCCCTTTGACAGCTCAATAAACAGCTCACAACGGCTAAAGCCTGGCCACTTGGCTGTTTACTCTCTCTGACACTGTACAATGTTCGCGACTTCCACAGATGACACCAAATTCCTGCACTTTTCTTTCCTTTATTGGCCAAAGGATTTTAAATGCTGTAGTAGCCATTTTACAGTTTTGGTTTTGAGCGTTTGCACTGGGGGAAAAAAATAGTCTGGTTAACATTTCATCAGGGAGCTCTCCTTACGTGCCGCCATCAGCAGGGATGGAGAATAATGCCTGCATCAGGTTACCCAGGCATTCTCGTTTCACCAAGCCACAACATTATAATTACCAGCCATGCACTCTACCAGGAAAGACAACTCCATTCCAGCATGGACTGGCCATCCCAGAGTGGAGACATGACCTAACCAAGAGACATATCAACATTTCTGGAGAGAGAGGAGAGGCATTGTAACACCACTGTCGAAAAGTTTTGTTATATTTTAAAAAATGTAGTATTTCTTATACAATAATAACTTATACAGTGTAGATTTAAAACTAATAAATTAGTTATGATAATGATTTGATGTTTTGTTCAATATTTTAAGAATTTTAAAATACGTCAAGCTTTTATCAAGCTTTGATCACAACTTTTCAAATATAAATACAATAAAATATCTATTATACATATTTTAATATTAATTATAAAATAACTTTCATGCTCATTCATGTTCTACAGCTTTCTCTGGCATTTTAGAATCTTCTACATCTAAAATGTCTTAATTTCTTACAGCTTCTTAACTTCCTACTAATTGTTTGAAAGCTATGAAACTGCACAGGACTAGCATACTAAATTCACTTTATTAATTTAGCTGAAATTGCAATTTGCTTTTATATTGTTGAAAACAATGCCAAACTTTTGAAAAGAGATTTCAAACTTTTGAACTGTAGTGTATAACAATAATAATAATAATAATAATAATAATATAATTATAATTATAATTATAATTATAATGATAATAATAATAATAATAATAATAATAATAATAATAACACTTTATACACTTTATTTACAAAAACTCAAAATGCTTTACACAGGAAATAAACCACTGGAATAAAAAAACCCTACAGTCTCAATGAAATGACAGCCAATAATTATAAACAGGCAAAAATTAACCCTCATATACCAAACTTTGAACATCCCACGTCAAGTGACATGTTTGTTTGCTTTCCTAATTGAAAATACGTTAACACATCCTCTACAGGGATGAATTATTATGAGTTATTTTAGAGAGAACATGCTTGAGCAGTAGACTGAAAAAGGGGGCACAGGCTTACTTTCATGCCAAAATTTAACAAGTGACTCTTGCACATGCTAACAGTCTGCCATTCAACAACGGCAAAATACCATTTTATGAGGTACAAACTGCAATGAATGTGCAAGTCGATTCATTTGGCTAATCACTCTCCATCCTCTCCCCTCCTCCACTGCACTGGTCTGGTATGGTGTGGAAATGCAGTGATATACGAGGGCGTGGGACACTCGTCCCCATCAGACCCCACATGGTCCCACTGAGCTGACGACTGACTGGAGCTTCAGAGGGTGCGAGAATTTGACTGAGCACAGACAAAGCCCTCATAGCCCCCCTACTCTCAGTCACCTCTGAAACGAGACAAGCTGAAACAAGCTTGTATAAATCACACACACACACACACGCACACACACACACACATATACACACAAACACGCTTTCCAGAATAATATAAGTACTGCCCAAGAGCGTAAAAACAGAGAGAGACATTATGCTTGTTGAGGATAGAAGTTATATTAAAAACTTTTAGGAGCATTCTTGAGCAACACAAACCACCTGTAAAAAAACAAAGTCATCCGGCTGCTTTTAACATAACTTCTGATAGTAAGTTAATGCAATATCTTCCAAATTTTTTGTTACAACATGGAACCATTTCTTTCTTTCACATATACTGATCATTTCACGGATTTCCGTTAATAAAATCAAGAAAAACTTCACTTACGTTTATGCAAACATACAAAATTTCTAAACTCTGCTCCAAATTATTTTTTGTTAGCTTAACATTTAAAGTTTGCCTCAGCAGATTCTAAATCACATTTTAAAATATTGTGTTTAACTGAACTGAGCTGAATTACAGTACTAAAACTAAAAATGGCAAGATACTTGTTCTCTGCAAGAGATTCTGTGCATAATATTCCCCTAACAAACAATAAATGGAACAATAAATTAATTGCAAAAATAAACAGAGAGAAACAATTTAGAGAAGTGGATGAAAGATTTTAGCCCCTTAACATCTCAGGCTTATTACATACTAAGCCTTATTATTCAGTAACTTCAATGCAAACTGGTTGAGATATTCTTAGATTACAGGAGCGTGTAACAAAACTTTAGGCCCGCCGGCATGCTATGGTCATGTAAGGGGTTAACCTGTTGACCTGCTGTGATAATATATGAAGATGAAACCAGCTGCACATTTGAAGTGAACTTTTGTGAAATTTTGCATGTTTTTTGTTTGGTTTGTTTTTTTCCATGGAAATCATGGCATGGCCTGTTAGGCCTTATGTGAATTAGTGTGGAATGACCCTGATAAGAGACACTTTCCCCTCTCTAGAAGAGGTTACTGAGCTATTAAAGAACAAGAAATAAGGCCAGTATCCAGTCAGATTTAATTTTAGCCAGTCCATATAATCAATGTGAATGAACTTCCAAATTGAAAACATCATTGTTTTGTACCTATAAACTCATGAAAAGAACATTAAGAATTAATGTAATTATTAAGTTAATTCAAATTAATTTGCAAATATATGACAAAATATTTGACTTATTGTGCCATTCTTGTATGTATATATATATATATATGTATAATGTGTGTGTGTGCGTGTACTGTTATTTTTCTTGGCACATTGATCATGACATTCAGGTCTTCATTGACAAGCATCTGTAGCATGATATATTTCATGTATAAATATTTCATATGTACAACAAATAAAGTTTGACAGACAAGAGAGACAAAAAAAAGAAAAATCTGCCACCAACATCTCTGATTACTTGATCAGCCGTTGCTTTGATTAATCAGTTGCTGATTTATTAGCAAGTAAAGTTCTTTGTCTAGTCAATGTAAAATGTATTTCCCAAAGTGATAAAATGATGATAACATTGTAACATACCACTAAATGTTAAGAATCTACAATGTAAATGTAGCTTGAATGGTGAGAATAATCACTTTGATAACATTCATAATAAAATGTACAGTAAAGTAAGCATTACATTAGAAGAGGTTTTAATCCAAAGCATTTGAATTGGGACCAGATATGTTTGGCACTTTTACACATTATAAAGTAATTACTCTATCCTCTAGGATGGGATTCTTACAGATGTTATTGAACATGTACAGTTTCAATGCCAGTATGTATTATTTGCTTGGTGGCCTTTAAACATGTCAGCACAGTTGCTGTAAAAGTGTATGTGTGTCTTATTTGATCTGGATGTAAATGCCATACCAGTCCAAATTAGTAAGGTTTGTATTGTTCTTATCAACATTCGAAAATGAGGCGTAATAGTTTCTTCATACATCAGTTCTTCATATAAATGAACAAGAATAAGTTTCTGAAAAGCATCGTAGCACAAAGCTAATTATAAAATACTGGATCCAGTGTTACTTTGAGCACTCTTTGTAATTACTAGGGTGATATTAACTTTACAATACTATGGAAACTGGATGCAGTTCTGCATAACTATAAGACATTAACCCCATCAAAACTCAGGCTTATTACATACTAAGGCTTATTATTCAGTGACTACTTGGACTTCAATGCAAACTGGCTGAGATATTCTTAGGTTATAGTGGTATGTAATAAAACTTGCTGGCCTTTAAAGGGTTAGCAACACCGTCTTCATGCTGTGATGGCGTTTCATAAAGTAATAGCATGTTACAGCGATAACTATAATAATAGCAGTCCAGCGTTATCAGTGTGATCCATGTTTATTTGCATTTTTAATTTTGTTCTTTTCAAGCGGGTGCCTCAGCTGCAGTAAATGATTGGTACATTTTGACTTGCTTTTTTGTCAGTCTTAAATATTAAGAAGAAGTCAATTTTTACTTGGTTTTTAAATGCAATTAGTTAACATGGGCATCTAAACTGTAAACAAACACAAACTTGTGACTCTCATTTTTCTCCTTCTACATGCACTGTATTTGTAATTCCACAGTTGGTCAGTGTCCACTTTGCAAGTCCAATCTTGGAGAATGTTTTAGGAGAACCCACTGCTTGTGGCAGTCTTTGATCAGTGGCTTTTAAGTCAATAAAGGAAGACAACTCAGTTTGCCAAATATAAAAACATAATCATAAAAATCAAAATAAGGAAAAGCCACAAGCTTAAAATGCTCTCTTTGTGATGAAAAGTTCTTTGGGATAAAACAGTCTCAATCCTCTTTGTTCCTTCTAACATTTCCTGGGTTTGGTTGGAAATGAAGTACCTCAAGAGCAACTGATGATCTCTTCAAAGAAGAGATTCAATTTTGCAGTTCATGTCAACTCCAAGTGAGTCTCCCAGATCAAACAGCTGATCTAGATTAACGGTGGAACTGCAGAGGAAGTCGGGACGGTCCCCTGCTTCGTCCTCTGCCCACGGACTCTGTAAAAATTCTGTGGCTAAGAATGTCTCCTTGTCAAAGTCTACATTGTTGCTCATTTGTGTTTCTATTAACACACTGCTCTCTGCAGTACCAGCAGGGGCCTCCAGGGGGCTGATGTGGACACCGTGTATGGTGAGGTCCTCCTCTCTTGGTATTGGGCTCAACGGACTACCTTCATTCAGGCTCAGTTCCCCATTCAGGGCTGAATCAAGTAGGGCATCCCAGTCAAAATTGCTCTTGAGGGAGTCTAGATCCGTCGGTTCTTCCGTGGCCAGGAGCGGGGAGCTGGAGCGGCGCAAGGCTTTGTTACCACCAGTCCGGTGTCCATACGGCTGTTTTCTCTTGTGGCCCTTTCCTGAGCCCCAACAACCAAACATTGTGGCTTCAGCTAGGCGAGGGTCCCAGTTCTGGTCAACTCCAGTGGCTTCCTCGAATTCTTTCAGGAGTTGCTGGGACTCAGGGCTAACACAGAGACCTCCAGTGACACTTGTTGGCATACTCAGATCAGGTTGCGAGTTCATCCTGAGACGGTTTTGAAGAGCTGGGTTAATCTGTACTGGAGGCATCCTCCGCTTTTTATAGGCCCCGCTGAGAAGGCGCTCGGCATACTGGGGGTCAATCTTCCAGAAACCTCCCTTTCCTGGCTCGTCCTTCTGTCGTGGAACTTTTATGAAGCACTTGTTTAGCGAGAGGTTGTGTCGGATCGAATTCTGCAATAATGCATGTGGAGAGAAACAAAACCACAATAGCATTATTCATTAATCCTACTGTGGAAACAAATGCAGGCATGAGTGTGCTCATCATTCATTATGATTTTCAGCAAAGCAGGAAGTCCACATGTTTAAAATCCATGCATTATACAAGCCTTCTGCACATCCTGCACTTTAATGAACAGCACAATAGACTGACCAGGCACCACAAAGCACTTATATTTAAATGAAGCACTGACCCTTTGACCTTGGTTAAACATTATTTGTTAATGTTTGGGTTAGAATAACTGAAACTAGAGGAAATGTCTGAGTTGTCCTCAGAAATGCTACAGGGTTCATTAATCATTCACCAACAAATTAAATTTTTCTGAAAATCCCCCTTTTTGACAGTAAATATTTACTTTAACATGTCAGTACCATTGGTCAGTAAACCTTTTCAATTTCTTTCCTTTTAGCTGTTGTTGGTCTATACTGATTTTTAAGTCCAAAGGCTTATGTGCATTTGAATGAACAAATTAAATCCTCTGTAGTAAGATACCCCATGTGCTGGAGAGAGACCCCTCTGGGTTTGCTGCCATTCCTGCACCTTGAGCACACTTAATTAGCCATAGTACTTAGTTGCTAAAGCTATTTCACTGTGTGGCAGGTGTCCAAGAACTTCCCAAATATAAAATCTCTGAATAAAAAACGGCTTTCTGAAGGGTTCCTGTTGAAGAAAATCATTGTGCTGAGCAGAAATGGATTTCTCTCCAACATAGAGAGTCTGCTGTGACAGCTGTTGTAGAAGACTCTCTCCTTCTCTCGCCTACTTTAACAAGAGCAAAATGCTAACATTTAGCTCCTGTCAAGTGCGCGAACATGCTTTTTTGCCTTGTTCACTGGCAAATAAGTTAAAACATTTTCTGAAAGAAATATCTCATTATATGCAATATCGCTAACAATGAATGAAAGCCAGTAGCCACCACCTAGCATGATAGCATTTAATAATGCTAATTTGTGGCTAATCACTTTTATTCATTATTAGCACTTTTATTCATTATTAGCAACTTAGTCCTAACTGAACCATTCATTTAATTCCTGTATTTTCAAAATAGTCCCCATATGTAAGGGAAAAAAGCTCACCTGCCAAGTGGGGTCAGCATGGCGAAAATAGCAGAAGTTGTCAGTGATCCATTTATAGATGCAGGAGAGGGTGATTTTGGTTTTCTTGCTTGCCTGCATAGCCATGCAAATGAGGGTGGCATATGAGTATGGTGGCTTGATATGAGGGTTGGTCTTGTAGTCAACCTCATCTGGGCAGTGGCCATGTGCCACTAAGCTGGGCAGAGCCGACAGGGAGGGCACCCGGCAAAAAGCAGCCGCTGTGGGCTTACCTGGGGTCAGCGGCATACCTATGGAGGCGGGGTCGGCCGCTAGAGGAGATGAGGGGGCTTCAGCACTCAGCTGTTGGCCAAAGAAGTGGTTGGGGTGTTGGCTGGAAGTAGACACATGTTGCCCTCCGCTGACATTGATGATAGAGAACTCCTGCAGCCACTGTAGGCTGGTCAGGCTGTCGTCCAGATTGTCTGAATTGCTGCTGCTGTTATAAGCTGAAGAGCTTCCGTCCAGATCCTCAGCCTGAGCAGCAGCGGTCACCACCTCTTCCTCCAGCCCCACAGAGCCATCGGGCCAGGAGTCCGCACAATTCATGGACAGCATGGTGTTACGTTAACCTCTCCCTGCACCTCCTCAGCCAAAACCTGCACAAGGACAAAACACTAATGGCAGCCTGTTTTAATCATTCATGAGGCTGGATGTCATTGCAAGAATGAGCCGCAGTACATCAAAGCAGCCCAGATAAAACTATCAGCCTGAAGTTTCTGACAGACAGGTTTCTGTAAGCCTGAATAGAAGAATGTTTTTTAAAGTTGGTTGTGTTCGAGCCACTTAAGAGTGGCTGCCAAGAAAGCCCCCCTCAAATTCCACAGCTGATCGGAGGCCATAGAATGTTCCTGAAAAAGCCACAGCTCGCTGTCTATGTGAGCCATCTTCCACCAAGACTATGGCTAGATACTTTATTCTCATAAAAATAAACGATTCTCTTGTGATACATTGGTCTAAAAGAACAACATCTTTGGCCTACACGTTACCCTACAACGCGCAGGACATAACGTAAAGCCTGATGATGTTAAAATGTTCACATGTAATAATTTAAACTACGTGGTTTCAAACCCGCAGTGTTTTGTTTGCATTTATCCAACAACGATGAAATTAGTAAATACACAAAATAGCTTGTGTAGCCTTATTAAGCATTATAAAAAAACACTAAATCCAGCTTACCTGTTTGTATTAACTTAGAATGACTTGGAAAAACATCCAAAATGGATTTTTAATATGAATTTTAAATCCTTATTCGTCTTAACGAGTCGGCACAGCTCTGAAATTCCGTAAGATGACGTCTCTCCTCAGTTTCAGGTCTCTGGGGCCTTCTGACCGGGGGGCACTTTAATACCTGCTGCACGAGGGCTGTCCGGTAACCGTAGCAACGCTACACCCCCTTGTAAACAGCTTGCCGTTGTTCTATTGGCTGGGCGGTTGCTATAGAGCTTCATTTTAATCACTGTCTCACAGGTTTGTTCGTCACGCTAGTGAATTCAGGCTAACTCGCAAAAGGGCAAAAAAGGATGAAACGTGTTTAATTTTGGCAGACCAAGCCAAATGTGGAGGTGAAAATGGCCAGTTAAAATTAGTAGTTTGTTGTAGCACTTGTAGCAGTTGTAGTAGTAGGTTGGTTATTATGACATTATTATGACATTTATGGTATTTGTTTTCACTGAAATCGTTTATTCCACGCGTAGGCACTGTAAGTTAGCTACATTTTTCCCCTGACAGAATTTAAGAAGAATCAGTAAAATGATGTTCAAGTGACAGTGACGAGCGGAGCAGCAGAGACTCGGGGTACTTCGTCCTCGATGCTAAATCGATGAGAAAGTCTTGTTTTTTTTATTGCTTGACACTTGCCTTTGTAAAGTGCTTCAGGAAGCCACTCAGCCACACTAAAGGAGTGTTTAAGAGGCCTAACCGTTTTCCCTCTCCGCCTTTTTTGATTTCTGAGAATAAATGCATTCCTTCACAAACACCTTACTTACAAGTCTGAGATGTGCTTAAGTTTTGTAGTCTTCTTTAATAATTATCACTTTTTGTCATCTTTTTTATGGCAACTTTTTTCAGCTAAAATCTGTCTTCTGTTACCACTGAAACTCTCCACTAAAAAACGTGACAATGAAAGTGAGAGAAAGGAGCAGCAGACAGTGCTTGAAGTACTTCCACCTCTCGCCTTGTTGCCAGCCGCCGGTCAAATGTCCATCAAAACATTCCTTTCTGTTCCACCTTGTCAGGCTTGTTTATATGCCTCACGTGACATAACTCAGAATAGAATGGTTTTCTATGAAGTCATAGTAAAACAGAGTGATTTTCTATGAGGTCTGTAGAATATCATGAACTAAGCGGCTCAATTTAAGGTATTTTTTAGCTCAAATCAGTGGTATATTAAGTAAGTAGGCCACAAATTCAGCCACCTATTATACAATCAAATGTTTGCTGTCGTCATGTAAGCTCATGAACTAGCGTAGGCAATAGTAGCTCTTACTTTCTTTTAGAGCCTATATATATATATATATATATATATATATATATATATATATATATATATATATATATATATATATATATATATATACACAATGCACACGCATAAGAGGCAGTATGTAACGGCAAACAGTAGAGGGCGCAAGTGGATTAATTTCTGGCAGTTTGTCATTTCAGATTCTGCCACTGGAGGGTTTAAAATTATTTACAGACTTTTTCAAGAATGAACTTTGTTTGCTAAAAATAACACGCTGAAACTACAAAATGAAAATTCAAGGAGGGGAAGAAAAGTTTTCCTCTTCTTTGCTCCTATAGCACATTTAATATACAGCTTATAGAATTTGCAAATAAGGTCATTCAGAATAAGAATTTTACACTGAATGAAGCTTAATGAAGAAGTCTTTGGATTACACATCCAAGGAGTTTTCTTAACCATCAACCTCAGCATACATAGAGAGTCCTAGAAAAACAAGGGTGACTTATTAATAAGGCAAAGTATATAAGTCACACATGTCATTTTAATTACGAGTGTATTATTGAAGTTTACAGAGACTACATCATTATCTCTGGATGCAAGTCTAAAGTCCTTTGTATCAATCATTCACTGTCCCTTCACAGGCAGGAATAAAGAGGAAAGGGAATTCCAGTGCAAGGCAGACTTGGCTACAGATTAACAACAAACAGACAATAGCAATACAAAGTCTGTGGCAAGTGTATATCAAAGAAAGATAAAACTTTCACTGTTAACACTGTTGCAGTGCGTTATGGTAGAATGAAAACAGAATTACAAAGTTTCTTTTGATGGATTTGGTCAGCCTTGGCTCATTGTACTACATTATTCCAGACTAAACAACTTATCATATGATCCCCAGAGTGTTTATTCTTTTGCTACTTCATGGTTTTGCCAAATCATGGAAGGTTATAAATAATACTTTGACAAAAAACTTTTGACAAATGGTTCTAACAAATATCATGTATGTCCAAGCTTACTAGGCTGTAGGCCATAGGAGTGTTTTTTATTTTCTTATGCACAGTCAGGCATCCTGGCTTTGTTTAACAGTGTATTACATGGCCAGTCTTGTATGTCTTGTATTTGTTTCATATTCATTTCAATGTGATTCAAATAAACATTCTAAAATGTTTTATTCTCTTATATGATCATTGAAAGGCGAATGTAATCTTCCTGATGGTGTTCAAGTAAGGAATTATTTCAGGTAGCTACAGCGCAACTGTTGACTTTGGTTCTTTAGTCACTCAGCTATAGAAGAGATTTTATAAATTTATTAAAATCCAAGCACTTAACTTTGACAGTTTAGCTTAGCCACCTAACCATAGATCTATCTCTTCAGTTTACTTCTACAGTTTATATACTTAAAATTGGACCACACCCAAATATACATTAAAAAAATAAAGAATTTACTCAGAGAAGAAAGCAGAAAAGAAAATAAGCAAACTAATGTGTTTTTTCATTGAGTTCCATAGGCATAATTCATCGCACATTCTTTGAGTGGCTTGCATTAATGTTACTGTATCCTCACATCCAGTTTAATATGCCACAATTAAATACTCAATACTAAGGAGACGCCCAGCTCCAATACATTATAGATAACTTTCTTTGTAATAGGCTTTCTCCTACTCCCAATCTGAATTATTCAGTCTTGCAGCTGGGAAGGTTGACCCTCCTGAGCTGGTTTCAAAGTGTTAGTCCTATCAGCACACTCTCTGATTACACCCTTTTCAACAGAAGGTGCATTTACTTCTGTAGGTAAAGGGAAAATTAGCAACAGACAAATGCAGTAAAATCCTACATCTGCATGATCCTCTGTTCATATTCTCTGTTTATTCTATGTAACTTAACCAAACAATAACGTCATTCCATGATTACTTCTACATTAATGTTATATTTTAATCTGAGAACAAGTCTAATGGAGTAATATGTTACATCCAAAACAAAACATTTAGAACAGAAAGATACCAAACATTTCAAAACATATTTTAATAATTATATGCGTCTGTTCAGAAGTTTGGAATCACTATTTTCTATAATATCAAACTAATTTCATTGCAGATAAATGTATAAAATGATTATAATGCAATGCTAATCTTTTAAAGGTTTCAAATTATGTTTAGGAAGCTGTAAAAGACATGTTGAACTGGGCTGTAGATGATTCCATAATAATAATAAATAAAATGATAATAAAATGGATAATATACAACATGCCTCATATTCTAAAAGTTCTAAGTCTTGCAGTTCAGATACCAATTCATAGTATTTATTGTACAGTTTATTATTTAATGACATTTTTTTTTACCATGTCATAATTCTTGTTTTTTGTTGCTAAAATACTTTCAGTTGTGAATAAACTGTCCATTTACGTTTTAGTGTACAGTTCATAACATTTCAATCCACACTGTATGAGCTATTATTGAATAACAGTAATTTATATGCCAAATGATTCCAAACGGTAGTGTATTTCTCCCTGTTCATATGGAACGTGCTTGGGTTTTTTCTTTTTACGTTCTGATTTCCGCACTGAAGCTTGTAAATTAAATTTGTGTAAACTGTGAAAAAATGTCCTAACCAATAATAGTACTGTTCTGTAAAACCTTCCTTCTGCGCTGACCAATAAGAGTTTGTGTTGCGATTTTCCGGTATCCAATCACTGAAAACGTGTGGTTTCAAATTACGTCACTCGAACGGATTGACACTGTGCCGAATGGCCAATGGGACGTCGGCATGTAGTAGTTCCTTTTCACTGCTGTCCAATCAGACGCTGAGTTTGGGTTGTTGTTGGTGATGACATAAAATATTTGTTGTTAGTGAAGGCGAACAGCCGAGAAGTGGAAGCGAGGGCCTGGCCGGGGATTCGTTTCGAAAATTGAACCGTACTGAGCTACTATTTGTTACCCCAGCGGCTTTAACATACACGAGTGCGGGAAGTGTGAAGCGCGGTCATGTCGGTGAATATGGACGAACTCAGGCATCAAGTGATGATTAACCAGTTTGTTTTGACTGCTGGTTGTGCCGCTGACCAGGCAAAGCAGCTTCTCCAGGCAGCCCACTGGCAATTCGAGGTAGCTGAATTAGCTAGCTGTGTTTATAATGTCTGAAAGCCTTTCTTAGGGGGTTTGCATTGTTAAAGTTTGTTGCTGTAAAGCCGTATGCTGCACTGAATGCGGTTCCTGAACTTGAAACGTGGGACATGTATCATATTCTCTTTTACACGTGTAACGTTAACCAATTTAATAACGAGGCATGCGTTTTAAAGCTAATCCGGAAGACATGCTCAGACGGAAAGGAGTGTTCAGAAATCAGGTGCATTTTCCAGATTTAGTTTGGGTCGTCAAAGTGAATCTTGAAGCAACTAAGTCAAATTCTAAAGCTATATTTCTGTCAATTAGAGGAACCTTGTTTTTAACCATGTTTGTGCCCACCGTCGTGTCAGTACGGCTAGTTAGCTTGTTAGCGAGATTTCCCCGTTGGCTTTTTTCAGAAACGAACGATGGGCTTTAATCACACTCAGCACTGGTATTAGCTGCTTGAGTCTATTGACGAGGCTAAAGAGGTGATATCCATCAGCATTTATATATTTATTTGGGTTTTTTAAGAAGGACGTCAAGCAGAGATCAGGGAAAACTCAGAAAATGTCTTGTGAGCTACGCAGTAGCTTACAAGTAGTCTTCTTAAACAATAAATGTTCCAGAAATGTATTAAACATAAGCCGTTTTGTTATATATTTTTGCTCACTTTATTCTTACAGTGTCACTATAGGCTCTTTTCGGTTTCGTTGCGAATGTGTTTTGCAATACTGTGGGAGCGTTTTTTGTGTTTACATTCCCCACAGTTCAGTCAAATAAAGCAAGGCAGGCTTTTCCGCCTCGGGCTCTGTTTACTACCGACAGTGTACTGGTCGTGTACAAAGAGTGGCATGGATCGGGTGATGGTTACAACTGCATGAACCCGGTTTGCCAGCACTGACAATACACGCTTTGTTTATGCTTGTCGGGTGGGTATGGACAGTTATGGACAGTATAGGAGGCGATATTAACATGCACCTTGTGAACCTACGAACCCTATGACTCCATGATTTTTCCCCTCTTAACATGAGATTTGAAAAGAAGGTTCTCTAAACTTGATTGTCTTTTTGGGTTATCAAAGCTGTTAACATTTAATGATTTGTCTTTAGAATTCAGTCACTTTGCTTGGTAGTGTTTTCCACTCACAGTGATCAGTCAGACTGGGATATGGTGTCTTTCTCCCTATGTCTTTGCATAAAATAAAGAGTCAGGGATTATACTGAGATCTGCTTTGGCTCTGTTACAGGCTTTATGTAAACTTGATTGTCTGTTATGGTCTGTTGTCGTGCCTTTAAGACTTTACTATGGTTCTCTATTACTTGGAACATTTTCTGCTTGACCACAAATTGTGAAAGTTTATCTGAGAGAGAAGGAAGTGAACCACACCTTATTACCAGCACACAGTCAGGACATGGCTGCTTCATTGTTGTTTAGGTCACGTCAGTTAATGGCTGATCATTTTCAAAGACTAGGCCTCTGGTTACAAAAAGTGTATCTGCTTAGCTCAGAGGTCAGTGCTGAAGCATTTCCAACTCCCAGCCTTAGTTTCCAGATGGTTCCTCAAACGCTCCTTCTAATGACCAATCTGTTGAGGGAGCTGTAATTTGACCAGGTGGTTTATTAGGGTAAATATTTTCTGGAATGAAAATGAATGCATGATACAGTTGCTTTAAATGGGGAACTGGGAAATGAGGGGCAGTACCGATATCCAGTATTTTTCATGTATGTATCAGCTTGCTGATGCATATACCAATACATAAACATTTATAAAATGTAAAAATTGGCACTAAGTCCACTTGCATTAACATTGTATAGAAATAAGACATTTATTTCTGTAGGATTACAAATCCAGTAATGGGTAGAAAGCAGGCATTTTTATCACAGTAGCACAGCAGCATCACCCAAACATTCTGCTCTTCCAGATTACAGTAAATATGTAATCAAATATCAGTTTGAGTGTTGGTCAAATTTAAACATTTGTCTTAGGCCAATGTATTTTTAGAACAAATATCTGTTGATACCAATGTGTTTCTGATACCATTTGTGCATCCATAATAATAATATTAATAATTATAATAATAATAAAAATGTGCCAGTAACAGAATTTTGTTTCTAAATTATAAAAATGGTCAGGATAGTTGAAAGATGCTTTGAATAGTGCATGTATGAAATTGCTTAATAATATTCCGTTTTATAAAGCTTGCTCAATGGTCGTTTTGAAAACAAAGGCATACAAGTTAAATGTAACTATGATACAGAAAAAACTTCTCATTTAAGGAAAGAAAGCTTTAAAAAATATTTTTATACTAAAAATAAATACACTGAAACAGACTTTTTGACACAGAAATCTTGCCTTAAATGATGGAACTATGAGTGTCCTTTACAGATTCGTTGTGTAGAAACGTGCACTCCCAACACTTTTTTTGTGTATCGTAGCAGATTTATCAGTAAGTTTGCATAATAACTGTAGCTATAATACTGTCCAGATAAAAGGTCATTGCTGTTTGAGCTTTTTTGGTTGTATAACAGACTCCCTGTACCACATAAAGGCAAAATGCTGCTTATTTTAGCTCCGTCTTTCTAAATGATGGGTTTCTGGTGTGTTTGAACGCACATCAGTGGCAGGTTGTGCACATGTTGTCTTATTTCCACTTTCAGAGACCTTCATGTCCTGTAAAGTAGCTGTCATTTTGGTTTTGTTGCAATTGGGTGAGACATTTAAAAGCTGTTGTGTACCAAAGCCCAGTGTGTTTGTGTGCCTGTATGGTCATAGGAAATGAGCTAAAGACTAGCACTTGAATATGAACAGTTCACATAAACAAAACGGACTTCGGGGTGAACAGGAGCGGGGGAGAGTAAAGATTTGATGACAAAGAAGCTCTGTGGTCCTGTTAGCGCAAGAGACTATAGCAATTTCTGCGCGTTCATGTTGATATGTGTGTCACGTCAAGCAGCAGACATTCCTGCGCTAGCCACTGCTGTTGTCAAACAACGAGAGAGGGGGAGTGCATGGGGTTGGGGGAAGGGGACTAACAGCGGGGAGAGAGAGAGACACAGACACACGCACACACACCATATATTGCAGGAAGTGTTGTTAAGGAAGAAAATTTATAGAGAAAGAAAGCCAGGCATTCACTTGTTGGGCAATACTTATAGGCCAGAAATGCTTTTAGAACCACAAGCGGTGCTGCTGTTGATGTTTTTGAGGCACAAAGAGAAGGATCGGCTTGCTTGTGTCTGGTTCTCAGTATGAATCATCATCTAGTCACCTTCTATGACGCTGTAAGTCACTGTGTTCCTCAAACACAAAAGACAAGCTTTAAGGCTGGGTTATGTAGCAAAAATGTAAGTATACTTAAAATTATCGTAATATTTTTCTAAGGTTTGCGAACAAGCTGAAATGGACTAACTGTAGCAACAAAACAGTGGTGCCACATTTTAAAAATAGGTGAAGAAAAAAGCATGAATACAACAGATTTGATATTTGCAAGATAAACTGTTTAGTAAGAAACAGGAGTGAAATTTTAAACAATTGATAAAAATAATCAATGCAATAAGATAATAGGCTGACATCAAATCAGCTACTGCCAGTCTGTTACTCTGCAGTTTATGCAGTTACTGTTGTTGTTGTTGTTTACAGGCTTTCTGTTATTGGTATAGATCTTTTTCATGATCCATGCTCCTAAAAGTAGTGACAATACCCATGAAATACTGAGAAAATCACATCATGACCCAATTTATAATAATACTGATTACTGATAGTGATGCACTGAAATAAAACCAAAACCGAAACACTGCGCCAAAAACCAGCATCCAAGGCAATGAATTCCTTTATTTTTTACAAATAATTTTATGTACTCTGGCACGGTTGGTTGGTTGTTTGGTTGGTTGGTTGGTTGGTTTTGCCATTTAAAAAAACTGAGGCTACAGCTATCAGGAGCTGCATGCTAGCAGGAACCTTCCTTTCTGCTTATGTTGTTTTGCGGTGCATATCAAGCATAACACTGTGTTTTCAAATGCTATCAAACCTGCAGTCTGCACTAACCAGCAGAGGACAGTGAAAGGAACAAATGGTGTGTTTTATCACTACCATTGTGTTTTGTTTTGTTTTTACATCAGTGAAATTGTGGTGCATCCCTTCTAATGGCATAGCATGAGATTGCCCACTCATATCAATGCTTGTGTTTTCCTGATATTAATGATATTTTATTGTGTTTAGTGTTCACAATATACTCTTTAGGATGCATCAGATATTTATTTATTGTTTTGAAGTAATTTCCTTTTGTTAGTTGATTTATCTGTACAGTTAGCATCTATAGTGGTTTGTCACAAACTAGGTCTGTGGTGATATTATCAGAGATATGTGGTAATCTTACACACTTCAGAGACTTTTGCATACGTTGTTCTGTGTGTGATTTTTGAAGGTCTGGCTGGCTCACTTTTAAAGGTTTAGGCCTGTCTGGCTTTCTTTTAAAGGCTGGCTAGCAATTTTAACCCCACAGTCATGTGATCTGCTTCCTGACTGACCCACAGATCAGAGACGAGGGGAGGAGGGGCTGAGGCACAATGTGAACCTTTTTTTTTGCTCTGTGGAGAGTTTGTGAAGTTCCACTGGTGATATTTTACACACAATTTCCTCTCTCTCTCTCTCTCTCTCTCTCTCTCTCTCTCTTTCTTTCTTTCTTTCTTTCTTTCTTTCTTTCTTTCTTTCTTTCTTTCTTTCTTTCTTTCTCTCTCTCTCTCTCTCTTTCTTTCTTTCTTTCTTTCTTTCTTTCTTTCTCTCTCTCTCTCTCTCTCTCTCTCTCTCTCTCTCTCTCTCTCTCTCTCTCTCTCTCTCTCCCAAGACTGCACTAAGTTCGCTCTCCCTCTCTCTCTCCCCCACAGACTGCACTAAGTTCCTTTTTCCAGGAGGCTAATATCCCCAGTCACCACCACCAGATGGTAAGTGTATTTACGACTGTAAGAAAGAGAGGTTTAAGACTAGTCCAAGTCCAACATCCTGTCATTGTTGTCCAAGGGCTAATTGACAAAATGGAGGCTGCATGCCAGTCTGTGCCAGGAGTCATGATTTTTGGTTCTGTTAAACTTTAATAAAAATTGCACTGGAATGGGTATAAACTTCAGTACATTAAAAACAATTTTTCTTTGGAGATAATTTGCCTTTTGAAATCAATAAATCAAAATATATTGCAAAATGTTGCAGCAATAATGACGCACATTACAAGTCATTAAATATCACAAATAGGATCACATTGTGGCTCAATTATCGTTATGATAATATTATATTGTGGGGGCATTCATATGTTTGGAGTGTACAATATATGTTGTAACTTGACATTTTTCTAAGGTTTGTGAGTTTAAATAGGCACAGTGCACCAGTAAAACAGTAATACCATGTTTTAAAAGACTATGGACAACTGTGTGTACAAACGCAGAAATAGAATACTTTTATTTTTATTCATTATGATAAGGAAGAGGAGCAAAAAGCAAACAATTGTAAAGCATTAATAAGATGGTGACATAAACACAGGTACACAATCAGCTGCTTGTTACTGTGCAGTTTTAATGTAGCAGTGTAACATGCCTGTATCTTGTTTGCAGGCTCTCCACGTTTGGTGTAAATACATTTTTATGAAGGATGCATTTATCCAGTGTTCTAGAAATACTGACCGTACTTGTGATAAGATAGCCAAAAGCACTAACGTCAGTGGGCCTCATTCACCAACCGTTCTTAAGAATAAATTTCTCCTTAAAACCCACTTATGCAGATTCCACAAAGATTAGGACATTCAGTAATGTTTTCCTATTTGGAATTTGTTCCTAGGTGAGAACAGAATCTTTGCAGACTCAAGAGCACAAAGGTGTGAACAACTCTGCGGTTTATGAACATGTAGTGAATCTGATGTAGTTTTTTTCTTAGGACCTTTCTCGTTAACAAATTTAAGAAAAAAGTTAATATTGGTAAATGAGGCCCACTGTCTATGCATGGATTTGAATTCTTAAACAGAGATATATCTAAATGCCTCGATGGCATTTAGATATATCTCTGTTTAGAAGCGCTGCAGAGACATGGATATAAATCCCTGTTTTTTTGTTGATAAAAACTTGGTGTAGCAAATGTTAACTTGCCCATTTTTTTGAAGCGCATTATGGTATAAGACGCTTTCTTAAAGAGGTTATTATTGGTGGGATTTCCAGCACTGTGGTGATAAGAGACAGGTTGGAGTTACTGAGCATGACAGGCAGTCGGTACTGCACCATTTATTATAACGTAGTAGTAATAATAATACATTTTGTGTTTTATATCATGTTCAAAGTATTATTATTGTTGTAATTATTATTGTTGTAATTATTATTATTATTATTATTATTATTATTATTGGTGATGATGATGATGATGATGATGATGATAATAATAATAATAATAATAATAATAATAATAATAATAATAATAATAATCATGAAAATGGATACAGTTATCATACTCACCAAACAAGACGGCACTTGTACAATATGAGAGCAAAGGAGCAGGGGCTAAATTACCCCCCCCCTCCCCCGGGGTCAGTCTGTGTACATGCCTAGTTTGCACCTTGCATGAACATTTATTTTTGGTTACAGGTCATACACCCCACTACGCTGAATGTTGTGAACCCATTTTTTAATGTCTTTAGCAATCTGTCCAAAAGCAACCTCTCAGCAGCCTTTTTTCATGCTCCTTACTAGTTACTGTGTGCAGTATCATTATTGCTACTTGCAATTCAGTGTTTTGTTGTGTTTTTTTGTTTGTTTGTTTGTTTGTTTCTTCTGTCACGTGTCATCTTTTTTATGCTGAGGGTTATCCAAGCTGGTCTTAAAAGCAAAATGTGGTCCCTGCATTCAGCCTTCATGCATTTGCTAGAAATGTCCATTGTGTATACCTTAAAACAAGAAGAGAGGGAGAGTGAGCGTGTGCACAGACCCTTTTTTAAACATCTGTATGCCTGTGCCTGAGCGTTTGTTTTTGTTTTCTTTCCACCCCATCCCCCCCGCCCCCACCTCCGTACGTGCATGTTCGCTGCCGGGGGAGGAGCGTGCTTGAGCAAGGCAGTGGCAGGAAGTAAGTTTGTCTGTTGGTGGGGGAGGGAGGGTGGTGGGATGGTTTGTTTTTATTTTGGGTGCAGCCATTACATCATGCAGCCAGAGGCAAGGAGGTGGAGCAATGCAGGGCAACAAAAGATGTGATTGGTTGGAGGGAACTAGAGCTTTTGTGTGTGGAGGTGGTGCACAAGCAAGCATGAGCAGTAGTTATTTCTGTGTTGAGAAGGACACTCTCCTGAGCTGTCTCAATGGAGCACTTCTCTTTAAATTGCTAACATTGCTGGGAATGAATGAGGGCCAGTAGGTGTCGGCTAGCATTGTGTAAGAGAGATCATTGTTAGCAGCATTAGCATTTAGGAGTGCAGTTTACTTTCAATCTTTGTTGTTTGAGGCAGAATTGACCCAGCAGTAATACAATATAAAACTGATTAGTAGAATCGACCGGCAGGCCCGCGATCATGAACACATCTTGTCAACACAAAGAATGAGATTCATTTCTTTAAGGCTGCACAGATGACTAGCCTTTTGACAATTTAGGGCTGTCATGATAAGGATTCGATTTGTGGGGGAATGCTATTTAAAAAATAAATAAATAAATAAATAAATAAAAGAGAGAGAGACAGAGACAATCATTCTGACCATACTCTCCCCCATTTTCCACCCCATCCTCCTTCTAAAACTACCATCCCCCTTTCCATCCCATTTGGATTAATGTGATACACTCTGGGATGTCTGTTATTAGATATTTCAATTTTACAGCTAAATAAATTTGAGATTTACACTCCAAGTTTTCTTTGATGCATGTCACACCAACAAAATACAATTGTGGAAAAACATGCCTACATTTAAGGAGGTGATTATGAAGAAAAATATGTATTTTATGGGGGACAAAGTCTAATGACTCTTACATGTAAATAACTTAGCTGTTTAATCACAGTATAAGATTTCTGAAACGTTTGGCTTTTTTCCTGCATTAACAGTTGTTAAAAACACAAACATGCAGTAGAATAAAAGTTTTGGTTGTAGTATATATTATCTTTATTTGGCCAGAAAACTAGTTAATCTAATAATAAAGAACGAAAGTGCAAATGTTGCAGACTTTACTGTTTGAAGCCTGATACCTTCTTCTATGAGACTGTTTTGTCCAAGGCGGTTTGAAACATAGACATAATTTTACTTCTGTGTTTGTGACAAGACCTGAAGCCATTTTGTTGATGTCTCAAACTTGATGCTTTGGCCTGTGAATGAAATAAAATGTAAACCAAACCATATAGGTGGCATGTACAGGTGTGATATCTGCCTCAGCACAGTTGAACAGCTTAGTTACTAGAACAGTCTCATCTCTGTTAGGTATAATAAATATGGTATTAATGTAGGATATCACATCACCAAACATGTTCAGTTCAGTTATGTTCATGTATGGGAATACTCTTGTCTTCATGTTTTTGTGTTGTCTCTGATCACTATTGATTAATGAAACATTTTTATTTGATTAAAAAATACCTGATTAAAATGTACCTTCTTGATGAATTGGGCTGGTTTTTCTTACAGTAAAGACTCCAGACCTGCACACTTAGTTTGTCAGATTTAACCCGCTTGTAGTAGTAACAGTAATAGTTTTTCTCCAGTTGGAGGAAGTGGGAGTGCTGTTGAGAATGGCGAACGACGCCGTTTTGCTTTGTGTGCTGTTTTGTTTTGGCTGAAGCTGGAGGTGTGTGCGTGTGTGCGTGTGTGCGTGTGTGTGTGAAACACTAACCTGAGCAGTCTGCTGCTAGGCCCCTGGGGCCTTGAGTCACATGTCTGGACCCGTATCCCTTCAAGAGAACTTGCTAAACTCTGTGCTCTGTTTCTCTGTGTCACTCACACATTTCTCCACCCCTCTCCTCCGCTCCCCTACCAGCACAGGGACTGTTATTGTCCCAGCAGTGCTCTCTCAAGGCTGGGCTGAGCTCCGCTGAGAGAAACCCCTTGCTCTTAAAGGTCTCCTCTGAGAGCTGGTCTGCAGGTCATGTTTACGCGAGGTCAGGCACACACTGTTGTGACTGCCCTAAGAAAAGAAGGATCAAACTGAAAATACTCCTCCATGTGCCAGACACTGCAGTACATTTCCACTCCTTGAGCTGTGATTGTTTTGGACTGGTGCAGTTGGGAACTGGCTTTGTTTGCCATTACAGATGTAGTGATTTCTTCTGTCTCATGCAAAATGGAAGCAGGTTGTTCTTTTTTTTCCCCTTTTTGCTTACATGCCCTATAGATCAAAACTATATACAGTGCCCTCCACAAATATTGGCAACCCTGGTAATCATGAACAAAATATTCTTAATTACTTACTCTTTTTGAGCTTTCATTCAAAATATCAGCAAAAACCTAACCTTTATTTAAGGCACTGATTGAAAGAAAAATGGTCAGATGAGACCTAAAGAAAGGTTTTTGCCGAAAACACTAGAGGTGAGTTTGGTGTGGACACAAAGATACCCATGCACAAAAGTATCTCATCCCCACTGTGAAGTGTTGTGGTGGATCTGTGATGTGGGGCTGTTTTTCGTCCTGGCTTTGGACAGTTTATTCAGATACATGGTATCACAGACTCCATTAAGTACCAGCAGAAATAAAAATCAAAACGTGACTTCTTGGCTGAGGCAGCTTAAACTGAGCGATAGTTTGGATCTTCCAGCAAGACAGGGATCCAAAGCACACCTCGAAATCAACACAATACTATTTCCCTGACCTAAACCCTGTAGGAAACCTATGCAATGAGACAGTGTGGACCTCGGAATCTGAAGAATCTGGAGAGTTTCTGTATGGAGGAATGGTCTCAAATCCTTAAACAGAAAACATTCAGACTCTTTGCAAAGCTGTTATCTTTGCAAAGGGAGGTTGCACAAAGTGCAGAATGAAGGGGTGCCAATAATTGTGGCACATACAGATTTGACAAAAATATTAATTTCCTGATAAGATTTAGTTGGGTTTTTTTAGTCTTTGTACTTCTAAAAAAGATTGGATTTTTGTTAATATTTTGCATGAAATATCAAAAGGATCAGCAATACAGAAAGTTTTGTTTTTTTGTTTTTTTTACAGCCTGTTTTGCTCATGTTTACTAGGAGTGACAATATTTGTGGAGCGCACTTTTTTTTTTATTTTACTATTTTCATTAAGCCAGTTTGTCTATCCAATACAAGACGCGTGAGTTTTAGCTAGTAAGTTAAGCTGGCCAGTAAGCTAGATAACTAATGAGCCAATTAAGCCACAGCTTCTTTTTGGATAGTCTTGTATGACTGACTTTTGCCGGTTGTCTCCAGGAGTCTCATGTATTTTGTTGTTTAACTGCAACTTTAACAGGAAAGGCAATTTGACTGGCATGTAGAATAACCAACCACAGAACACTGTTTTAGTTTGTAATGGCCTGTGGAAAATAAATGCGTTGACAAACTCTAAATATCTCACTTAAAAATTCTAAGATAATCTAAGGATGCAACACCATGAACCTCACACTTTTTTTTTCAAACCAGCGAAATACATCATGTATCATATATTCTATACATTTTTTCATTTTTTAAATTTTATTTTATTTCCCCTCAATTTAACCATGTCTATATCCACCCACTGGTGTTATCATATGATGCTACCAAGCTGGGAGGGTAAAGACTAGCCAGTTCTTCCTTCAAGATGTATGAAGCCAGTCACCTAATCATGTTTGTTGTGCCGCTCAACACACTTCGAGAAGAACACTAACTGTGTTCTGATTCCTTACAACAGACACCCGCATCGCTAGCATCGCAAGAAGTGCTGTTACATAGTAAAATATTTTGTTTCAGCCTTTTAGGTAGTTTATGTGCTTGTGAATAACAAAATCTTGTATATATCGCAAGGTTTTGCACTGCAGACACTTGTGTTAGTGACACATGCCATATGTTCGATAGCAATCTGGTAAAACTCGGCTTGCCTGATCTAGTTTTAATTAGGTGAGTTAGCAGTATCACCAGGTAATCAACATAATCAATATTAAATCAAGCACAGAACAATAAATTTAATCCATGTTATCAAGCACACAATATTATCTTATTCACAATATTGTCAGTATGATGATTAAAATAATATCCGATTATGTCTTGGCAACAGGTGTTGTTTACATGCAAAGGCAGTTAGTGTGTGCTATGGCACTGACCTTTGTGTTTATGCTTGATTAAAAAACATTATGAAAGGCAGTAGTGAAGGAAAAATAGGAAAGTGGTTTGCAAGTTGTGCAACTTGACTTCTCAGTGTACTCCTTAAACATTAGGCCTAACAAGAGAACTCTTTCAGCAAGGGTGGCCACTAAAACAGTGCTGCTGGATTGGCCAAGACATTCATTGGTTTGGCTTGCCATGACAGTATAAGCAAACAATGGAAGTTTTGAGCTTTCAGAATTCCGAAGAGAATTTTAACTAGGAGTAGAGGCATTAATGCATACAGGTTGAGGAAGCTCTTCTTACTACACGGCCTGAAAAATGACCATACAAATGATACTTTTTCATTGTTTGCTGTGACCATCCTGATCAATCTCAGATGTTCTCCCTGTGTGTTTCAGGAGTGTTTTTGGTTAGATTAACCACCAGTTATTCAGATTAGTGAGCACTTCTGTGCAAGTACTTTTGATTAAAATAATCAGTTCAGTGTTCTTTCAGTCCTGAAATCAGAGGGCATTTTTTAACCTTGTTAGCTAATTTTTCTGGTCATATTAAGCGTGGTTCATCATATTGCTTGCATCACTATGCAGGGAGAAATAAAATTGACCAGTAATATCATGTTTCACCTCCCACTTCCACCACCAAAATGTCATCGAGCAAAATGCTCAGCTAGCTCAGAGACTCTTGCTGATACCACGTTTCATTCAGAAAAAAGTCACAGTATGAAAGAAAAATGTGTTTACGATTCAGTGTGACTTTATCCATGTTAAGTGTTCACCAGATTTTTCTGAGTGAAAATACCACGTCATAGTCACAATATAAAGAAATATAATCAGTATAATGACAGTCACAACTACGATGCAGCAATAGGCCTAATTCTGTTTATATGGTTTATTCAGAGTACATTATTGGAATAAGATGTAAGAATACGATGCATGTTCCACCATTGGAGTAGTAACATAAAAATGTGGCTAATGGCTTGAACTACCACAGTGCCCACTTTTCTGTACAACACCAGTAATTTTTCATGTTCATGTTCACCTAGACAGCCTGCATCCTTTCCACTTGAAGTGAATGTGTGGTGATTTTGTTGAAGTGACGCCAGCAGTCATAGCCATGTTCTAAATAAAGCTCCACTCCGCTGGCAGAGTACTTTCTCCATTTATGGCTGTCAGTTTGTATGTGTGTGGTACATTTAAATGAAATATTATCAGTCCCTGAAATGGCTATTGATGAGGTAGCCTATTTTTCTCAGCACCACATGGACAGCTGTGTGAAGTTGAAGTGCATAGTGAGGCCAGATTTACTGCCAGCATGAACAAACCTTGACTTTAATTGAGATCATGGGACTAATACTCATGGGTTGAGCATGATGCCAATCGCATACATCCTGACCGCAGGCTGATGGCAAATAGAAGACGAACTTTTGACTCTAGTTAAGGATTGGGGGTAAAAGTCCTCACAAAGCTTTGTGTTCATTCTTGGTATGCAATCTTGTTAGATAATTAAAAACCTCAAGTGTCTACCACCGTGCAAGAAATCTGTGTTGTTGATATCCTTGTCACATCAAAAGAAACTGAGGTCAACAGTTGAGAACTTAAGATTTTTGTCAACATGTCAACATGATCATTTCAAAAGCTCTCTATAAGGTTTATGATGTAGTATAGTTTAATAACTGTAGCTTAGTGATTATAGTGTTAGAATTGGGTCAAGTATGATGTATGCAGTCATTCCAAGATGCTAAACTAAATGCTGGGGACAATATGATCTTGTGAGAACATAGACTTATTAGGGTGGGAACAAACTGAGTGTGAAATTTCTAAACCAGTCAAACTCTTTGTGACGACAGAGCGCAAAGATCGTGGTGGTGCACTTATCGACAATGTCCAATGGACAACAAAACTGTCGTTAGCCAGTGGATGTAACTTAGCATGGTTGAAAAGTCCCCCTCCCAAAAAACTCCAATAAGGCATGTCGATGTGTTTTGTGTGTGCAAAGAACACACGTGGCAAAAATAAACAATACCTTTTGCAACACCATAAGTTTAAGAAGTTATCCCCAGATGTATATTCTCTTTATGAAATCACATCTGGCTCCACAAGACTAGAGGAAATTTGTTTAGTTGCTCTGTGGGAGGTAAGGGGGGAAAAAAGTGCTTGTTGCATTACATAATTTAATTGGTGGTTATTTACTCTTTTAATATCTTTTGTGTTTGTTTTTATTTTATTGTTTTGTTTTTAAAGATGCACTTATTTGGTGTTATACATTTATTTATTTAGGAGCTGGCTCTGATACAGTTACGTTACTTTTCAAGAAAAAATAAATAAGATGAAGCTCTTTATTAAATGACTTTTCACTGAAGCAGGAACATAGCATTGAATAGTCCATTATTAGAAACAATAGACGGTGGGTTAATCCATTTTCAGAAATAATCATTAGTTACATCCCGATGTCATAGGATGCATTTGTTTTTAACTCGTTGGCTTTTTTTCTTAATCTTTCCATTTTAGATGTGTACTCCACGCAACACTCCAGCCACGCCACCCAATTTTCCTGACGCAATCACCATGTTCTCTAAGATGCGGGCATCCGAGTGCACAAGCGGAGGCAGCGGTGGTCCAGCTCAGGTCCCCATGGCCTGCTCCCCTCCCCCTACATCCATGCCAGGCTTTAGCTCCTTCTGGGCTTCGTCGCCACCCAGCCACCAGCCCGCCTGGCTGCCTCCCTCCTCTCCCACGGGCCACCACACACACCATCTCCACCACCACCATCATCATCATCATCACCACCACCACCAACATGCACACCAGCCGCCCACATGGCCACCCGTCTCTCAGCCCGGAAGCACCCAGCAAACACCTGTCATTTCAGCCCTGCATGGCCAGAGATGAGACACTACTATTTGTGGAGGGTAAATGAGCTGGGTCAGGGAGGGGGGGGAGGGGTTTAAGGGGTTTTGAGAATGGCCAGGTTTAAGGGGAAGCTTGGTTGGATAAATTTAAAGAGGATCTTTAAAAAAAATAAAAAATAAACAAAAAAATAAAGGTTTAGGATGGCCGGGGAAAGAGACAAGGTACTGTTTTCTCTTTTTTTTCCTAAAATGAAGAACAATCTTCTCTCAGCAATCTTTTGTTTCTTTCTCTTACTCCATTGTTGATGTAATAATTGTCAAAGCCTAGGAAGAACCACTATGAAAAAGGAAGTGAAAGATTTTGGGTTAGGGGGATGGGCTCCACAGCTGCTGAGGAGCTTGGGAAATTGAGTTTTGTGTATGGTTTTTCATGCCACGGAACCATCTGGAGCCAAGCAGGAGTGAGAGAGACAAGAATGTGTACGTTTTGTGAATCTTGGATTACCTGCCCCTCTGTAGCACTGCGCTGACAACAAGCACTCGCAATAAAGCAGCTGGCAAACCTTTTGACTGAAACACATATGACTGTGGTAATGCTCTGCTCCCACAAGGCATCAAGAAGATTGCTTGTATTTAGAGAGGCTGTCTTTTTAGCGAATTTACAACAGTTCTTTTTACACAAAGGAATTAAGGACACTATCCTCCTCCTCCCCAAGTGGAACAAAGCCTTGAGGTGGATGTGCAGTCTAAGGAAGGCTGGAAAAGTAAGTGAAGATTTGATGTAATCTGCAATAATATTGAATTAATCAGGCCTTTTCGGGGCCCAAGTCCTAGCGTGACAGTTTCCGTCTGGTTGTTTTAGTTGAATTCGAATACAAAATTGACTTGGATGATTGTGTCCACTATGCTGATACTGTTTTAAGAGTGGTGTCTGGTTATGTGATAAAAGGGGTGTGTGTATTTTTTTTTTTTTTTTCAAGCAAACAGTTTGGACTATGTTACTGGGTTGTGATTTGGTCTATGAGACGGTTAAAGACAAAAGGCAAGTCGAAAAGTAGCCAGCAAGCTCCACATCCATCTCCCCAAAAAAAAAAATGCTCCAGTGTTTTTCAGCTAATCTCCATCAGCTGCATCAGCAGCGTATGGTTGATTGCCATGGACAATAATTTTGACAAGTTTGCCTATATTCAGAAAAGAACAGAAAAAACCCACAGACTTTTATTCAACTCAGTTAGAATAAAAGCCACTGGGCATGTGCTAAAGTCTGAGAACAAACATTTGAAATATATGCAAATTACAACCATTACACACTAAAAATAGAGGGTTTACATTGAGACACGTGAGACAAAGCTGTTCTTATGAAGTACAAGAAAACGCACCATTATCATGATCCATGGTCATTAACCACTTGATACTGATGTGGCGTATGGAGATTAGGTTAAAGATACTGGAGAATTTCTTTAAACCGCACAACCAGCCAAGTAAGCTTGACTGCACCTACCTCTGCTCAACCATCCCTCTCTGTACTAAACCAAGGCTTTGCAGGGTTTCTGGCAATCTCTATTTGTACTGGGAAGGAGGTCAGTCATGCCAGCACCTCTTAAAGGTGTCTACTGTTTATGCATTTAACGTCTTAAAGGAATATGCCACCCAAATGTGCTAAATCATGGCTAACAATGACATTATTCACTATGACCATTTGCAAAATTCACACATGACACTGAACTTGCGCATGCTAGCTTTCTTTTGCTAATGGAAATGTTTAGCTTTTTTTTTAAGTGCTGAAAAGTATTCCTTTAAGCACGTTTGGGTCTTGACAAGTGTTTTATTCATTGATTGTAATTGTTTCTGGCATCCCAATTAGCTTGAAACTGTTAAGTATGTGGAAAAAGTTGCATTTACAGTGGGTTCAGGTGGTTTAAAAAAAAATGCAGGCCCTTTTGAAATATAGTACTGTACAAAAGTCAGAGTCATTTATGCAATCAAAACGGTCATTAAGTTATTCATTTTTCAGCATCAGGGGAAAAAAGCAGAAAAGATATATATTTAACAGAAAAAATATGAATTATTTAAAATTAAATAGTTAAATGTAATACGAAAATTTTCAGTTAATGTGTCCACCCTTGACCTTACCTCTATTATTTAAATGCAGTAGCAGGGATAATTTTTCCACCCTTCTAAAGTTCAGTCTTAGAAGTTGATTGCATTTTCTGCTTCTCACGATGTAAATGATCTCAAAATACAATCAATGATGTTGAGATGTAGACTCTGAGGTGGACAGTCCATTGTTCTGAGAACACCAGCAGCTTATCTGTTTGATTTGTAAGCCCTCTTGACACACATCCTTTCAGACTCTGGACTCAAACACTCTTGAGTTGTCTTCGTACAGTGGAAGGATTTTTTTTTTTCTTCCAGATCTCAAGCAAGAGTGAATTTTGATTTTCTCATTCCCTCAAAGATAAAAGCTTTAGGCACTGCTTATCTGATGGTGACAGTTTTGGTGTTCTAGCAGGTATTGCACTGTCCCATTTTCTCTGCATCCTTTAATTTTTTTTATCTTATTTATTTACTTCAGTTTTGGAAACTCCTTTTTTGCCCATTTATTTTACTTTCCTGTTCCTTATGCAAGTAGATCATCTTCTCAGAAGTATCTCATGAAAAATTATTTACTTGTGCTTCATGGCTGTTTTAACTGGAAATTCTATAAATGAAGGGTGGTCTCTGACTTTTACACAGTACTGTACATTCAGTGGAACAGGTCACTTCTCAGCATTGATACCTCAGTGTCTTTTTAAAAAAATGTTTCCAACCTGCCCTATTTTTGATGGATAGCTTTGGACACTGGAATCTGTGGTTTGTCAGGCAACCTCCCCTTTGTTTTTAGTACAGTTTGGGCACTGGGGCCTGCTGATGCGCTTTGTTCTATAGAGAACTGGGGAAACTGTAGAGTGAGAGTGAGTTTCTCAGGCCATCTGGAGAGTCACTGAGGTAATTTCCTGCCGGGAGGATCAGCGGCCCGGCACTACTTCAGTGGCAAACACCCAGCAGTGGAGCTGCAGAGAAACTGGTCTATGCCTAATCTTGCCAGCAGACCACTCAAAACGGGAAACCTGCTCTCAACATCTAGTGCTGTGACTCTGACTGGACTGCTTTTAGGGGGCTAACATTGTGTGCATTTAACACTGTTCCAGTAGCCTGTAGTATAAAGGCTTGGCGGTAGATTATTCAAGAAAGGGATGTGCACCAGTTTAGTAGATACCTTCGATTCAGGACAACTATCCATAGAGTCGCCATGAGCCTTGTACCTATACTCGCTGGACGTTTTCTCAGTTCCATCTACCATATAGGTGTTCCTATGATTTAAGGATGTTGTTGAGGGTTTCTGACAAATTGTGCAGCAAAAGATGAGCCATCTATAGCTAAAAATGCACCTGTATGCTAGGTGTATCTAATAAAATATCTGATCATGTAGTTATAAGGCAGGTGTACCAAAACTCGGTGTATATTCTCTGTTGTCTTTGTACAAAAGAGGATGTTGCTAGATGGAGCCATAAACTAGGTTGTTTTTGTGTTTTCTTGAGTCGTGAAGGGCTGGTCATGGTGACCGCCGCTTATAATCACTATGAGAATTCCCCAGTCCAGTTCTAAGCCTTAAGGAGGCCAGTGACATGGCCGGCTCCCAGAGAGCACCCAGTGCCGCCGCAAGCAAAACGAGTCATTCGTAAGGCAAGCTGCCCAGATAGATTCATTTAAGTGGAGGTTTAAAAAAGAAAGAAAATATTTAATTCATTAATGCACAACCATCTTTTCTACCAATTTTCTCTCCTGTACTTCTGGTCTTTTTTCCCCTTGTTGAAAATTGTATTTATATTGTTCAACAAACAAGCTATGATCTGCAGCCATTTGAGGTCATTGTGGTTTTTATCAAGGTCAAATAAAAGATTTAACAGCTAATGATGTTTTTGTTTTTTTGTGGTTTCAGGGTGTGACCTCGATTGTGATGAGTGTATGGCTCTCTTCTAGAGATTCTTGCATGTGTCTTTGCAAATGTTTAAAACCTCAACATCCCAGACCTCATATTAAAAAGAAAAACAAACTGCCCATCACTGTTTTTAATAAATGACCATGTTTCCTTTGTTAGCTTGCAGTAACATTCATTCAAATACAAATATTGGCTTGCAAGTGGCGCAACCGTATAAGCATTGGCCCTACCCTCAGGAAATCACATATTTGATACTCAGTGTGATGCAAGGAAATTAAGTTGTCTATTAACTGACATGCAGAGTTGACGGTGTTCTCCTCCAAGCAGGTTGAGCTGTCCAATGATGTTGCATTAGTGGTGAACCAAAAAGATGCAGTGGTGCTTCCTGTGTCCCAGAGGAAGCAAATGCTAGAGATCACCCTCCCAGGCTGTTAGCATTCTGGAATGAGTAGTAGGTCAGAACAGGCCACACCTAAATTGGAGGAAAATCTGGGCTTAAAAAAAATACATGTAAAACTGAAGAAACAACTGCTGCATTTTATTCCATTGTTGTGCTATCAGCTATCAAACCTTACATGTGTTTAAACACCTTGGGACCAAAAGACTTTCAGTATTTATCTTTAACAATAGTTTAGAAATAAACTGTCAAATTATTGTTTAGGTAAAAACCTGCTCTTAATACCAAAGACTCCTTGGAAGCATAAAGTTAAAAGTTGGAAAATATTCCTGAAGTATTAGTAAACCTTTGCAGGTATTACTTAATTACTTATTTGATTGATAAATGAAAGTCAAAAGAAAGCAAGGTTGTCCTCAAATGTGTTTGTGTATATACTTGATGCAGTTGCGACGCACGTGTAGAACAAGCTGCAGCATGCTGAGAAACTGTAGTCCTGACAGTCCTGCACCATGAAGGTGTCTGTGAGTTTCTCAGTCTTATAAAAACTTTCAGAATGCATAAATAATGGAAAAAGTGATTAAAGTATCAAGTGATTAAAATACGTAGTTATTATTGTAGTAATAATGTAACATAACCTGATAACTCACAGTGAACTGGTTTCTAAACACTGAAAACATGCGTCATCTACTGTACCGAAACATGTCAAATAATGTAAGCAGAGCTACTATGATCCGACATAAAAAGGATGTGGTCAGCTTCGGAGAGCTGTGAAAGTGCATGTGTAATCTGAGATCACGAGGGATTGTAATAATAAGTCGAGTGCAGTCACAGAATTAGTCGTAAAATGGATCAGCATTATAACACATTCAAGTTTGGAGTCTTAGTGAAAAACGTCCTTTGACTTTTTGGAGCCATTTTTATGCTGTAGAATTTCAAAGAAGGTTCTTTAAAGAACCATACAGAACAGGTTTCACGGAGAACCATTTTACCATGTAAAGAACCATTTATGCATTTCAATGGTTCTTTAAGTGTTTGCTGTTCTATATAGAACCAATGGGCCTCATTCACCAATATCTTCCTAAGTTTCTTCTTAAATGTGTTCTTGAGAAAAGTCCTAAGAAAAAGTCTACATCAGATTCATGACGTTCTTAAAGTGCAGAATTGCTCTCACCTTTGTGCTCTTGAGTGTGTGTAGATTCTGTTCTTGCCAAAGAACAAATCCCAAATAAGAAAACATCGGTGAATGTCAGAGTTTTCGTCAAAACTGCCTGAGCGGGCTTTAAGAGGAAATTTCTTCTTAAGAACGGTTGATGAAAGAGGCCCATTGTCTTTAGTAAAGAACCCTGTGACATATGAATATGTAAAACCAGTTTTGTCACAGATACATTTATTCTAACATTCGAATAGTCCTAGTGCCCTAGAACTTCATAGGTTTAAATTGTTTAGTAGGAAGCTGAAATGAATAAGAAAGAAATGTTTGAGGTGTCGAGAGTGTTGATCAGAGCTGTAGATGATTCTAAAGTGACTGCACAACATTAAGAATAGCATTACTATTAATATGAAAGTGATTCCAAACGCTTAAAGTTGTGTAAACTATTACAAACAGGGCACTCACATTTGACTCATTTTCTTGCTTATTGTAGCTGTGGGTTGTTATAGTTACTTAGCAAAACCAAATATCAGCACCATAAATCTAAGCTTTTTGTTTTGTAAATAACAAATTTCAATGCTTGACAGTTAGACAGATATAAGACAGTAGATCTGCGCTGTAACACTGTTGATGGTGTCATGTTGACGCTGCCGTTATCACCTGTGCCATTAACCTTCTGAGGACACACACCAGCAGCACTCCACCCCCACCATTCAGCCAGTGCACTTGACAGAACATTGTGTCCTTCACAGTATATTTAAACCATACATCCTGCCACAGCCTCTCACTCTTTTGAACAGTGTGTACACTTCTCTTCTTCACACGATGTGTCAGGCATCAGCAGAATGCTGCTTTGGGTGACTGAAGTGAGAGCACTGCCAGCATCGCTGTTTGACTTACAGCATCTGTCACAGCAATCAAAAGCGATGAAGGAATCTGAGGGGGCTCCTTTGCTTGCTTGGATACATTCTGAAGTCCCAGACTTGTTAGAATAATCTAGGCCAGGGCCAGGCAAGTTTTTGTTTTGGGGGCCAAAGTGCAATGTTTATCATGGGCCAAGAGCCAAAAACACAAAACAATGCTAGTAACTCATTAGGTTTATGTTTCTGTTTGTTGCCATTTTACAGAGAAACTGTATTCGACTGTACTGTAATGGTTTCCTTACATATGAGGCCTTTACATCTATATAAATATTTACACATTCTTCACAAAGGTGGTATTTAAATATCCAGTTGTCCATTTACCACCACCTCTCACATTTTATATGTGTATAACATCTGAATTGCATTTAGTGAAAACTGTGTAGTGTAAAGGGTCATGGAGTCTTTTTAAAATGTGTTTTATAGCATTACATACATCATGTTTTGTTACTAGAAGTATTATTTGTAATTTTGCTGCCTAACTATATCCAGCACCGTGTCACTAGCAGAGCAGCGCCGCCTGGGGCAGTCGAGTTTTAAGTCTTATGCAGTCAGGTTTGGGATTTGAACCTGCCACCCTGCCACCTGGCTTGCCTTTCCTAGCACTAGGCTAAAAATCAAAAAGTAAAAAATATGCAGTAGCATAAAAATACATGTTCTCTGATTGGCTGAGGGATTGGGGAGGTTAGATAACTTCCTGGTGGGCCAAATGAAATGTCCTTGTGGGCTAACTTGGACAACTTATAAAGTCATACACAAGTAAATACTGTTTCTTCAAATGAAAGAAAAGTAGGCCTACAAAACAAAGAGCTTAGTAGCTCAAAACCATTTGCACTATTTACTTTAAATAAAACAATTCATTTTATTGCAGACCACCAGTTCTTGTAAATCTTATACAGCACCTCCCTACATTAAATAACCCAAAAAAGACCAGAGCATGAAGGAGAAGCAGCAGCAGAATGTGAAAACATTAGCAAATTCTTTTCTTTGCAAACATATTCGAGTATTATCAGTAGACAATACTCAGTGACTTGAAATGTAACTCATAGGGGTGTAAAAATCAATCAACACATTGTAATGTGTTTATCTAAAGAGGATGATTAAACTGCATTCATTTCAGGAATGCTACATTCAGTTTTGAAGCGCACTAATAACTGAATATCATTATAAACAGTTAAAGTTTGTATTCTTTTAGTGTCTATACTCCACCACTGTGTAAATACTTCATCTAGTCACATTTGTGTATTCAGCATTTTTAAAAATAATTCTAAATCTTACCAAAATAATCTTTTAGAAATGCGGTAAAGTGTAAGAGTTATTTCCTTAAGGCTCATAATTAAATTAAAACATTGTGTGAGGTCAGAGATTTACACCCCTAGCAGCTCATTACTACACACTACAGGCCATATATCAGCTAATGACATTGCAAAGCCATAAGTGTATTATAACCCAACTTGCCCAGTGCTTACAAAACTATTCATCTGTATAGCGGACTCCAATCAAGCATGGAAAAATCTGGTAACACTTCAAGGAACCCATTCTTGTATGAGTTATTGCTGTGAGATTGGACAAGCTTTACAGAGCGCTAGCATAAATCTCATTCAAGCTAATGAATTTAAGTTGGGGTTTAGATTCTTAAGTTTCCAGTATAAATGGTAGCAAGCTGGACTGTGTTGTGTAGCTAATCGTAACAAGGCCAGTTGGGAATGACAACAAATTTACCACCAAATTCACAGTCATGCTAACAGTAGCTTGATATAATGACAAAAAAAGCTGTTTCCCGATCAACCATTACACTTATCATACTGATATCTCATTTTGATAAGTCAATATTAAATTATATATGTTAATTACAATGGCATCTTTTCTTTCTGTTGTATTACTGAACTTCTTAATCTGACCTGCATTATAAATATGCTGGCAAAATGCCCCAATAACAATAGTAAATATGATAATTAATAAGAGTATAAAGGAAGAACTATTAATAACTGTTATGACAATTAACTAATAATAGTACTATAATATTACAGTAAAGAAGTGTTTAAAACAATTCCAGACTATAATTTCACATTAAGCTGAATGAGATTTTGCCAACATTTTGTAAGCAGTACAACTTTGCAGCAGTAGCTAAGACAAAATACTATGGTTAGGTCAATTACTGACTGTAGCCCGTTTACACAATATGTCAGCCACCCACTTTTAAACACTGTGTACAATTACTGTGGCCACTTTATTAGACATGCCTAGCTTGCTGGTCCACCTTGTAGGTGCACTCGTACAGAGATTACAGCTCTTATAGATCTTTTTCCATGCACACTTTGTGTTAAACGTTCCTGACATCAGGACCACTGTTGATTGAATATTTGTGGTTGGTGGACTATTCTCAGCCCAGAATTGACACTGAATTGTGTAAAATCCCAGCAACACCACTGTGTCTGATACACTTGTACAAGACACTACCATGTTACTGATGTGCTGAGAATGCTTTACCACCCAAATAATGTCTGGTGGTCAGTGGTGATCCAATGGTGGTTTCTTTCCATTGTTTGCATTGATGGATGAGGCAGAGGTGTCTGATAAAATGTGCAGCAGTTGAGATACAGTCAGTAATGTTAAACCTACAAGTGTGTCTACTTGATAAAAGGCATTTCTGATAAAATGTAATGAGTCTAAGGACAAAGTAGGTGTGCCTAATTAAACTGGTAGCTCAATCAGTGTATGTCCTGATAACACACATTTTATATTAAAAATGTAAATATTCAAGAGTAAAGGGGTTCTAGTGTTGCTACGAAATGGTATGTTTGTTGTACTCTCCTTTAAGTCAGACATGCTTTCTGCTGTAAACAGTTTATTAAAGCCAGGTAAGGTTGTACTAAAACAAGATTGGAGGAGGTCTACAGAGAGGTCACTGGTTCATTCTGCGGTTGGCTGAAGTCTTTGTGGAGCTCTCTGCCCTGCAGAAGCTCATTGTCGGGGTCAGCAGAGGACTGGGGTACACTGGGCTGGAATAAGCAGTCCATGGAGGACACGGGCCGGTCTTTCACAGAGCTGCTCGAGCCTGGGGGAGGCAGAGGTCAGAGATTAAAGGCTGGGTGACAGCTGAGTAACGATCACAACTGGAGCAACATTACCATTCCCAGTTTCACAGTACAGATGGGTACTTTAACAGTAATATGGAAGCGGGGGGTTTAGAGACTTAAAAAGTCATTTTGAGATTGAATAGCAAGCTCAGAGGTTGCCAGCAAGTTTTGTGAGTCCTTGGTGAATATATGATTCTATTCACTGCACTTAACCAAATACATTTCATCTAGTTTATTTTTAGGCCCCAAACTGCACTCAGAACAAAATCTAAAAATTGTATGGCCTTTTTTATTTAGTATTTTTGTTTATCTTTGTTAAACATAATTCTGATAATGCATTAACTATTGAATATTATATATATATGAAGAAAACTGACCCTGGTAAAAACACACAAATAACATCACACCGTGACCTTTAACTTGGACCTTTAAGATGAGGATCTGGTCACAAGTGGGCAAAGGCTAAGGGAGACACTGCAGGTCTAACAGCAACTTAAGGCTGAGAGTCCTTTGAATATTCAAAGTTATAGTTAGGAACATAGTTAGCACTTTGTTAAATGAACTTATGATAACTGTCCCAACTAACTTTTATTTGTTTTTAGCCATATGTTTACATATGTTGTTTTTTTTTTTTAATGAACTGTTCATTTAAAGCAATGGTTCCAGTCAAAACATCTAATTTACAATTTTCTCCCTACCCTAAAAGTAGTTGATCAGCCATCACAGGTGTCTGAAATGTGCTTCTCTAGTTTTGCAGGAGCGTACCTATGTCCCCAGAGCCCTATGGTCAGCTCTTCATTTGATCATACCTCAATATGATACTTTAAAGAACGTTACCAAAGGGTACCCAAAGTCATGGTTGACTACACAAGATCATCAAAGGTCATACATGGAACCACAAAGGGTATATTTTCAGTAGAAATGCACTTGCCCTCAGCTAGCCCAGCCTCAGTGAGCTAATTAGCTAGCTAAGCCAAGTTTGTGATTTAAACCAGCAAGTTAATGAAATAATGAGGGGTCAGTTGACAAGGGCATGCTAAAAACAGTACTCAAATGAGGTAGATGTCCTTGTAGCGGATGTGTTCAAATATTTCATTGTTAGCCTGAAAGCTAATGAATCTAAAAAGTAATGTCGGTTTTGTAGAATTGTGCAAATTCTATGCATAAATCATCACTCAATTGCCTTAATCCACTTTGAGCTGTTCAGTCATCTTATATAATATAAATAAAACAAATAAAATATATTTGCCTATATGGTTTCAGAAACTGTAAGGGATACTTTTATCTAAAAAATAGAGAAAAATAATTTGCTAAAAGCAGCAGTAGCATTAAAATGAGCAAGTCTATTTGAGATTACTTAAGAGCTGGATTGAGGCAAGTGTGTGATAATTTTGGCATGCAGTTTGCACAGTGTTAACAGGTAGCCATATGCTTCGTTACTTGTTGCCTTCACAGCTCCACTGCAAAAACTAATGGAGGAAACTTCAAACACTAAATATGTGTAGGCTAACTGACAATATTAAGGCTAATGGGAAATCACTGACCATCACTTTAAGTACAGATCAAGGACCATCTGTGCTTACGGTACTTATGCTTTTGGCCACTTCAGCATTTATTAGCATCTTTGGCCTCCATCTTCCAACTTGACATGTCAGCCCATTATATCTCATTTTCAATTATTTTAAAAGAAACAAGAAAAGTGAAGAACACCACTACTAACTAACCTACGCCGTTATGTGATCCTGTTCCCCAGTGTCTCTGGGACCCACCCGAGCGACTGCCCTGTGTTTTCGCACTCTGCGGCCGCAGAGGAGACCCAGGCTCGGCTCTGCTGTACTTCTGCGACTGACAGCGGCCCACCCTGTCTGTGCTTTTGCAGTTGCCTGCGGTGACACAAACATGACAGCACCAAATGTTAAGCAAGGACACAAATCCGCAGGGAGCTGGCACCACGTTTGACCTTAAATAAAAGAACCTGTGACCTCATAAATTGCCCCTTTATTGCTCAATACAAACAAAGACCCTGCCAAAGTTCACTTGTCAGGTATGAGACTGCTCATGTGCCAGGCCAACAGTTAAAGCCAATTTACTCTGAGTGAGTGTCACTGGAGAATGGAGAAGATTTGAATCAGATACTAGCATTGTTGATGGTCAGCTATTAGGAAACACTAAAATATTAGATTCTTTGTGGTATAAAGCATTAAATCTTTAGAAACCACTCCTATTTCCTACTCTTCTCTTTGCATCTTTAATCCCCAACTCTTCTCCATTTCCTCCATCAGGCCTTCAGACCCAGCAAGGACAGTGAATATAAACTACACATGCTTAAAGCACAGTTTAAGTCTGGACTTTCCTTCAATATGTTAACTATTCCTCTACAGTTTTTCTAAGCAGGCACTGTTGTAATTGTGGAGTGTAGAGTTTAATGCGACTGTCATTATAATCTTTTTTCCCCCTCTAGGCCTTTTATTCCCCTTTCAGACCCCCTACAATGAATACTAAGGCTTACTTTACATGGTGAAACTTTCAGGCAACTTGATGCAGGTTACAAGCTGCATAAAACATTAAAAAGTACAGTTATTTACTATTAAAAACACTACAATTAATTGAATTCACTATTTAAAAGTTTGGACTCATTGTTTTCAGTAATATAAGACCTATTTGATATATGCAGAATGTCTCATATTTGACAGTGGTGATCCAATCTCAGGGCATATATCTTATCAAGACTATAAATTGATAAACACAGTGTCTTTGTGTTCCCCAAAAAACTGACATACTGAAATAAAACATCCTAGTTGACCACAAGACCTCCGTACTGGCAAAGTGTGCTGGACTTCATCATCCAGTTCCATCCCTGGCTCTTTCATATCAATCTCAGTACAGCTCTAGAGAGAGAATCTTTTGTCCAAGGTAATTAAAGTAACTTCAGTCTGCTGCTGGCAGAGTCTATTTCAGTGCTGATTATTAGATTATATGGAGGACAAGTTGAGAATGAATGAGGTGGCCTTGCCTTCTTTGGACGTGATGGTGGGCAGTCTAGACTCCACAGTCTTCACAGTCCTGCTGCTTAGACGACCCTTGTAGATGTGTCCATCCAGACCCAGGATATCTACTTCCTCTGGCTTAACACACAGGGCAAGAGCAGTTGCAGGCTTAGGCCGCAACTCACAGTTTCATACTTTCAGACCAAAAGTGTGTATAAACTGCTAAACAATCGCAAACTTAAACCAAATGCCATTCTATAGCATTAGCATTCAAACAATACACTCCATTAATTAATCATACAGAAATCTGATTCTTATCATGCAAATATTTTTCTGTAGATACATATCATGATTCTCAGCTGACCATCTATTAGAAGTCTAACCTAAATGTGACTCCTGACCTGAATTTTCAGGCTGGAGCCAGACATGGCAAGGCTGCTGTCCTCCGTCTGGATGATCTGCGTGATGTGCTGCAGGCGACTGTAACGCCTGTTGGCATAGGTGAGAGTGTGACTACCTCCACAGCTGCGAGACATGGCCAGGTAGCCATAATCGGCCATCTCTGGGATGCGCTCGCTGGACATTAAATAAAAGAAGGCATGACAATGGAATTGGAATATAAATCCATTCATTGTAATATATATTTGCTCTTGAAATTTGGTGCACTTCTTCGTGCAATTTTGGGAACTTCTTTGCTAAGAAACTTTTCAGTAAACAGTACACCTCTGCCAATATTTATTGAATAAAACAACAAAAATTATTACGATTACAAGTGATTCCAAACTTCCAAACTGAACAATAGTATAATTTCCATGTACTTTAACATGAAGCAATTGAGTAATAATACAGGCAGCATGCAATGCATTGAACTGTATCACTAGTTAGTTTGATTGTTACTTTCCTATACATATATCATAGCTTTCAAACTACATAAATCATCTGTGTTATTTAGCCTACATTTGTATCTTCATATCATTATGTTGAGAGGAGAATGAATAATCCAGCCAAATGGATCATGACACAGCAGACTCACAAAGCAGAACAATTGCAAATACAAGCAGCCATTCAAACAGCTATTATGTTGGCATGAGCTGGCTAGCTAACAAGCTAATTAGGTTAACTGGTTACCAGCAAATAAGCAAGAATATTCCATCCCTTGTTTTTTTTTTTTACTATCCATGATGTGTTGATTAAAATCATTTTGAAATGAAATAGAAGTTCAATGTGTACATTATCAGCATTTTTTGAGTATTACAAATGTGAGTATTACAAAAACACTACAGGCTTTCAAATACGAACACATGATCGGTATGTTTACTTTGCAATCTTTTACTAAATTCTGTTAGAAGAAGTGGCCATTAACATTGTGGCCCTTGTGAGACCATAATGCTTTTTAAGCAGTTTCTGGCTGGGTGAACTGTTCATTTAAATCAATCGGTCAAATTATCTGTTTTTTTTTCCATACCCCAAATGTGGTTGATCAACCAAGACATGTTTGGTGTTAGTTTTGCACTGGAACTACGAAGTTAATGTAGCTCACGTGCAAAACTAAAGAAGAAAATTTTAGACTCCAGTCCTGTCTGGGCAAACTGACATTTAAGGAAAGGGTAAGGTATGTAAATTTGTTTTTTCTCTGAACTTTCCCTTTAACTATTCTTGAGCATGTGAAATGGTTCAGCAGAAGTTTTCCCCTGTATGAGTCACTAGTGAAAAACTCCTGCTCTTGCCTAAGTCCTAGTGTTCTGCTCCTCTGTGAGGGCCTGACTCACTGCTTGGGGAGGCTGTGGCTGGTCCTTTGCAGAGAAGACAGGATGGGTGGGTAGCGGGATTGACTGATTTCTCTCAGGCCTTGACTGTAGGGGTGCTCTAGAGTCCTGCGCCTGCACAACTTACTCTGCACTGTATCTATCTGCCTGCACATCATACGGTGGATTTGCCGCATCTGTGCCATGCTCCTTTCCGCACAAGCCATCTCAAAATGACCCTGGTTAGTGCCTGGCCTCAGACTGGGACAGTCAAAAGAGCTGGACATTAGTACTGAGGGGTATGTGGATTCGTTCAATTTAAGAATTTCTTAAGCTAAGCTCAATAAAATTTCTTCACCTTAAATGCTGTTCATACATACTTCGGGTGGAAACGTCTATATTTAGCAAACAATGGATATACAAACTGACGCAATAGTCTAAAAGCGTTAAAACATTTTAATGACATTAACAAAATAATAAAATTAAGATTTTAGGAACCATTGTGCTGTTAATGGAATAATATTTGAATGGTATGTTGCCTGGCAACCATATCCTGCTGTTGATGAACTACAGCAGACTAATGTAAACTACATTATTATAAATAATCTAGTTATTTATTTATTGAACATAAATGTTTTTGATATAAGAATAAAATATAACCTAAACATTAGTACAATAGTAGTGAACTGTTGCATATTGTGGGTCTATGATGAAAAAAACAATAAAACAGTGAAAAAAAAAACAAAAAAAAAACAAAAAGGCTGATGAATAGAGAGGTGGAAGCCTAACAGAAAGAATGGGTATGTTGTTTGTGTGTGTGGTTTGGGGGGGGGTTGTGGTGCGTGCTAAATGGTTATGACTCGCAGGTATACATTTATAAAGATACTGAGGAGGTGTTCCTTCCCATTGTATTATAAAAAATCTTTCCATGTGTTGTTTGATTATTTTTAATTCTCATCTAAACAACAACAAAAACAGCTCTACAATCATGTCATTACCATGTATGACATGCTAATTTCCACCAGATAAGGAGTCATGCATGCTAAATAGATATACCAAGCAGGTAAGGCCAACTGTTGAACTAAGCTGGGTATCTGCCGCAACCTACAGGAGAAACGTGTTTCTTATGTCTCTTTACCTCCTGCTCTGCTGACGTGCTTGCTCCAGCTCATAGACGGTGTACGGCCGGTTTGACTTGTGAGAAGGCAGCCCAGGAGCTGAGGGCACTGTCAGCAAATGCCTGAGAGCATTCAAAAGCAAAGTGGGAGAAGCACAGGGGAGAGTAAATATAAACAGTACTCTAATGTAGTCTTGGGACACCTTTTTTTATTTAGTATTATTTTTATTTTATTTGTTATATTTAATGTATTAATTCATTACATTATTTCTTCTGTTGATGTAGTGCAGAAATTGTGCTTTATAATATTGAAGAGTACATAATTTCAACTATTATAACATATCAGTCAATACTCTGTGTCCAATTGCACAAGAGAAAACTAACCCCAATCCAAATGCACATGTTCAAACCAGAGATCTCCAATGCTACTCCTGGAAAGCCACCATGCAACAAATTTGACTTAACTTTTTATTAACATTCTGCAAGATGTTACTGTAGAAAACCTGAATATTGAGTTGAATTGTCAAATATTTTCTCTTGGTTACAAAATGTCTCTGAGAGAGTACAGATACATTGTAAATTATAAAATCAAGCATGAAAAATTTACTATAGTCTTGGAAAGAGACAGGAAGTGCTCAAAACTTGCCATGCTCTGGCCATTCAACAGAGAAAATCCAACAAGCCTGGTTGAGCATCAGTTGTACAACACTTTAAGCTGTCAGCCAAAAGAAGGGAAATGTAACAATATACTAAGCTAAATAAAATACTAACCTACATAAACAAAAGGGACACTAATCTTTGTCCCAATATGTTTGAGCACTTCTACTTAAGTTTCTAATTAATTACCAGGATCATTTTCAGTTTTAGTTAGTATATCTGGTCATTAATGCTGTTTTGATTCATCTTCTCTGATGAATACAAATAAATAAATAATAATTTTAGCTTGGCCATTTTAACATTTTTCCCTACACTCTAGGAAAAACTATACTAAAAAACACAGGGCACAAATGCTGTTACTAGGGTGGTACCCTTAAGAATATTTCTTTGGTACTTTTAGTTAAGGGATGTAATTGTAGAATTTCAACGCAATTATTGGTTTTAAGGATTATTGACTTTATTTACTCTGTCCAGGCTTTGTTTAATTGTTATTTTTAAAAGTTTTTTCCTACTTAAAAAAGTATATTTCCTCTTGTGAAGTGAATGCACTGTACCTTTAAAACTCGTTTAAGGTATACAACTGGCACTTAAGGACATTGCTGTACCTTTAATTGTACATTTACATTGTTTGTACCTTGTACCTTTCTAGAACTCTTTTTCTGACCTTGTCCAACACTGTACAAATGTGCTGCTGTGTCTAATACCAGTTACTATGTCAGTTTCACTGCTGTGCTGAGAAAAGTCCACTACCCACATAATTTCTGGTCAGCAGTGGTCTTACGGTGGGCCCTTTTCTTTGTGATGGTCAGGGTAGAGGGGGTTAATAAATTGTGTAGCAACAAATGGGCTAGAGTCTATAATTATAAATCCATAAAGAGCACCTATGTGGTCAGAGTACCTAATAACATGGCCAAACACTGTAGTTACAAGGTATAGGTATAAATAATACACTGCAATGCAGTGTAAATAAAACAGGTGTGATGTATGCAAATGAACTGTGAACTAAAAAAGCTAGACGTACGGTCCTGGAGTTATCATGTCAACGGGGCGGTCACAGGAGATACAATGGAATCTCGCCACAAGTTGTCTGTGAGAGAATGACAGAAGAAAGACTTGAAATTGAGATATCATAATATTAAGGTCAAATATAGGACCTTCCATTTTGGCTTATTTACTGTGAAAGAGAAAACATATGTATTGACATTATCATTAAAAAATATGATTAATAAACATAATAAAATCAGAAAATATAAAATATAAAGAAGCAAAAAAGCTAAAAATAAGTGACTAAGTAAAAGGTAATGAAAATATCCATTAACAATACCTTTTTAGTAACCAATAAAATATTACTATAAGCACTGCCATATCAATAACCACAGAAGAATGATTAATTGGCTTTGATTGTTCTTGATATTATTCTCAACATGATGATATTTAATTACGATCAAATTAATGACCCAGTAATTATATTAATGTTGCTAATAACAAATCAAAGTCAATTGTCATCAATTAACATTATGAAAAAAACATCATGCTAATTGGTGGCCACTGCCACTAAAATGAATGTCAATAGCCAATGTGTGAATAGCAGAACATCTTATAATCATTCAGCAAAACCATAAAGTTGTGTTACACTGTTGCACAGTGTTTGGATTTCTCACTTCCTGAAGCCAGCAGCATCATCAGGCTCAGGGGTAGGCTGGGCTTGCAGCTGCTTGCGAATGCTCTTCCAGCGATCCTCCAGCTGCTTCTTCAGAGGGTCCAGCTCAATGCGGTTCAACTGTGACCACCAACCCATCATACAGGGGAAGAGATTTCTGTCTTGAGTTCATCCTCAACAAAACCCTCAAAGGCTGATTTATGAACAATGACTCTCAACATCCTTCACACAACATTAATAATTAACTGATGGGTTAAAGCAAGTGTCTTAGAAGAGGAAAACAACAGTTTTGCAGCATTACAAGACTGTGAGAACGGGGTCTGTATTCATAAAGCTTCTCAGAATAGAAGTACTGATCTAGATCAGATTCCTCTCTTATTTACAGTGACATCACTGGCAGGAACAGATCTTAGAACAGTACTTCTACTCTGAGAGGCAAATACGGCCCTGAGAATTATGAATACAGCCTTGGTCATTTTGTTTTTACTGCAAAAAAATATAATTTGGCAGGTGAAATCATCTTAAATGTAGTCGGTATATCTAATACTTCTCATCATGGCATTGCTGAAATATTATAAGATTACTGAACCTATTTCAACCTAGAAATTTTGCTTATTTAAATATTTTTATCTTTTCACTGGTTTGTTTAAAGATAATTCTGCTTATTTAAACAAGTGAAATTTGAGAAAAAATGACTAGAATTAAGGTTATTTCACTTGCCAAGACAACATTTTATAGCATCTGGTTATGCTTCAGTGTCAGTACCAACAGTACCAGTAATAAAGTTGAAAAAAAAAGTCACAGAGGTTAAAGAAGGTACAATGTCCAGTCCTGCTAAACCTTGTAACTAACCAAGTTTTAGCAGAGAAATCATCTAGGGATGCACTGATGTGGAATGTCTGGGCTGACACCAGTAGCACTACAATTCATATATGAACTACAGTTAAAACAGATGCAGAGAGTTTACACCTCTTGAGTAATTAATTCATTAAATCTGATGGCTATAAGATGCCTAAATCAGACATATCAATTAGTGGCAGATACTGTTATCCACAGTGCTTTGCAATGTTAGGTGAATGCAGCATTAGGAGTCTTGCCCAAAGAGTCTTACTGGAATAGCAGTGACATTTCTACCTGGACAAGATACTGAATCTCTTATCTTCTGTCTATGGGCCTATGCTCACAATGCTCTTGAAGAATGGTGCCCTCCACTGGTGACTATATGTGCATCAGTTCATGTTGCAAATGGGGTGCCAAATTATCAGTCAATTATTGGTTTTAATGTATTATTGGACTGTATGATAAAAACAAAACTTTCAAATTTTAACTGCGAATATCATCCACTAACACATGGTGCAACTCTGCTGAACTAAGGGCTGCCAAGACTGGAGATGAACACTCCTGAGTTACAGAATTATTCTAATCACCTTGCACTCCATCTCCGTGGAAATTTTCTCAATGACTTTGTGCCAGTCCTGCTCCTGACCAGTGATTTTACTGAGGAGCTCCTGAAACATCCTGTTCAGCTGCTCCGTCATGGTGTCGAACTGGATGCGGCTCACCTTTGTTTCCAGGGCTCGCCTGTCCGCTTTCTGGATGAGGAAGATGAGTTTAAGCCATTCATATTCCTTGCTTAGGTTACATGGGTTTTGATTTGAGGTGAGTCTGTATTTCACTGCTGTATGAGACTATGTTAGATTGTGCTAGACTTTGAGACTGTGTCACACTGTGTATACTAAATTATATTAGACTGCACTAGACCTTGAGATTCTACTACACTGTATTAGACTGTGTTGGACTTTGAGACTGTATTAGACCCTACTAGACTGTGTTTGAGTTTGAGGCTGTGTTAAACTGTATTACACTCCACAGTCTTGTGCAGGTGCTAATAGGTAGATAAGCATTTCAGTGTGGTCTTCCAAATAAAACTGCAGCATGGAATTCATGTATTAGACTATGTTAGACTTTAGGACTGTATTAAACTTCAATTGAAATACAATGGTGAACAATTCTGCCGCGATAAATTTCAAATTTAGCAGTATTTTACCATTATCAGCGTGACATATGAAAGCATGAAAACTTATAAGACACATGTAAGCTCACTGGTCATTTTGGACAGCAGATAAAATTATGATATTTGTAGTGTAGACATATCGACATCTGGTTCCTAGTACTACAATGGTGAACAATTTTGACTGTAAATTTCTCTAGAAAGGTGCATTTCCCACCGAACCACTCTGAATGATTTTGTTTACATCTAACCTTTTGAATGATTGAGTAATCTAGCTAAAATGGTGGGATTCCCCTTTAAGAAAAATTTCTTAAACGTGTATCAGACTTGTGTATTAGACTTGTGTTAGACTTTAAGCCTGTATTAAACTGCATTAGACTGTGTTAGATTGTATTAGCCTTGAAGAGTGTATTAGACTGTGTTAGGTGTCGAGATGGTATAGGATCACAATGTGTTATACTATGTTAGACCATGTTAGACATTAAGGCTGTTTTAGACTGTGTTATGTGTTAGACTTTGAGACACTTACAATGCCAATCTCCATCTCCACCACCTCTCTATCTGCCTTCTTCTCATCCAGCTCCTCCACAGTCTTGTACAGGTGCTGAGAGAGAGAGATAAGCATTTCAGTGAATGTGTTTCTCCTACTCCAGCTCCCCCCGCAGCTCAGAAGGATAAGCGGTTTAGAAGATGTTTGTGTGTGTTTCTCCTAACAAAATTGTAGAAAGAGTCCAACTACTGTGAAACTAATGTAGTAATGTAATGTATGTAGTGTAATGTATGTCCATATGAATATAAGAAATTTGGATGTATTATATGTCTAAGGTTCCCTTAGAGTTTTAACAGCTCAGAACTGCTCACGTCAATATGGCTTTGTTTCTGGTTGTGGTCCTCCATCAGGTGGTTGGCTCTGATGTGGAGTTTCTCACACTCAGCCTGGAGCTGCAGGATGGCGCCCTGGACTTCACTCATCAGTTCAGAGGTCTGTCAAACACACAAACAAACAAACACACACACACACACACACTGAACAGTAAATAATGGCAATAAATAATGGCAGCCAATCAAAGACAATTTCAGAAAGTGAGAAGAATTTTAATTACTGCCATATCAAAACCTCAGGAATTTCATTTTTTTCTTTTTTCTTTTTTTTCTGAAAGAGGCAGCTGTCTTTTGCCTGTGAACATTTAATGAGGAATGGAACAATATAAATTATTTCCATTTAAATGACCTTACACTATTCCGGAGATAAAAGGTTTTGTCACAACAGCGATGATATGTTTACAAGTTTGCTTGTGTATCTGTGAACACCTGTACTCACTATGTCAGCAACCTGTGTTGTCCTGCCGCTAACCTGTGGCTTCATAAAACCACTGACCATGCTCTGCAGTGTCTCATAGCGCTGAAACAGCTGGCTGACCTTTCTGCTCAGGTCCACTATATAGGAGGGGCATGTGGGTCCAGCCTGACCTCTCTGACCTGATAGGCCTCCCTGACCTCTAGCATGACCCCAGCCCTGGCACTGGCCCTGTCCCTGACCCTGGCCACTCTTTTCTAGCTCAGCTGTGTCTTGCTGACTCCATGACAGCATAGCAGAGGATGATGCCATCATGTCCTCCAGCATGGATCGCAGGCTGTCCAACTATACACACAGAACAGATAATGTGGCTTTAATATCAGCATATCAGACAAAAGCACTATTCAAGCTGGGTTAGTTTTACCAGAGGACGTAAAGGAAAACCATTTGTAAGGGATATGACAGGGCAATTATATGGGATTCAGTGTCTGTCTAACGTTCCTCAACTAACACAGACAGCTTGGAGTGAAATTAGTCAATTAAAGTCTTAGAATAAACAATTAATCAATGATCATCAGTGATTACTTGGCAGTTTGAATGATAATAATTTATATGTTAAATTCCCCTACTGGCTTATTTTACACTGAGAAACAGAGCCTGATGAATACAATCACTTATATACATAGTTTTATGAACTACCATTCAAAAGTTTGGAATCACTTGTCATATTAATCATTGCTATTTTCTTCTTTTGTAACTTACACAGTGTAGATTGAAATTCTATAAGCTAGACACCATGAAGTATTTATGTTTCATATGGAACATGTTGCATGGATTTTAATTTTATTATAACACTATTCTCAATGTTCTACAGTTTTTTATGTTATTATGGAATCATCTACACTCCCAGGTGGGAGGTTGTAGAGGGTCCAGCATCGAAGCAGCATCATTTCTTACATGTACCTACAATAAAATAGGTTTTATATTACCAAAAACAGTGATTCCAAATATCTAAGTATTTTCAAATGCAAATCCTTGTTTATGATTTTCCAATAAAGTGTTTTACACTCTCTGAAAGGCTTTGAATGTTTGGTTGTTGTTCAGTTAAGTCCATTTTTATTTTTTAGCCTACTTTTAAAAAACCAGATTACTTATATATTTGATAGTGACACTGAGCCCTAAACAAGTAATCGTAGTCCAGATGTCAGTGTTTACATGACAGGCACCATAAAATAACAACACTGTAAACTTAAAATTGGAAGGAAATTTACTTCATATCGTTTTCAAATTAACACAATGTGCTAAACTCCTATTCTGTCAAGTTAACTTAAGCTGTGAAGTAAGTTCCCCTATAATTTTAACCCATTTATACCCAAAGTACAATAAGGAAATTGGCCACAGAATTATAACATTTGAAATTTATAATCGCAAATATTCATGTTTATGGTATCATACAAATTTGGAATTTTGGAAAAACAGGGAACATTTTCAAAAACTTTATACAATAATTATTCTTGTAAATCTGCATGTGTGTGCATATGTGTATGTATTGTGTGTGTGTGTGTTTGAAGGAAGGTGTAAAAAAGAGATATAGAAAAAGAGACTTTTATACAGAATACGTATTGAAATGTATTGAATTCTCCTAGACAGCACACAGTATTTGTGTGTTTTGTGTGTGTGTGTGTGTGTGTGTGTGTGTGTGTGTAAGGTGGTAATAAAAATGTTGATGGTGATTTGTTGAGATATTAGCCCATTTTATCACTCCATAAGAAATTATTAAATTGAGATGAACAGAGTATCAATTTTTCATGAAAACATGCAAAAATGTGTTGATATTACAAAAAAATTTATCTTATTGGACCAAAGTAACCACCAACATAGTACACACGTGTGTACAATTAAAATGAGCTCAGCAAAGGTACAGTAAAGATAATTCACTCAGACTTGTAGATTCATATTGGACTAAAATCATGAAACTTGTCAGTAATCACTTTTACAGGATGATTACAAAACTAATCCAGCCCGAAAAGAGCTAAAGTGTGAAAGAACTTCAGGATGTCACATGAAAGGATATCACTTGAAAGGATATCATGTGATCAGTTTTCTGGGTTTTTTTGTGTGTGTGTGTGGAATTACGATGATGAGTTCCATAGGCCATTTCAAGTTAATGCAAACCTTACGAGTAAATTAATATCTTATAAGACATTGGCAGGCCTATAAGAGCCACTAACCCAGGATTCAAAACCAGCTCCTCACAATGTATTTGGTTATGTTCAAATTATAGAGTTAGAGTGTTATAAGGTTTCAAACTTAGGGTCTCCCAATGACAGGGCAAAATGTCAGACAGTTGTACAATTTGGGAACCTAATAAGATTTAACAACATAGCCCGAACATGAAATAAAAACACCATCATAGTTAAAATAACATATATAATCTACATAACCGTTAACATGAAAGTAACAATAAACTGATAAACAATAGGACAAATAAGAGGTCAGGACTGTTTCTGCAGTTTCTGCTACAGTTATGACTGGTACCCCTGCTGGCTGGGATGAGCATTTACCTGAGATAGGCTATCTGCAGACACTGTAGCTGTTGTGGCGCACTGATGCTGTCTTTGCCTTGGGTGCTTGTTGAATCAGAATCTTCACCTAAATCTGACCCCTCTGCCCTGCTTACTGTGCCCATGATCAAATTCTCCATCTCCAACACCTACAAAAATACACTGTGACCACTGTGTGTGTGTGTGTGTGTGTGTGTGTGTGTGTGTGTGTGTGTGTGTGTCTTTAATACCTTCTCTCTATCAGCCATTACAGTGTCCATCAGAGCCTTCAGATGATTCACCTGTTCCAGTACATTTTCAGGCATGCCCCTCTCTCCTAGACAAAAAACAACAACAAAACAGAAAAATGAAAACATGTAGGCCTAGGTGTTAACTCTAATATACATTGTTTATAAAACATGGTTTATAAAAAAAAATCTTCAGCGTTAGAAAAATACCTGCACAATTAGTATTCTACTGACTCCATTCCATCTATTTGGCCTCATAACACACCTCATGAGAGAAAATTTTAGTTAAATGCCAAATTATCACATCTTAAACCCAAATGTAGTCAAGGACATCTTGGTGATACTTTTCTTGCAGCTGGCTATTTAACAATGACATAAGCATGTCATGGATGTCATATGCTGTCAGGATTTGTCATGATATATTTTGTTCTGCAACAGTTACCAGCATTTACTGTTAAATGTCATGATGGATGCCATTTGGCTTGATGACAGCTTACTTCACTTGCTAATATTTGGTAAATTTACTCACTTTATGAAATAACATCAAACACTATGACATATGAAACTGTAATTAACAGCAATGGTAACATGACACTGTTATACTACTAGAATCTGTCATGACAACTCATGGCAGCATAAGACATCTGAAATGACATGTTTATGGCATGATTATATCTGTGTTATATGTGTCCAAATTCAACTAAAGTGTTTCTGACATGTTTAGTGTCTGAAGTTATACAACTTATACATACCAATCCAACTCAACAAGCAATCTGTCAAAGCATCTAATCATGCTAATATAAATCTCATTGTTAAGAACCCCATACAGAAGGGGAGAGAGCCCCTACACAGGCCAGATTCAATTTTCATCCCAGAATAGCTCTATAAGCATTAGATTTTCTTCATAAACATTTTATTTCAAGGTAGCTAGTTTTTCAAAAAGCATCCATCATTCATAAATTTATAGGGCCCATGTCATGCTAACCCGATTTCGCCTCACTTTTTTATATTAAGTCTTTGGTGTAGAATATAAACAATGTTTCAAAACAAAACATTTACACCCCACGCTCCTGTTGATGGTTGCCACTACTGTTTTTAGCCGTTTGTCAGAAACCACATGAGCAACTTTTTTTATATTACCTGAGGCAATTTAGGCTAGGGATGTTGACGGGAGGAGTTTGCATGTTCTCCCCGTGTCTGCGTGGGTTTCCTCCGGGTACTCCGGTTTCCTCCCACAGTCCAAAAACATGCAGTCAGGCCAATTGGACGTGCTAAATTGCCCCTAGGTGTGAGTGTGTGTGAATGTGTATGTCTGCCCTGCGATGGACTGGCGACCTGTCCAGGGTGTATCCTGCCTTCCGCCCAATGACAGCTGGGAGAGGCTCCAGCACCCCACCGCGGCCCAGAAGGATAAGCGGTTTAGATGATGGATGGATGGATGTTGACGGGAACTCTAGCACTTGGTCAACCATTGGAGGTGCCAGTATTCAAATGTGGAAATCACTATTCGGGTATATGTTATGTTTCATCACAGGAAGACAGAGAAGATACACAGGCTAACGATTCTATGAAACATGCCGGGCTTGCTCATATTTATATGTATGTTATGTTATAATTTACTATAATTTGCTGACTGTCTAAGTGAAAAACTAAAGTTTTTCTAAACTAAAGCCAAAGTACATGTTTAAATCAGTATGGTTAGAACAGATAAAATGTGCAAAGTTGTGGCTGTTCGACCACACTGGTCTAAAGTTTTCACAATATCTGATGTTCCTTATTCCTTGTATTGCTGCTTGTATTGCTGCTTGTATTGTATCGCACTCAGCCGCTCTCCAAGTTGGTGGACCTGTGCCTTATTTGCCTTACCGCCCTCGAGGCGCTCCACACGAGACTCCAGGCTTTTATGCTTCTCCTGCAGCTGGCCCACGTCCCTCAAAGCCTCTACTGTCTCTGGGTAGCGCTTGGCCCCATTGCTGACCCATGACAGTGGCTGGCCACCAAGCAGAGGCAGACCTCCATTAGACAAAGAGCCCAAGGGACGCTGCTGAGACAGGGAGATTTGAGAACCCCCCAATTCTGGACCAGTGGCACTGTCCGAGTCAGCCATGCATGAGAAACCAGCTGTGGAAGAGTCCCTTTGAGTCAAAGGGATGCCGACTTCCAATGGAAGTCTAGAGGCTGTGATGCTGTCCTTCAGTTCCTGAATGTACAATTGATAATATTTAATATTGATTAATTCATGATATTATGTTAATATTCATGACTAATTGAATAGGCTAAAGTCTGCATTTTTCTCTTACTTTTATTCCTGAAGTTCACTGTTTCTTTATTTTTTTTTTTACTTTGCCTTCCACTCCACTAACTGCTATGGACTGTCTGCAGCAAGTATCTTATCATTAACTAAGTAACTTATCAGTTTAGTGTGAAAGAGGGGGCTAAACTGTTAAAGCCTGAAAAACGTAAATGTGTTCATGGTTGTGACATTGCACCCATGAAAAAAAACTTTAAAGGGCCCAAATCTTGGAAAAGCAAATTTACCACAGTTTTTTTATTCAAGATTGTGGAATAGTATGTAAACATTATTAAAGTTTGCTTATATGGTGCACACATATAGAAATTAAGCTGAATATTCTGAAATATTTGTTTTGATAATTCATGGAAATCAGCATATTGTTATTACCTGCTTTATTCATCCTATAGCAGCTTAGGCCCACAGATTCACACTGAAGTGATAAAGAGTGTTTCAGCCTGTACTGCTTTTGAAATGAGGCGGGTTGACTTCTTCTGAAATCAAATATTTTAATTGGGAGTTTGTCTCCAGTTTGCTGCAGTCTCTTCTCTCCTGGAAAGGCTTTACACTATGCACTTAAAAATGTGGTTCTTCAAGGGTTCTTTAGAAAAGGCAACGGTTCTATTTAGAACCACGAGTTTTATATAGAATCAATTCATGTTTAAATGTTCTTTACTGCTTCAATGTTCTTTGGTGAAATGGTTCTTTAGGTTGATGGAGAATGTGTTGCATATGTTTCTATTCAGAACCTTTTTGAAAATGGTTCTGAATATAGCATCAACAAAGTTTCCTCTATTGTTACAATGTAAAGCTTATAACAATAGAAGAACACTTATTGGTACTACACAGAACAAGTTTCACAAATATATATAAATAAATTATGGGCAAGTTTATAAAATCATGCAAATTCCATAAGTGGACTACAAAAAACAAAAGTGTTCAACAAAAGCATTTATAGAGTGTATCAAACTGAGGGAAAATCAAGTGACAATCAGGCATCTCAGCTAAATATCTTAATCTGAATCAGTTTTTCCATTCTACTTTTAATTGAGCAGTTACCTCAAGCTGTGCAAACACAAAAGGATTAATTGTTAAAGACTGAGTTGACAGTGCTATACAGTCATACAGGTATAGTGCTATAGCACCAGCTTACCTCTTGCATCTTTTTTCTCTCATTGACAAGAGCTGCTTGCATAACTTCCCACGTTACACATTGGGTGAGCTCTTCGGGTTGAGGGTAGAGTGCCACTTTCTCCTTCAGCTCTTGCTATCCACAAAAACAAGAAAGACAGAGAAACAAAGACGTAGAGAAAAGAAAGTAATTGTGTACTTCAGACACAAACATTACTCTGCTAAGACAATGTCATGATAAACAGAGAAAGGGGCAGTCATTGCCACCCACTTATAATAAGCAATCTTAGGAAAGACATCTTAGTCATCGTGTGTCACTTGCTATCAGCACTCAAATGGCTTAACTCACCGTGGCACTCTTCAGGACTTCCACTTGGCTGAGGCATTGCTCCGCAGCAGTGATTCTATCAGCCAACTGGTCCACATTAATCTATGCATGAAAAAAGGTCAGCCAAGTCATGAGAAGACTGAGATAATATACAAAATCTTTGCTGATAATGAATATGGTGATAATGAGCTGCACATACACACTGTACATACACTGAGTGCAGTTTAAAGTAATAATCCAGCCCTGCGTTTCAATGTTTCAATACTGTTTTAAGATTCCACCAATGACTTCCCTCAAAACCTGGCAGTGCGTAGCACCCTCATTACACAAGTGGCCAGTTGTATGAAAATACACGAAAAGAGGAGAACAAGAATTGAGGGTCTTCAATTTGATATATATCAAATTGAAGACCCTCAATTCTCAATACATATAAACAGTACTGATACAATACTGAAACAGACGGCTGGTATTGACTCCAATGGATAGATGAGGTTGAAAGAGTTTTCTGTGTCTATGTGTGGTATCACCTGGTTGAATTGAATCTGAAGGGCCTCAACTTCCTTCTTCAGGATGTCCCTTGATTTCTTGAGCTCCTGAATCTCGTTCAGCAAGTCTTGGATAAGAGCCATACACTGAGGAACATAACATGTGGCCTTTCAGAAATTTGATTTCATTATAAGACTTCCCCACTGAGAACACTCTTCCCCTCCACCATTATCTCTTCTTTCAGCACTTTGAAAGGAGATAAAATCTTTACAGTACATCCTTTCTCTTTTACAGGGAAGTCATATTAAGAGAAGCCCCAGAAGTCGTCCTACTCCCTGAACCAAATGGTTAGTCACTGGGGCAACCAGCGGCCCAGAGAATGCCATCAGTCCTGGATCAAACACTGCCCACCGTCTCCCCCAATCTGTGTGCGTAACCCCTGTTCTTATTGGGTGCCCTGTCTTCATCTTATTGATGTTTGGCTTCCCCGCAAGATCCGTTTGAACTGGCGGGCAGTCAAATTTGTCTTGGGTTTTGGCATATTAGATTTGTGGGACAAGTCAGGTACCCAAACTGGAGAGAAGTGATGACAAAGACATTCCTCGAACAGCTCTAAAACAACAGCCCAGGCCTGTTAGTGGCATTTGTCACAGTCTTTCAGTCATGTCCAATGTCTTCTGAATGCTATGACGCACAACAACTACACTTCATACTATCTAAATCACACAACCACACATACACACACACAACCAATGCATGCCTGTGTAGGTATCCATGAGGATTAACTGGCTGTTGCTTTTTAATGTAAATATGTGGTCTGCACTTAAGGATTTACAATCATTAATTGGGAGGTTGGGGAGAATAATAACAACTCTGCTGCAGGCATAACATTATGACCACCTCCTTGTTTCTACGCTCATTGTCCATTTTATCAGCTCCACTTACTATATAGGTGCACTTTGTAGTTCTACAATTACAGACTGTAGTCCATCTGTTTCTCTGCATACTTTCTTAGCCCCCTTTCACCCTGTTCTTCAGTAGTCAGGACCCCCATGGACCCTCACAGAGCAGGTACTATTTGGGTGGTGGAACATTCTCAGCACTGCAGTAACACTGACGTGGTGGTGGTGTGTTTGTGTGTTGTGCTGGTACGAGTGGATCAGACACAGCAGTGCTGCTGGAGTTTTTAAACACTGTGTCCACTCACTGTCCACTCTATTAGACAATCCTACATTGTCAGTCCACCTTGTAAATGTAAAGTCAGAGACGACAACTCATCTGCTGCTGCACAATTTGTGTTGGTCATCCTGTATTCCTTCATCAGTGGTCACAGGACACTGCCCACAGGACGCTGTTGGCTGGATTTTTTGGGTTGGTGGATTATTCTCAGTCCAGCAGTGACACTGAAGTGTTTAAAAACGTCAGTGTTACTGCAGTGCTGAGAATGATCCACCCATGGCCAAATCAACAGGGTGAATGTCTTGAATTTTGAATATCATAATGCCACAAAATCAAAGTTGTTTACTGCAGTGTTTGAAAGAGCATAGTTAGCAAATGAGATCTTAATAACTACGGCTATTAACAGTCTAAATTCTGTCAAGAACTTATACAATTGATACAACTGAACTTCTACAATTGATTGAAGTTTTGATTGGTAATTTGCTGCCAAATACTGTTCATCCTCAAAGTCTAAGTACACCATGTTCAAAACCCACCTCTTGCTACCTTTGCTGGAAGCCAAATTTTCAAAAGTGATACAAAGCAATCACCATGCTGGTCTGAAATTGCTTAATGCTACAACAATGCCTAAGAAAAAATTTTGATATAACAAGGTGAAAAACTGGCCAGCATTATGAAGACTAAAAATCTTTACCATTTTTGAACTATGTGAATCTTTTGATTAATCAAAACACTCACAGAAGGTTTCATTTGCATACTGTGGCTTTTTGTGCCACATATTGCAAAAGCCAATACTGCAATAAAAATTAAACAACATATTTTGTAGCCCTAATGTGAACACAATTCACATGACGTGGCTTTAACTTTAGCTGTGCTCTCACCCACAACGTGCAAAAAAATGAGAATTTGCTAAATTGCTGACGGCTTATTGCCCCTCATCTATATTCCCACATGATGCCTGGCTCACCTTGACCTTGTGCCATGCTATCAGAGCCTCAAGCAATGAAAAACTCAACCAGATGTGGCCACATACCCATCACCATGCTACTGATATGACTCACCACTGTGACAATACGAAGTCTGTTGCTTCAGAAACTACAGAGGCCAGTACTAAACAGCCCAATTAGCTTGATAAGGCTAGAGAAAACGGGATGAAAGAGAACAGGCCCCATTGCCAAACAGAAGAACTTTATCATCCGCAAACAGGTTCGCTGGACTTGTTATTCTTTAACCAGCATGTTTGGAGATGAATGGTCAGTCATTAACAAGGCCAGATGGAGAAGGCAAGCTATGCTGACCTCCCTCAGCATTTCACTTTTGACGAAGGACGCTCATCAACCAGTGTTTCCTCCATCCTGAGAGGTCACAATGTCACTATGTGACACAAACTTTGATGGCAGTGTTGTCATGGGAAACAACCACAATGCATTAGGAAAACACTCCTCCACTTTGGCAACTGAGCTGCGCGATGGCCTCACTGAGCCTGTCAGGACTCTCTCTTCTGGGGAAGAGGCTGCTAAGCAGGCAGGAAATTTCTGATTTGTACATCAGAACATATATTAGATGCATGGGGACAAGCATCAGCACCCCTCATTTGAGCAAGGCATAGGCACAATAGGGCACCCAGTGTTCAGTGCTAGTAGCCACAGTTGGCTCTTTGACTTGTTTTTCAGTGCTTCATTTAGGGTTGGGAGGTATACTGGTACAAAAGTGAATATAAAGTGGTTGTTGCCCAAGTTTCATGTGGGTGGACTGCTGGACATTGCCTGGTCAGCATCAAACAAAGGGGAAAGTTTTGGAACAAAAAAAAAAGTGCATCAGGTATGCAGCTCAGTGTGGGCTTCCATATAATGTTGGATCTTACAACATTAGTTAACAAGTTAACAAGGCTCTTAAGCACTGTATGTTCTCTCATACATAGGTGTCCCAAAACTAAACAGATAGCTTCTAATGCATGAGTCTGATGCCACAAGCCAATGGTTTAGCTCAATTTAGTAACTAAGCCCTTTGTAAGGACTTGTACTTGCAAGTGATAAACAGTGTCTGTGTTGTTTCTATTACCATTTCTATCATCACTAAGCACTCAAACGGGAGAAGAAAATGAAAGAGTGTGTATGTGTACAACAGCAAAATTTGATTGATTTTTTGACGCATCTCTAATCTGTTGTATGAATGTTTCTAATATGTGAACAAGTTGCAGGGGTCCAACAAGGGAGGTGCCAGGACCCAGGTTTGGCTTGTTTGGCACAGGTTAACCCCTGTACAGTAATCACTTACTGTAGGTTATGTTGCCATTAAGATGATATAATGCATTTAATCTGCTACCAGAATCATTTGGAAGTTGTCCCAGCTTGCACAGACAAGTCTGACAAAACTGGAGCAGAATTCAAAAAATATTAAACAAGTCAAATAAAGCTCATTTTCATTGTGTTACGCCTTCAATTCATATTAAGCTGCTCTATTTTCCAATTAGGTACCATGTTTGTTAATGTTTGGCCATTAGTTTGAGCCATAAATGTCAAAAATCCCCAACAATAATGTTACTTCCCTATGGAATTTTAGCAGTATATTGGCAGTTTAAGATGAAGTGTAAACATTTTAAGCTTAAAAAAGGCATTCCATGTTTCACTTCAGTGGACATCAGACAGACAAGGGAAGGAGGGGGGCAAAGAAAAAAAAACAACAACTCAGTGGTCTACTGGTGACATATCAACCTTGCTTTATAATACTGCATGGCCCTACACAAATATGGGAAAAGAAGAACCCCCTACAGTATTGCAGTATGTCAGAGCAATGACGTAGTACAGAACAATTCAATTTGTGAGGTCACAACTTACTGTATCCAAATGGGACAAGGAGGTTTGGAATATTTTCTCATATGTACTGATAGATCCGCAAATAGTGTATTATGCTTTTTCCAAGTTTAAAAGAATCAGGTGTCTAGCAATTCTAGCAAATCTAGGTTTATTTCACTGTCACTTTCTAATTATGTTCGTGTTTAATCTGACACTTTAGTTCAGCTTCTGAAGTCCTGTACACACTTAAAAATAATGCTTCTTCAAGGGTTCTTTAGTAAAAAAATGGTTCTTTGCATCATTTTCAGATTGATGGAGAATGTTTTGAATATGGTTTTATATAGAACCTATTTGAAAAGGGTTCTATATAGCACCAAAAAGGGTGCTTCTATTGTTATAATGCCAAGCTTGTAATAATAGAATAACTGGTTTTAGTGCTATATAAAACCATTTTCTTTACTAAAGAACCCTTGAAGAACCATATTTTTTAAGTGTGTAGGATGGGAAAGCATGCCTGGCTATATCTACATAGAAACAGAAAAAAATCCTGACTACATCATTTTCCTTTGTGCATGTAAATCAAAAATGAAATAAGACAACTATTATAATACTTGCAGGGTTTAAATACAACATGCATGGTGATTATATTGAACAAAATTAGCTAAAAATTCCAGACATGTACTATATAGAAATCCCTGAGGGTTTACCCCTGCTATTTTCATGCAACAGAATGGGTGGAATAATAGATTAATGCAAATAATATATGTACAGATTTTATACAAAGAGAGGCCATTAAGAGTATTTTAATCCACATTGAAAAAAATAGATTGGGCCATGGCCTTTGTGCCCCCCTCCGTTCTATTGTCCATGCAGGCTGGGTCAGCCAGGGCCAGCAGTCAGTAGCCGAGAAAAACTCCAAACACACCCAAAGAGGCCTTTAATGATTCAGAGGGCCCGAGCAGGACCTCTTTGTGCTCTCACTGACCGCAGGCTGTCTAAGCTAAAAGGTATTCTCTGTATGACACTGAGCTTAGTGGGGGGTTAATTACCAAAGGCTTATCAGAAGGAGATGGAAACAGAAGGTAGGGGAGGTATGATCTCATTAGTGCATATCCTCACAGACATGTCTGGGCAATGCCTGGGCTTTGGCTACAGCTCTATAGCTCTTAGCTATGTGAGATGTACCATGCATCACGTCATCTGGAAAGCAGATCTATTAAGTGATAGTAGCAGTCACTGTTTGGTATTGGTAAGTCTAGGGCAGTGTTGCACAATGTATCAAAAGTTCAGTGCTTCATTTAGAGCTCTAACTTTCAATTACTTTCAATTCTTCAACTGCAATTTTACCTTGCTAGTTCGGAGACCCTCATTGATACTGTGGTTTATATGGCAATATGTCATGGCACAGAAGGAAAATGTGGATTATAACGGATTGTCATGATTTCAAATAGGCTACACATTCTATTCTACATATAGGCTTGAACCGTTAGGATGCTGAGTATGCTAATTGGCTATAGGTGAGAATGCTAATTTGACTAAGATGGCCAGAGACACATCCATTAGCATATCTAAATACATATACATATAGATAACACATGTGATGTTATATGTGATGTTATGCTTCTAGAAACAATCAAAATAAGATATAACCTATTTTTAACTTGCTTTAAAGTGTGATGAATGCTGTAAAGCTTACAGAACAAAACCTTGTATTGCCAAAATGGTAGCGTGTATTAGAAGTTACAAAGACTTTTTCTGTTGCTCTGTACAAAGTTTTATGAAATTTTAACAGAATGCAAAGAGTAACAATTTCTCAAATTGGGAAAAAATTAAAAAAGACAAAAACGGATATACAAAATTTTTGCACAACAACCCTGTGAATCTAGCCAGAATAAGCTGAATAAGGCCATGTCTGAATTTATTTAATATTTGCCTTCAGTTTTGCATTGATAAAGAAGCTGAATTTGAAAATCATAAATGTTAATATAGTTGTAACAATTTAAATATTTTTGTTTTTCAGTCCCACTTATATGGGATGTTCAGACGATCGCAAGTTTTTTCCATAGTATTGTTTTGGTATCAAGTACTGTGAGGGTTAGTATTGGTATCAAAGTCAAAATTCTAGTATCATGAGAAACCTAGGTTGGGTTTGGTTTTCTCATTGCTCAAAGGCTGCTTAAAGTGTGTCCACATGTCTACCTCTAGATTACAAAAAAAATAATAATAATAACCTTCTTCAAAATGTAAGCTGATAACTACACTCTTAAATGAAAAGGAACCAAACAGGGTTCTTTACTCAATGCCATAGAAGATCCATAACTGATGTTTCTTTTGAGAACTATTTTTGTAAATGAGATGTGTAAGGTAAAATCTACCTTTAAACATTTAAAATGCTCATAACATTTCAACACTCTTTTTCAAACCCTGGTTCTTTAGGGAACCAAAAGTGGTTCTTCTATGGCATCATGCAAAGAACCCTTTGTAGGACCTTTCCTTGTACAGTGTAATGCATTCTTTATGATCAATGGCACGTAAAAAAAAAAACATAAAATCTCTATATTTACTAAATGAGTAGTATTTTAAAGTGCATTCTCTTTGCATTAAACAGTTGTTGGTGTGTGTTTGAGTGGGGGTGACAGTGCAGCTTGGCTACTGGAAAGACAGTCATTAGTCATTTGAGAATGCAGCTCAGTGTCAGCTCTTCATTGTTCACGAGTCTTTCATCAACCACATCTCCATCACCGAGAGAACCTGATGAAACATTTGACCCCAAGATAGCCCCCCAGCTGAGGGCCACATAACAGGGCCTCAACAGGGCACATGTACACAAGACAAAGTGAGAGAGACTGAGAGAGAGAAAGCAAAAGAGAGAGAGTGAGAGAAAAAGAGAAAGAAGAGTGTGTGCATGTGTGCTGTGAGGGACACTGACTTAATATGACACAGTGTTAGAAAAAAGTAGATCTCACCTCAGTCTGTCATTACAACAAATGAAACATTACACGACTGACAAAAAGAAGAAATATATCAAGTTACATTTACATTTATAACAAGATCTCTAGTGCAGAACTAACTTTAACAGTGTAAAACGAACCCACATTGCCAATTACAATGAAAATCAACCTGTTCAGCCATGTGGAGAGCATTTTCTTAGAAAAAATATTGTTGTTTTTTTGTTTTTCATCACACCCATATAAAAATAACATGTAGGTATTGGTTCAGGGTGCTGGAGACTTTGTGGGCAAAAAGAGGCAAACCATTATCATGTCTGTGGATTTTAATTTCTCTGCGACTACTGGAAGGAGACACAGAGACATTTAGAAGCACTTTTTGGAAATGATCTTCCTTTTAAATGTGATTTCTTATACTTGGGTAACATTCCATTCACCATACGGAACAACAGAAATTGACATTCATAGCAGTTAGCAAAAAGACAATGACAAGGAACTGGCTAAATCCAGAGCCCCTCATTGTTAATGAATAGATGGACATTATGCATTTTATGTATATTGGAAAAATTCTTATATTTTTTCTTATATTTATATCCTAAAATATAAACGTCACAAAGAATTGACCGACATATATAATTAGCTGTGTTGCATTAATGCCAGAAATCACAAATTAACAAACCAGTGCTGAAGTAGTGAAGTATGGCAATTTCAGAATCACATTGGTATCGGCAGATAATTGTGTAAAAAAGATTATCTGCATCAGACCGATGTTTAGATTTGACCAATATTTGAGACCGATATTTAATTACATATTTATTGTAACTGGAAGAGCAGAACATTTGAAACTCTAAAGAAATAAATATTGTTTAATCATAATGTTTATATATTGTATTGGCAGATGTGTCCATGAAAAAAAACTGGCATTAGCCAACAGCTCCCATAACAGTGCATCTTTAGAATTAACAGTGTTGAATAAACACTGAATTAGCAAATGCATCTACAGTGTTGCAATGACACCTAGAGCCAGTTTCACAGACAGGGAAAAAGCCTAGGCAAGGACTATATTTTCCTTTCAAAACATAAATCTCCATTTAATATCCTGTGTTGTCCAGGACTCCTAATGCATCAAATTAAGACACATACTATGTTGAATTAAGTATTTGTCCATCTGGATTAAACAGAACGCTCCAAGTTACCAAGTTACCAAACGTTAAAGGGGAACTCCACCAATGTTTCACAGTATCTACATAATTAATGGTTAAGATGTAAACAAAGTCATTCTGAGTGCTTGATGTAAAATAGTGCATTGCAGATAAACAAACCAAGATTTCTTTAAAATGGTGGTGAGAGGAACCAGGGGTTGCGATGTCTTCACTCATACATAGGCATTTTATTTACTATGCAAAATGAGCAATGAGTTTTTATACCCTGCTGAAAAACCCACAGAAACCATTAAGTGTTTCTGTTTATTCCTGATGGTTTTCTAATGTGTTTTTGGCTTTTTTATCACAATGTAAAGGATCTGAATGGTTTAACACAGGATGTCAAACTGGGGACCTTCTGGGCCAAAGTGCTGCAGAAAGTGTTTACCCTCATCTAATGCTCTGAATTCAGTTAATGAAGGCCTTGTTAATTAGCTGGTGAGCTGAATCAGGTGTGTTTAATGAGGCAGGGTGCTAAAGTCTGCAGTGTTTTGGCCCACAAGGACTGGAGTCTGACACATGAGGTTTAACAGGTTACCAGTAGCTGATTCCTACTAAGATCTAAAGGTGTTCTACATGAAACCAGTGGAAAAATGGTTTTGCTTTCCCTTTTTTTCATCAGGCAATGCAATTACTTAATAACTGTAGTAATTATTACAATATTACAATATTAATTATTATTATAATTTCCTTTAGGTACTATTTTGCCTTACTACACCTATGTACCTATCCTCCGTGAATGGCTTTTAAAAAAACGTCTTGGATCAAAACCCAAAACCGTATCTTAAACTTTTACTAGTAAAACAATGAATCAGGCAGTGCATTCATAATCATTTCATGTAATACATTTCTGTGAGGTAGTTTTTAGAGGCATCAATCGCTCCAGGCGTCCGGTTGCTATCACCACCTCTGTGAACAAGTTTGACTAATCAAGTTTCTCTGGAACGGAGCATTTCACATCAAACCATACCGAATGACGTCGTTTACACCTCAACGATTTAATTATGCAAAAAAATCGAAAATTCCCCTTCAGGGCAACACAGTGGATTTTGCTGTGTGTACGCAATAATATTAGTTTTATTTCGCTATTAAACTGACATAGGCATTAGCAGGGGACTAATGAATATTAAAAGAAAGGGGGCTTACTTTGGTCACTCCGTCTTCACTGCCCTCCACTTTCCTGCGGAGCTGCAGTAGTTGCCACACGTCGTTGACAGACGCGGAGCGGGCGAGCAGCTCGGAGCCGCTGGGGAGGCGCTCCAGCGCGGCCAGCTGTCGCTCTATGTGCTGCAACTTGTCCTCCATGCGTCGGTAAGGGTTCTGCGGTGATGCCGTGGTCAGCAGCGACTCGCCAGGGTCATGGCCGGCATCCACCTCCAGCCACACAGCGCTCACATTCTGGATGTGCAGGTGCTCCAGCATGGCGTGCAGCAGCGTGTGCAGAGCGCTGAAGTTAACAGCTCCAGGCTCCGGGGTCCCGATGGACATATTTACCAAGTCAAATAAACTAATATCGCCTGACATAGTGGCACCGATAGAGCTATTATATCATTTGTCTAGTAATATGGATTTGACTGTTGGTCCATCTGTCGCTTCGCTCCGTGAAATAAAGTAGAAAACACATAAACAGGGAGCTAATACACACATTTGATTAAATACACATATACTAGCATATGGAATTCAACGGTTCCATGACATGTCTTCTTAAAAAATACTCTTATAAATACCCATTATAATCGCTTAAGGAGTCCTATATAATGAATATTCCTCATTCCTAAGCAGGTAAAGAGCTCTTAAAATGACATAAAACCTTTTCAAATGTTACGCCTAAAATCGGCAGCTCTTCTACCTTTGTCGCTCCTAATTTCCCATGTTAGCAGCAGCAGCTTTGCTTTTGCTAAATTGTTTTAAGATTATCCAACATTCTATTTCACTCCTCCCGCCTACTGGCTACTCTATTGGTTGCAAGAACGAGTGGAAGTTCCATACGCGCTGTTCATTGGTTGCGCGCTCCGCCGATCACAGCCCCCCCGCCCCACCGTCCTTTGTGACTCATGGCGTCCTCCGTTGCACAGCAACCGATGCCGTCGCTGCACAGTCCTGCCACGTGAGTAGAAACTGCGCTTGTGCCACAAACACAAACAGTGGCTGCGTCCAAAACCGCATACTACTGTATTAAATAGTATATTTTAAAAACGTACACCACCATTAGAAATGCGTTCTTTAGCATAACATGCACAGTATAGGAGTATGTGGTTTTGGACGCAACTCCCGTCTCCACCAAGGGGTGGAAAAAGTCCTTAGAAACTTACTCAAGCGAAGGAACGGATGCTGTATCAAGGTTTTACTCCATTAAAAGTGGAAATGTGAAGCCAAAACATAGTTGAATAAAACTAAAAAAAAAAATAACTGTTAAACTCAGGTATATAAAAGAAAAAGAGTAAATGTTATAATAAATAAACACAAACTCAATTCCAAAAAAAGTTGGGACGATAAGTAAAATGCAAATAAAAAAAGAAAGAAGTGATTTATAAATCTACCCTTGTATTGTATTCCATAATTGAACAAAAGCAGTAAAGACAAGTTATTTTTCCTAATGTTTTATCAGCTTCATTGTTTTTTGTAAACATATGCTAACTATTCTGAAATTGATGCCAGCAACACATTCCAAAAGATTTGGTACAGGTGCAAGTTAAAACTAGGAACAATGTAAAATGTTCAAAAATATCTTGTACAGGTGATACAATTATGCTTGGATATAAAATGAGCATCCAGGAAAGACCTGGTCCTTCATGATGAAGAATTTTGGATGCAGCTTCAGACATAGGCTAAATCTCAAACTGCTTGCTGCTCCCTATGTAGTGCACTATGTAGGCCATAAAATAATGGCTTCTACATGCCACATAAAAAAGCCTTTTATATTTAGCCATTAGCTACATGATTCCAAATCTAACATTAAGAACATAAATTATTAGCCATATAGAAGCCATCGTTTCCTGATCTGTGCAGTACACTATCCATCCATCCATCTATCTGTCCATCCATTATATATCCAATATATCCATCCATCCATCCATCCAATATATCAATTTATCCATATATATATATATATATATATATATATATATATATATATATATATATATATATATATATATATATATATATATATATATATATATATATATACACATACACACACATATACACACACACACGCACACACAAATACAGCAACTAAATGTTAAGTGCTTTACTTATCGGCACAGTGGGGTTATCCATCAGCTGGGATTAAACACACAGCATCTTCATGCTACCACTGTTTAAAAAAAAAAACTCCTCTGAATAAAATATTATTAAATTTATTACACATCCTCACAATCTGTTCACTTAACATAGTGAAGAAGAATAAATTTGTGATGAAAATGCAATCAACTGAAGAAATAGCGTGGCTAATAACCTCTAATAAACAGTGTCAGCTTGGCCAAACCATTGTGAATTATGACAAACAGTGCAAAATAATGTCTCAAAATAAAGTTTAATCTTATGTATAAAAAACAAGCAGAAAATCCTGGCTCCATCCAGAGTTCATTTACAGTAGGCCAAGTATATAATTCAAGTACACAATCAAATATTCATAAATACAGCTTACGTTTACCCATATGTCCCTCAACATCCTTTAGATAGATTGCCCTGAATTAAAGCTGATGATTACATTCATTCCAAGAAACAAGAAGAGTGACAGCATAAACCTGTTCACATACATCTCCCACACACTCATGCAAATATAGTCTAAATTCAGTTCAATAAAAATGAGAAAGTGATAGAGGTCACTCAGTGGTTTCAAATTTACACATAAAATAAAAAGGGAGTGTCTGTTGATTGACAACACTGTAGAAACTTCATAAACTTCAAATGTAGATGTGACTGTAGGATTATTAGATAAACATGCAGGCTCCAGCAGAAGGTACATGCTCTGCCTCTCAGTATTCTATACGTGATGGTGTATTGTCTAAGACAGTGGTCACCAATCCTGCTCCTGGAGATCTGATTTTATAGATTTTAGGTCTAGCCCTTTTCAACTCCATGGGGTCCATCTAATGATTACCTTCAGAAGTTTTTGATTAGCTGGATGAGGTGTTAGATTTGGGGTGGTGGTGAAACCTGCAGAAAGGATCTTTAAAAAAAGTACTTCAAAGGTTCTTTAGTAAAGACAGTGCTTATCTACTAGGAGTTTTGTTCCAAAACACGTTATAGACCACTTGCAAGGATTTTCATTTAGTATATACGGTATTGGGTGCGAGCTTTACCCATATAAGAAATATCAGTGCTATATTTTGATTAACACCACCTTAATTAGTGATATATAAATGTATTTTCCATGTGTCAGTTGTTATTCTTTGCAAAAACTTGTAATATCCAACATGTTACAAATGGATATAGATATACAGCATTTTGGAATGAAGACCAACACTCAGAACCACCTGAGGTCATACATGGGTCCTTGCATGGTTAAATAGTTCTTCTTTATGATGGAAAAATCTGTTGCATATGGTTTTTTAAAGAACCTTTGTTAAAAAAATTGGTTTTCCACAGCACCAGATATGGTTCTCTATTATTAAAGAACCATTTTTACTAAGAGTGTAGATTCCCAGAAGGAGGGTGGGAGACCACTGGACCACTATATTTCTCTCTGACTAATGTCACCACTTCCATGTCTTTGAACATTCACTTCAGAGTTTTTTCCAAGACAAGGATTCCCATGAACTTCAGCAAGCACAGCTGAAGAAACTCAATTCTTTGGCAAGATTTTTTTCTTTTAAAGAAAGAGTACTCTCACTGTTCTAGATTTCAAACATTAAGCCTAAGACTAAAAGTAACTCGTCAGCTATTTATAGTGTATTTACATTGTATAATTGTACTGTTGCCAGTGGCTGGTACATGTAAAAGGCGTTAAATGCCCACTTGTCAGTGCTCACATCACTCATTTAAGTGAACCAGTCTTCAGCAGTATAGTGCATAATTTCATGCATTGTTTACAGAATATAACTATTTTATAGAGTGTAACTATTTTAGAGTGTAATTTCATTGTCAAATGATTCTCTAATGTCTGGATTCTACAATGAAAATGTAATTACATTATATTTTCTCCCTTCAAATGGATAAGCAAATGCTAGAGGCCACACATTTTCATGTTGTCCTGCTGACACAGTTAGTGGTGTTAGAAATACTGGGATTCAAGGCTAGAATAAAATCTGAACCTTTTATTGCATTACTGTAGGTGAACTTTGGGACCTGCATAACCCTTCTCAGAGAAATCAAAATAAAATTTCTAGACGTGTAAGCAACAACAAAAGGAATCTATTTGCAATGGCTTTCTACATTTAAAAAAAAAACAAAAAACAAAAAAAAACACGGGTTCAGCCGAATGCCTCTCAGAAAGCAGAAAGGATACAAGAACTAAGTGTTCCCCGGGACTGAAAGGCCAAGTTAAGGAAGTGTCTTCAGAACAGAGATGAACCAGCAAAAACAAACCAGTAACATACAATTCATTCAGTGAAACTCCCCTAGCTCAGGTTCCAAGAAGCAGCTGGGAAAAAAAAAAAAAACATCTTCTGGCACTACTACACTTCCGCTAACTCCAGACATCAGATGCTGTCATAATCAGAGTCCTGACGGTGGCAGACCACTATCCAGTCGGCCATGAAGAAGGACAGCGTGCCAGCGAAGCCCACAAGCACCATAATGAGCAGCTGCCAGTGCAGCAGAAGATAGTTACTATAGAAGAAGGCCACGGCCGCTGTGATGGACTGCAGAGGCCATGAGGTGAAGAGAAGAGATAAAGCACAGATATTATTATGGTACTGTGCAAAAGTTAGAGACCACCCTTCATTTTTTTCATTTTGATTTTTGTTTGTCCACCCTTTGCATTTATTACATCTTCCATGCCTTTCTTTACGGAGACTTGTTTCAGTTTTCCAAAGACATCTGCTGGGTTATTTGTCCATACCTCTGAAGTTCTGTCTTAGCAGTTGTCTGCATTTTCCAAGCATTCTCAATTCCAAATCTGTCTATAACTCATCAGTTCAAAAAATAATATCTTTTCTCACACAGTAAAAAATGGTGGTTTAACTTTTTTTTAAAGTTACTGGATTGCCTTAAAAAACTGAGTTAACTGAATTTCAAATAATAAGTAAACGGAGCGTGTCATATAGATTACTCTTCCGTTAACTTACTATTAGAAGTTCAATTTACTCAATGTTAAGGCAGTCCAGTGAAGTAACTAAGTTAAAACACCATTTTCTCACTGTGCACCAACAGTGTGCAGACTGATAGCACCAAGTTGTCTACTCACAGTGGGGGGATAGACAGAAACACCTATAAGAGCTTGATTTTGTCTTAAACTCTCTTTTTCACTTATGTGCCCTTCAATATGCAAGTGGATTATCTTTGTGTAATATCTTCAGAAAAACCTCTTTAAAAGTAACAACTTTTGCTTAATGACCATTTTGACTGGAAATTAAATACATCAAGGATGGTCTCTAATAGCACAGTACTGTCTGTAAAAGCAATTAGCTTAAAAAAAAGGAATCAGTGTCTGTTGAACAGTAAGCAAACATATCTATATCATATATCTGTCCACGGTTGTGGAAGTACCTTTTACTGCACAAAATCTCTCTCTAAAGACATTTAAATGCTTCTATGACCTACACAACCGATCAAAATTTTTAATCAATTTTTTTTAATAAAATAAAACCATTTTGGTATGGTAGAAACAAGTGTATTAAAAGATTATTTGTTATATTTTTTATTTTTATACTTTTTTTATTTTATTTAAAAAAGTAACTTCACAACTTTCAAATGATTAATAGAACATTAAGGAGTCATAAATAAAAAAGGAGATTTGTCTAGAATGATGAACAGAGCTGTAGATGGTTCTAAAATTACTTTAAAAATATTAATTAAAACATTACTATCCAGAATTCATCACAATTCATGAGTGCAGAAAAAACTCCTATAGATAATAGTTAATTACAGTTAATTATTACAGTTAATTATTTATCATTTTTACTTGTTCTTTATCAAAGTAAATAAAATCAACAAAGGAACATTTCAAATAGCGTGTATGTGTGTATGTATGTATAATTTAATACTATATGTGAAATAACAAAAAACGCAAACATGGCAATTGCTAAAATAACAAAACTGCTGCGTTTTACCTGTACAAACTTGAAGACAGCAAAAGCTGGAGCGCTGTCATCATGGTACACGAAGCCGATGATGCTGAGCAGCTGAGTGTTGAAACAGCTGTCACCCAAGCCCAGCAGAAAACTGCACAGCAATGCCACATCCACACTGATAACACACACCAGCATGAACATGGAGTCAGACATTCAGCAAACTGCTACAACAATGACAAAACAGTTCTGAAAGCTGAGCAGTGAACAGTCCGTTATTAGTAGAGTTAGCATATCGCTCGCATTTCTCTGAAAAGTGCTACACAAATAAATTTAAATTGATTTTTAAAAGAATGCTCTTTTGGAATCCTGACCGTGGACAGGACTGCCAGGGATTAAACTTAACGTCTGTTCATACTTGGGAGAGATGAATCCCTGCAGCTCGGTTCCTTCCTCTGGCGCTAATGGTGCATCAGGGGCAATGTTAAGGAAGATCAGGAAGAAAGCCAGAAAATGGGTGAGCAGTCCCAAGAGTACTACTGGATTTCGTCCGAAGCGGCTGCACTGGTTCAGCATGCCAAACAAAGATCCACCTGGTCGAAGAAAGATGTGCATTCTACCTTTTTTTCTCGTTTTAAGGACCTTGGAAGCAAGAACACTGTTGATGCACAATGACTTACCAAGTATTTCCCCAACACCAATGAAAATTCCAGAGAGACCAATGAGACTCTTGGCATTATTCCCAAAGCGAGTCATGGCTCCTATACATGTCCCATATACCCCGCTGTAAAATGTCAGTTCCAGTCCTTTAGGAAGAAAGGTGGCAAGGTAAATTCCACAGAATTAACCAACACCACGAACTTAGTACAATGCATTATGCTGTACATCAGACCTGGACAAAATATTCAACAAATTAGTCACAGGTTTTATGAGGTAACCTAAATTACACAATTTCCAGCAAGAGTAATGGGTTTACCGGTGTATGCGATGGAGATGCTCAGCAGCAGCATTTCTTTGGTCACAGCTAGCTGAATGGCTTTCTCTGATCACAGAGAGTTATAGAGTTTAATAGGTGTCCGTATCAATTGACTGTTTTATGGTATGCAACTGCAGCACAAAAGGGAAACTTACTGAATGCATCCAAAGCCCGAGTTGCTCGACTCTGTGGCGCTCTGCATTCAAAAGAAGACACACACCAAATAATCAGTGAGGATTTATCTTTGCTGTATTGTCAAATACAGAACATACACAAACACTGAGTTGCCAGATTAGCAGGTACACCCACCTAATTACACTGACTGGGGATCAAGTACACCTACAATATTTTTTAGTTATTTTTCTTTGCATTTCTGAGGAGATCAAACATAAAACAAGCCACTTCAATAAACAAGGGGAAAGTCAAAGGAAAATAAAGGGGGGCAGAGGGAGAAAGAGTTGTCCAATAAAAGTAGAGGTTGTCACAGCTGGAGGGGGGGAACTCCATATTAATGCCTGTGGTTTTGGAATGGGATGTCCAACAAGTTCAAACAGACGTGACGGTCAGCTGTGCACATACTTTTGGCCACATAGTGTATATGTTGTCAGGGTTGGTCCTATGGTGGTCTTTTCACTGATGGACAGAGTAGAGGAGGGCTGATACATTATGCAGCAACAGCAACTGCAGTCAGTAATTGTAAACTTATATGGCAGGTGTACCTAATGAAAGTGTTAAGGCAACTCAGTGAAGACTCAAGATTTCCATACTCACACCCCCCCTGAATCGCTCTCAGAAGTGTCTCCTGGCAGCAGTGACTCAGAGGCCTCTGAGGGTAGAACCTCTGGCTCGACCCGCTGAATGAGGAAGAAGAGGAAGTTGCCGACTAGACTTATGACGGTGAGTGAGATGAACACTGTCTTGCGGTCCTTGTCTGACACACAGGGAAGTGACACAGATCTGTTATCTTAAAGCACAATCATTTATAACTGCAATCACTGCATATGTAGCATGTATTAATGATACAGGGGAAAGCATCACCATCCTCACCTAATATGTGAACTTTGTCATGCCAGGCAAAATATATGTAAAGATTGCCAGAGAATAAGCTACAAAACAGAAAAAAATAAACCATATGTAAATGACCTTTAACATCCTTAACACCTGAGATGGGTTCAGTATACTCTGTGATCACATGGTAATAAAACACACTCAACAAAGACATAGATACAGCACCTAAACTGCAGCAGAGCCCAGAATATGCCGCTGTTTCGACCAATGGTGGAGTCGGTGGAGTTGATGGTGAGGAGGTTCCCCTGGGCTGTCCACAACACTGTGATAAGAAAGTTATTTAGATAAAGCAGCTAAAGCAGAAGTGAGGAGATGAAAAGTGTTTTTGAAAGCTCTTGACAAATGAGTCACACCACACCTGCAGCTGCAATCCCAACCAAAACAGAGAAGGTGTAGAAACTCCAGGTAAAAGGGTGGATGAACATGGCAATGTATCCACTAAAATGAGACCAGGAAGAGTGCCCATAACAAAACATTTAACTCATTCATTGCTACAGTAACAAAATGAACAGTAATGTCAATAAGAAAAAGTATTGTAATTAGCAGCACAACATTCATTTAATTCAGACAGTGTACAATCAGTGAGGAAAAGTATAGATTGGAAATGTGGTCTTACCTGTAAACTAGTCCGCTGAAAAACAGCGACAGCTGAGGTCCAATGACAGCCACCACTGAGGGAGCTATTAAGTTTGACGCTGAAAAGACTCCATAGATAATAGCCATGCTGTAAAGATGACAGTTAGAGTGGGTCCAATATGTTTAGATATTTAGACACAGTGTCATTTCAAGGGATGACTGTGTGTTGATTTATTCAAGGGCAAGAAAGAATGCATATAGCTTTTTAGAAACATTTACTGTGCATGTAAGCCCAAACCTAGAGCATAATAAAAGTCTTACAGAACCTGAGCTAGTTTAATAGGTATCCCTTTCCTTGTAGCTATGCTCACTGGCTATTTTATCATGTACATCTACCATGTAGGTACACTCTGCAGGTTTACTTTCTCTTTACCCTGTCCATTAATGGAAAGAAATCACCATAGAAATCACCACTACTGACAAGATATTAACTGGGGTGGACCATTCTCTGCACAGCAGTGATACTAACATAGTGACACGGTGGAGTATGTGGTGCTGTAAACCTACAATGACCATTGAAGGTAAAGGGAGATTGTTTTCTAATAAACTGGCAATTCAGGTTTAAAAATGTCTTATTTTAATAATATCCTCACCTGCTTGTGCTAATAGCATTAAGCGCTGTTTCGTTGCCCAAAATTAGTAAATTAAATGAAAAGCCCTTGCCAAGAGAATGAACGCCCAGATTCATTAGATTACCCTAAAAACTCAGGTGACCAAGTTCTGGAAAGCGGAACTTTTAAAATCTCATGAAAGAGCACTTAAGAGGTAAAGTCACATGATTTCCATCACAAATCTAAAGTGCTTTTATAAAAGCCCAATTTCATGCAGATTCAGTTGGAGGGAAAAGTAAATAGAAGAAGCAAAAGATACCTTGTATAGCCGCTGCCATGGAACTCTGTGCTATTGAAACTCTTTATCACAGTTTGCTGTGAAAAGACAAAGCACAATTAAACTGATGCATTTAAATCCACGGACAGAAATCTTCATGAAGTATGACGTGGAAACGTGTACTTAATGTCTCAAAAATGGTGTGACAGAACAGTCGCAACACTTAATTAGACACTGAAATCATCTTAAACTATGCACAAGCAAACAAGGAGAAGTACGTTTCAAAAACGAAACTTTGAATGAGAATTGTCTAAAAGGTTAGTCTTCTTACTTCTATGTTGCCGCAGGTTTGAAAAGCGGTGAACATTAACATGAAGCCAATGCCCAAGATGAAGATGTTCAGGAGCATTTTTATTTCTGGACTCATCTTGTCAACTATAGTCTGCAAACAGTGAACACAGAACAGAAAGGCCCCTCAGGCTGTCTGGTGACATCTGAGGGACAGTCAGGTGACTGTTTAACCAGCAATGCTACACGATGCAGCTTGATAACATGTCCTCATTAAGACAAGCCGAGTACAGCCTCTGGAAACATAATGAATTAACATTACCAAACCCTGCGTCTAATTCAACTATAGGAGCTTATTAGGCGGTCATGACGCGTCGCTGCACTGTCTTACCGGCGATTGTCCGAAACGGCTCTTCTTCACAGCTTGAAGAGTGGCTGAACCATGTCGAGAATATTTCAGTGGAGACAGGCAAGCAAAGACTTCACGTCTAATCCAATTATGCACGGCAGTAAACAGCGGACAGTCTTTAATATAACTAAACTGTGGCCGTTCCCCCACTGTTAACTAGCTAGTCGGATCCGTTTCCCCACTGAAGTCTGTCATGTGAGGCGTCAGCTGACACTTAAAACCGCTTATGGGTAAACGAGTTTTTTATAAAACCAAGCGTCTCTTCCGGGTAACTTTAATGAATGTATTGACGTGAGTGTAAATGCCACTTCGCACTTAATTTGGCATCCATTTATTGTAGTAAGCGAGTGTCTGTTTTGTTGGTGAACTCAGTGTAGCATCTTGTGTTTTTTTGTAAAAGAAAAGAATGATCAAGGCACGCGTTGAGTCTTGTGCGCATGCGCACTGTGTGCTTTGGTATGATTTCTATTTATTATAAAAATACACCGACTACATGTAACTGGAGGAAATATTTACACTGTACTGAAATATAGGAATAAAACAGGCAATACAAATATACCAAGATTCTTTTACGTTGGAAAAACATTCCACGAGATTGCTGCTAAATGGACACGCTATTTTGACATTTTTTCATGTCAAGGAATGTTTTTCGGACTCCCAAGTTTTAATTTCATTTTGCCACCTTAATCAAACTTGGCACCACACTCACTGTTATCAAGGTTCGACCTTCTAATGTCAGTTTTAACAGTAAGTTGTGTAATTTCTGTGAATAACCCAACATTTAATGTAATAAAAGAAACAGTGTATATATAAGAAAAACGTGTATATAAGAAAAGTGTATATCTTTTCTGAAGGCTTACGTGATGTCATTTACTCTTCATCATGTTATTTAATGTGGCACAACATTATTTTTGATGCTAAATAAATTGATGTGATGAGGTGGAAAGCAAAACTCAAAGACAGTTTAATTGCTAATTGTGTTATAAATAAAACAAATGTTGTTTTATATTAAACAGGCACAGTAGTCTTAATGTGGACACAGATATACATTTGGGCATGGTGAAGGATTGATTTTAGTGACGTCTGACACTTAAAAACGCATGTATTCTTATAAAATAAGAATTTTATAATTACATGGGTAATTACCTAAGATTTTAAGGGGGAAAAATACCAATTAGCAATCCTGTGAATGAAAATTGCTTGTGGTTCAGATGAGTCAAAGGAGAATGGTGAGATCGTATAACAGAGAGGCAACAATCAGGCAATATTCAAATTCATCTAGTGTGCACAATGTGATCTCAGAATACACCATTTATCAGACTAGAACGGGCTACATCAGCTCATCTCCAGCGGGCACAAAAGCATTAAAACTGGACGGCTGAAGCATGGAAAAAAGTTGCCTGCTCAGTCAGTTCCAGGTTCCTTTTCCATGATGCCAGGGGAATGATGAGAATTAGTCAAAACATCCATGGAGCTAATCTGTTCAATGTCAACAGTACAGGCCATGGTGGCAGTGTGGATGTGTGGGGATTGTTTTCCAGCATGCATTAGGGCCCTTGATATTCGCTGGGTTTGGTGAATAACGTTAGTTTGGGATCCTAGAGCTTTATGGTGCTTTGGCAATCTCTCTAGTGCTAATATCTTTGTGGTATATTACACTGTCTGCATATCGAGTGTAATTTCTGTTCATGTTCAAACAATTCAAAAGTTGTAATAATTTTAGCTTTTGCCAGTATATTACTATTATTTACATATTACATTATATTACTATTGCATACACTCACTGTGCACACAATTAGGAACACCTGCAATTATTTAATCAGCCAATTGTGCACAGCGGTGCAGTGCGTTAAATCAGATGCGGGCCAGCATCTTCAGGCAATGCTCCTATCAACCTATCAATGGGGGAAAAAAATGTGGTCTCAGTGATTTTGACCATGGCATGATTGTTGGTGCTAGACAGGCTGGTTTAAGTATTTCTATAACTGCTGATATCCTGGGATTTTTACACACAACAATCTCTAGTGTTTAATCAGAAGGGTGTAATAAAGAACAAACATCCAGTGAGCAGCAGTTCTGGAGATGGAAATGCCTTGTTGATGAGAAAAGTCAACGGAGAATGGCCAGACTGGTTCAAGGTGACCGGCTAAGGTAACTCAGAAAACCACTCAAATGTGATAAGCAGTAAAGCATCTCAGAATGCACAACACATCGAACCTTGAGGCGGAAGGGCTACAACATCAGAGGACCACCTCAGGCTCCATTTCTGTCAGCTGAGAACAAAAAAGCTGGGGCTGCAGTGGGCACATGCTTACCAAAACTGGACAGCTAAAGACTGAAAAATGTAGCCTGGTCTGATGAATCTCGCTTTCTGCTGAGGCACACAGAGGGTAGGGTCAGAATTTGGGGACCCAATTTGGGGAATCCATGGACCCAACCTGGCTTGTGTCAGAAGTCCAGGCTGGTAAAGTTGGTTTTATTGGTGAGTAGAATGTTTTCTTGGCATACTTTGGGCCTGTTAATTACCAATCAATCATCACTTAAATGCCACAGCCTATTTGAGTTTTGTTGTTGACTGTTGTCATTGCTCCGCCTGTTTTCCCTATTTTGTATTATAAAATTTTATACTAATGCTGTTTGCTATCCGGTGTCAACCAGAGGAGGATGGGTTCCCCTTTTGAGTCTTGGTTCCTCTAAAGGTTTTTTCCTCTTGCTCTTAGGGAGTTTTTCCTTGCCACTGTCACCATTGGCTTGCTCATGGGGCCTTGGTCCCGGATTTTTCTATAAAGCTTCTTTGTGACAACACCTGTTGTAAAAAGCGCTATATAAATAAACTTTGACTTGACTATGCGCATCTCTTCATGGCTACAATTCACCCATATTTAAAGTGCACCTAAAAAATCAAGAATCACATAATGCAATCACGTCAACACAGACGAGAATCTAAAAGGAATGTTTCCAACATGTTGTGGAATTTATAACATCATGAATTGAATGTGTTCTGAGAGCAAAATTAATCATTACTATAGTGTTCCTAATAAAGTGCTCAGTGAGCGTATAATACATATGCTCAGTCATGTAATTGTTGAACCATCAGTAAACCCTCTGCTAATTTGCATGATTTATTTCTGTATCAGAACATCTCTTTTTTTTAAAGACATAAGGTGAAGCAAGGGGTTTTAAAACAAAACTTTATTAAATAATTGGACATTTCATAAACAGCTGTTCTAGAATAACTAGATATTCCAGAAGCAACATTTCAATTAAGATTGTATTCATGTACACTATTAAATCAAGTTTTAGTTGTTGCAGTTACAATCATCATTTGTATAGTATGATCCCCAGGTAGAGCTGATCCTGCTAATTGGTTTCTATTTGCATGAAATGTCTCCAAAGGAACATCAATGCACTTCAGGTTCCACTTATGCAGCAAAGCTTCTATAGACCAGTCAGTGCTGAAATTATATGAAACATCAACTGATAATCCATGATAATCCATAACAAGATAGAAATATCTTTCAACTGAACTTTGCTGTAAGTAACGGACCTTTAAGATGAGGTAGCTGCTACTGAACGTTCATCAACGCAGCTTTTTATTAGCTGCCATACTTCTAAAAAAAGGAAAGGGATTATTACCTCCTTTCCTGATACGTGGTCCAGAACTGAGCATAGGGGCTCCGCTTTAAGAGAAATGAAATTGTCACAAGGACATCTTCAAAATCTGCAAAAAGAGGGATTCATTAAATAAGACGTCACACACACTATATAAAAATGTTCTCCTGGAATTCGCCACACTCAGCTCGCCTTTTATCAGTCAGTTGGCTTGGATGACAGACTTTATTCCATGTGTATTGATAAAGATAACAGTACAAATGCACACTGCGAGTGGACAGCAACATCAGAGAAACAACAAAATTGAGGTGGGCAACTCTGAATCAAAGAAGCAATAAAACCAGAACCAGGTTCACCTTCAGGCTCATAGAACACATCTGATCCTAGGACAACATCCACAGGAGGCAGAGACAACAGCTCTGGTGATACCTGTCCCCAGGTAAGACCCACCACAGGTACACTAGCTACATCATTCACCTCACAGGATCGCTTGCAGTTATTCTGGCAGAGAGGAAGCTCAGCACTGTCAGACAGAATCACTTGAGCTCCACACTTTGCAGCCACCACACCTGGCAGGCTCACCCCAGCACCAAGCTGTAACAGTAAGAAAATAACAGTGTCTTATTATTCAGCACTACAGAACCAAGTCTTCATGGGAGTTTGAAACTTGAACTACACCTATAAATCTTCACCTCTAGCACAGTTTTCTTCTGTAGTTTCTCCTTTGCAGTCCATACATACTGAGCCAAAACCACCGCACAGGGCCACACATACATTCCATACTGAAGATCAAGAACCTGGATACAAATGGGTGAAATCAGTAATACATAACTTCTTATTTAAGAGTAGTTAAAGTTAGGGGTGATAAAAATAATCGATTCCTAGATGCACTGAGATTCTCTCTTCAAAGATTCTGAATCGTTTCACAAAACATCATAATTGGATTTTTACACAGGCTTTGCATTTTACCCACTGTACATTAAATTTGTGCTCACCCAGAGACATCACAAAGTAGGATGGTCTGGCTTTGGAGACTGCTAACTAGTTAACAGGCTAATACAGCAGCTCTCACACTATCACAGCAAAATGTTTTAGCATGCATCTCAATCATTCACTTTTAAGGACCTTGTTGTTTACAGGACAGATTTCCCAATGAAGGCTATAAATCAAAAATCGAGGCACATCGAGAATTGTTTTATAATCGCATCTTGGCAGTCTGAATCCCAGAGATTCCCACACCTAGTCAACATGGGGTCGCATGAGCATTCACTGTTACCTCCGGTATAGACACAGTCAAAGGAAGCGTGCCGTCGTGGCTTTCAAAGTTGAACGTTTTGTGGACAAAACGTGCGCTTACGGGTTCGTTCATGTTAATGCTGATATACAACAAGTTTCCATTGCGTTGCGTAAACGGACATATTTACGAGCCTATTCAAAACATTGCCATTCTGCCATCTTTCTGACCACGACGAAACATATAGACGGAAATACATGCTCGCCACAAGTTCAGCCAATCAAATGAGGGTTTTTCGGCGGTCTGGTCCACCATTTCTGTCCTATTGGTTTATCATTTCATTGACGGCAAAAATATTTCCAGCAACCAATCCAAAGCTACGGATGCAAAACGTCTAAAAGGGCAGCAAATAGACTTTTTAAACACCGTGCGAAAGGCGGGGTTTAGTCATTTAACAGTAGGTTGCGCTATGCGCTGTTGAGAAGTTGGTGCTATCTCCCGGTTACCTAAGTTCTTGCAGTTTCCTTCCCTCAGTAACTGTTGCTGAAATAAACTGATTTAGTTTTGTGTTTATTAAGGCGAATGGTCGTGTCTTCTACCATAGAACTGTTCATAAACTTAAATACCTTATTGATGCTTGGCTAGCTAGCTTTGGCTCTCCACTCACTGTCAATACCGTCACTAGCAGGGAGCTAGCCTAACCGGCTAACCACTTTTGCTGTAGCCTGAAGTTGACACAGCCGTAATCATCTTGAGGGAATGAACCACAAGAGTAAGAAACGAATCAAAGAAGCGAAACGGAGCGCCAGGCCGGAATTAAAGGATTCCGTTGACTGGACAAAGCATAACTACTGCGAGACTTTCGATCTTTCGCACCGGACAGTGAAGGTAACTGAATGCTTGGTAACTCACTGCGCTGTCAGCCAGCTAACGCTGCTCTCTAGCCGAAAGCGAAGTTAGCTTTGCGCGGCGTCAGTGTCAACCCGTTTCATGTTAGAATACCTGTTGTAAGTTTTCCACGTGTTTGCTAATAACACTGAGCAGCGGTGAGTACAGTGTTGCCTTCCAGCTTGCCCCACATTGCTGGTCGAACAGCGTCTGCTCTGAGTCTAACGGTGGCTTTTTGGTGGAGCTACGTTACTTTCTGCACGTACACCATGGCGAGGTTTAGCTACAGAAGCTCCAGAGTCTACGCCTGCGCCAAATTCTCATCACTTCTGTCCTCTCGGTTCAGTTTGTGTGTCAGATTAGTGAAACTGGGATATGACATAGACACACATTCTTGCCGTTTCGCACATATTTGAAATACGTTTTAGACCTTTTTGTAATTTTAAAGTGATAGTTAATTTGCTTGCACGAAACATACAGATTTTGGCTTTCTCTTAGCATTTTTTTTAATCAGAGGCCAGTAAATGAATTACACTTGTCACATCAGACTGTTCCTAGAGTACTATTCGGGGCAGTTTAGACACACTTTGCTAAAAATACTTAATAAAAAAGTCTAGTTAACACGGATTAGCTTTAGTATTATAGCAGTCTGAGCATATTGTGGATGTCGTCAGTACTTTATACAACGACCACTGTAATCATAGTTTTGTGTGGGGCATCACGTTCAGTTTAACTCGCATTTAGCTTTGCTGTCTATCTGTCGATTTATTTACGTTCGCTACACACATCTCCCAGCGCCATTTCTGTATGACACATACAGTGAGTTTGCTAAGTGGTTCAGATTTGATCATTGGAGGTGTTAAGAAGGGCTCTGGCCTGCTCAAGGCTACTAAAAATACTCTTAGCAATCTAAGCTTCAGCATTTCAGACACCGCATGAAGTAAACACATTGCCACCATTGCAGCCAGTGATTTCTTTTTTGTGGTTAAGTATAATAAGCCAGTCTAAAAATAAAATGTTTACTGAAATAGCTGCATTAATATATGAATGTGCAACCATAATTATAATGAAAATGTATTGGGAAAGACTGACTTTATCATCATTAAATTTCAGTATGGTGCTTCTTTTTAAGTTTATGATTGGATCATGGAATAAGCAAAACTCGTTAATTGCATTCACTTTAGATGAATGACTGTGTAAAGGAAAGGAAATGTTTCTAAGCAAAAAAATTGAGGGTTTGCAAATCTGTTCTTTACCTGCATTTTTTGCACTTTTCCCAGGTGATATGTACTGCAATTGATGTTTTTCCCTTTTGCCTCAGGACAATGTGGAGCGAGTGGACGCCCTTCGTCTGAGCCCAGAAGAGTTCATCCAGCGCTTTGAGAAGCCCTACAAACCTGTAGTTCTGCTGAACTGTCAGGAGTCATGGCCAGCACGGGAGAAATGGACCCTGGAACGGCTCAAACGCAAATACCGCAACCAGAAGTTCAAGTGTGGCGAGGATAATGACGGTTACTCTGTGAAAATGAAGATGAAATATTACGTTGAATACATGGAGAGTACGCGAGACGACAGCCCGCTCTACATCTTCGACAGCAGCTATGGGGAGCATGCCAAACGCCGCAAGCTGCTGGAGGACTATCAGGTGCCCATCTTTTTTAGAGACGACCTCTTTCAGTTTGCTGGGGAGAAGCGGCGGCCACCATACAGGTAACAGGCAGGCTCTTCGTTCAGCCATTTGTTTGCTGTCATGTTTACCAGATGACCTGTCAGAAAATGTGTTATAGACTGCACAATAATGATGAGAACAAGTTTTCTTTTTTAATACTGATGCTGGCATTTAAATTTTTAGAATCAGCTGATAAAGACTAACATTTTTTCTTTAACAACTTTTAGGCTTTAAAATGAGCAATTTTAATTGAAACACTTCACTTCAGATGAGGATCTAAAAGCAGGTTATCATGCTTGACCTGCTCACACACTACTGCCCCACAGGAAGAAATACACAGCCAACTACACTCTTTTAAATATTGTTGCCAAAAGGGTTCTTTGTGTGATGCCATAGAAGACCCATATTTTTTAAACATTTTTTAAAAATGTATTTTAAAGTTACACAACACATTTTGTTACTAAATTACTTCAAAATGCCTTTAGTAATTTAAGGATAAGGAAAATAATTGTAATAATGTTAATGTTTGTTCTCTCATTGATTCAGGGGAGGAAATTGGGTAAATTTTTGGCAGGCCAAATCCTCATGGGCCAACTTTGGGTGTCCCAGTTATAGTATCTTTCTTAATGAAGTATAGATTAATCATTTACTCTCTTTACTTTTCCCCTCAGGTGGTTTGTGATGGGCCCTGCTCGCTCCGGCACAGGCATTCACATCGACCCACTGGGCACGAGTGCTTGGAATGCTCTGGTTCAGGGCCACAAGCGATGGTGCCTCTTCCCCACACATACGCCTCGTGAGCTCATTAAAGTAACCCGAGATGAGGGTGGCAACCAGCAGGACGAGGCCATCACCTGGTTCAGTGTGATTTATCCCCGCACACAGCAGCCCACCTGGCCCGCTGAGTTCAGACCACTGGAGATCCTGCAGCGTCCTGGAGAGACGGTGTTTGTTCCGGGTCAGTTACTGATTAATGCTTGGTCGGATCATAAGAATGTTTTCTTATCACGCTGCAGGTTTGCTCTGCTGTCATTCAGGCATGATCACGTATTAAAACTGTGTGGTGAAATTATTAGTTTGTTATTGCGCACCTTAACAGCATCTGCCCTTTCTAATGAGAGATTTTTTTCTGCAGAGAGAGTGCAGTTATCCTAGAATTTGCTGTCATCAGAGTCTGTTGAATGCACAATTCTTGGGGGCAACTTTATTCCCAAACACCTTGTTACATAGTTTGTTTGCTCATGTTGAAAGTCATAGCCCTATAGGCAAAACTATAAGGTAATGCAGAGGGTGTGGTGGGCAAAGATATATGCTGAAACCTCAGCAACTTGTAAGCCTTCCCACCTTTTATCAATATGACCTTGCACCACATGCAAGTGTTATTATAGAATGCATGGCTGATGTTCTGTGTTTATTGACTGTAAATAACATTTTGTTAAGCAGTCCTGGTCTGTTTACACTTAAACTGTCTGACATGTTGAAAGTGTTAGCATAGAAGGCTTATAGAAACCTAAAGCACCGGGCACTCGTACAAATAAAGGTGTCAAAGATTTTATTTTTTTGCAACATGGCATAGAAGAACCATCCCTTTCAGTGGATTTTTCTTTTAGAGATGCATTTTTATAAATGAGATGTGTGAGTCTGTAGATCCTTTTTAAAGTTTAAAGAACTTCTACAAAAAGTAAAAGTAATTGGAGGAACCCTTAAATCTGTGTAGAAACTTTACATTACTTGTATGTTCATAAACCTTTAAAGATTCTTCACATTCACACATTCTTTTATCTGCTCTGCTCTGCCCTGCCCTGCCTTGTTCTATAGGGCAGTGGTTCTCAAATTGGTCCTCAGGGACCCCAGGCGGTCCACATTTTAGCTCTGTCCCTATGTATGGCAAAAATCTGGACTGTCTGTGGGTCTCTAAGGACAGATTTGAAATGCTGCTTTAGGGAGCCAAAAGTGGTACTTCTATGGTAGGAGTGTCCAGTCTTATGTGCAAAGGGCCAGTGTGGCTGCAGGTTTTAATTTCTACAAAGCAGGAGCAGGACTGGACACCACTGTTCTATGGCATCGCTCAATAGGTCATGATAAATAGCTATTTTATGATAAAACTTGTGACCACATTCTACTGTGAAATTTCTCTTTTTGATTGTGTGAAAGTGAGAATCTTTGTCTTTATCTTTGTGTTTTTTGACTTGTTTATTTTTTTGAAGAGAAACTTTTTGATCACCTTTTTAAATACAGCATGGTTTCCCACATTAGAGCTTCTACACCAACGTTGTAGACGCATATTCTTTGCTCTGGAATTGTATTAAAAAGCAGCATTTTTCAGTAATTGAATGGACCGCAGTATCAAGGAGGGTATCCGAGTTGGCCAATAGGTTTCGAGGTGAAACATGATACTGTTCCCCACCTGCTGTAGCATAGTCATGTACTCAAAACTCGCAAAATGTTTTCGAGGCAGGCAAAAGTCACAATGCTGCAAATAAAGATTATGGGAAAACAAGAAATAAATGGTATGATGAATTTTGTTTAATATGACCAGAACTAACAAGGTAAAAACCTGATTTCAGGATGACTTTAAATGAACATTCAGTAATGGTTGTAAAGTTTGTCGCTTGTCTCTTAGGTGGCTGGTGGCATGTTGTCCTCAACTTGGACACGACCATTGCGGTCACTCAGAACTTCGCCAGTACCACCAACTTCCCCATTGTTTGGCACAAGACAGTTCGTGGCCGGCCTAAACTCTCCAGAAAGTGGTACAGGTGAGAATAGTTCTGCGAGTCTACTCTTAAAACCTGTAGTGTCCTAAATGCACTCAGCATATCCGTATTTCTTTTCTCTCTTTCCCTCTCCCAGAATTCTAAAGCAGGAGAGGCCAGATTTAGCTGCTCTTGCAGACAAAGTGGACCTGCAGGAGTCTACAGGCATTGCTTCAGACAGCTCTAGTGACTCTTCCTCCTCCTCTTCTTCTAGTTCCTCAGATTCAGACTCCGAGGTACCATCCTGTCTCTCTAACCAATGACACACACACATTTACAAACCCAGCCATTCAGTGGGAGCTAGTTGTTGGTGCTGAATGGTCAGAATAATGAAAACGGACACATCCCATACACACACAGCAAACATGTACTTATGTTTTTGCACAGAGGTTTTTCTGACCATTCCTCCTAAAGGATTTATCAGATGCACAGTACTATGCAGAAGTCATAAGCACATTATTTAAAATCATTTATCTCAACAATAAGTGTGTTTTTGATATTTAAACACCATATAACATTAGTATAAAGACAGCAAAAAGTAAGTGAGCTAGTTTGAAGAACACGCAGGTTCCAGATGTCTCCTGGATGCCCCCGGCCATCACATGGATTTGTTCATTTCCATGATCAGTACGCTTGATTAAACAGAAAGAAGTATTGTTTAGCCAAGCCAGGTGTTGGGTAATAACCAATTTCTAAGCAAATAAATGCTTACTGCCAAATACATAGCTTTTACCGCACTACACAGAAATTGTGCGCAGCTGAGCCACACTTAACACTCATAATGTTGACTCTGAATTCCTGTGCATGTGACGTGCACAGTGTTGGTGATAAAATTGCTCAGTGTTTCTGGGGCCAGCCTTCAACTGGTAACAAGTGGGTGTTTTGAGTAAAGAGTAGGCAGGCAGGAAGTTGGATTTCGTGGCTATGCAAACTTATTTTTTAAAGGAATGGGAGCCAGTATAAACCGGCACTTGTCTGCTTTTATTCACTTATGTTTCAAGACACAAAATATTTTAATATGGACATAAAATAACAAATTCATGAGATTTTCACTGCTACAGACACTCGTATTAAACAGTAATTTAAAGAGCTAGAACCCAAACACTCACAGCTAAAACATTCAGCAAATAAAGGCTAATTTAATTGGCTAGGACATACATACACAGCTAAAGCACTGATCTAAAATTAAACTAGATCAAAGCTATACTCAGTTCAAACACAAGAAACAGCTTATTAAAAGAGCTAGGACTCCTTAACAATCGCAGCTAATGCCAGAACACACAAACCAATCAAATGCTATTTTAAGGGGTGAGCAATAAGATATTTAAGATAAACAAAGACATTTATAGGTCTTTGAGAAGGCAGCGACAAAGCACAATAAATCCAAATTACTGTTACAGTCCACAATATGAATAGTATGCTGCAGGTTGCCAGGTGTTTGCGTAGTGAATAGTAGGGGCTAGGTGTACCCAGTGAGGAGAAACCCACAGCAAACCAGTAAAAGATACAGAGTAATTCAAAGTAGTATTGTTAAAACCTAACACACTACAACCAACATCTGCTACCGTGCCAAACAGCGCAATAGTGACTTTCATTTGTTTCCTGTGCTATATGGCATCTTTGTTTATATACTGGGATCTCAATAAAAAACAAACATGTCATCTAATCCTATAATGATGACCATGACTACATGTATTTATCTATGCATTGAATGAGTTTATTAATTTAGCCTATAGCTAGGGTTGTCACAATCATGAAATTTTATATCTGATGATTAATTGTCATGTTATGGTAAAGAAATTCTTCTTCATTGTGGGCAACTATTACAGTACAAACCTAAATTGTCAAATTAGTTGATTAGCCATCTTGTTGCATAGTTAGGGCTACGTAATATGGCAAAAATATATCCCAGTACTTCAAGAGATCTTTAAGATACACAGTACATCATGAAATGTATATTTGTCTTACATCTGATATGTTGGAACAGAAAAAAAGAAACAGTAGGTGTGTGTGAGAAAATTGTGAGGGACAGCTGCAGCTATCACCACTTCACTAGTAAGAACATGTTGCTAAAATTTAATTGTCGTCGTCATCCTTGTTAGAAAGTCATCAAAAAACTAAAACTAGCACTAAACTCGTAAACACGACTGTGATGTCTGTGATCAGCTTTCCCTCCATTTTCATGTGAACGCAATGGAGCAAATCTTTAGAAGAAACCAAGGTTAATACAGGGAGAAGATTGTTTCTGGTTGTTTTGCCAGTCCGCATCACGGAGCTGAACTTCATTGCGTCATTCACATCACTCGCACTGTGCCGCCAGCGGCTGCTTTGCTGCTTGTCACTTAGCACTGCTGCCTTTTATTGAAACTGAATGACGCCTTGCTGCTTCAATAGTTTAGTCACCAGAAATGTTCAACAAGAGTGAGAAATGGATACTGTAAAGAAGATACTAACATTGTTTTTTTTGCATTCTGAAGGCTGAATCAGGCTCTGAGGGAGATGCCATGGCCCACCGAAGGAAGAAGCGGAGAACCTGTGGCATAATGGGAAACGGTGACATCACCAGCCAAGATGACTGTGTGAGCAAAGAGCGAAGCTCTTCACGGTGACATCCTGCCACATTTAATTCCATCAGAGGGGCTTTTAATCCCATGGGTCTCTCTCTCTCTCTCTCTCTCTCTCTCTCTCTCTCTCTCTCTCTCTCATATCCCCTGGAGCCTCTCTGTTTATTAAAGGTCTGCTGCTGACGTTTGTCTACTTGATAGCACTGTCAGCTCTGGTGTGCTGTCTGAATCCACTAGTAATGTGCTTTTAGTGAAAATCGAGATAAAAGGAAGGAATATCCATATTAGTGTTCATTGGGCCAGGTTGGCCTTAGCATGAATATGAATTAATGGGAAAAGGTGGGTGCTTGTTTTCATCTTCCACACTCCACTTATTCTTGAGCTGTGATTTTGCCTTATCATTTCCTCACTCATTTGATAACATTGTTCTGCCATCACTCTGATCATTATGTTTGTTTCCCAGTGTATAAATCATCTCAGAGGTGTTCTGGTTTGATCAGAATGGTCGTTCAGAGTCTCTAAAGTGCTTCATACATACAAACCCTGAGCCCGAAGATTAGTCTTTGGTTAATACGAGAAAATATATGAACAGTGCTGCTTTTAACTACACAAAACGGTAAGGTGGAAATGATCTATGAAATACAGCATGAATAGAGAATTCATATCATATGATTTTTGCATTTTCCCGGAGTTCACTTTTTTTAGTAGAGCTTGCAAAAACAAGTTGTCCAAACATGTTCACATATCTTGTTGGCTATTAAGTGGTCAGTTTTCTCTTACTATGTTATAAACAAAGAGTCTTTCTTTATGACCCCATATCTGTTTAGAAATTAGGCCATGGATTCGCAAAAGGCTGATAGCTCAGTAGTCATACATAGTTAAAAATGAACTACCTTTTTTTAGGGAATTTTTAATCCGTTCACTTGTGCAGACTTGGAGAAGTAGCAGCTTTCTGCAAACTAGTGGCTATTTAAAAGAGAAGTGCCATTTAATTTATGCAGTATTAAATATGAATCCCACTATTTTCGCTGTGTTTCTGACCTGTTTTTTGTGGGAATTCCACCCATTTTCCTAAATTTCTACATAATTCATAGGTAGAGGTGTAAGCAAAGTCATTCAGAGTGGTTTGATGTGAAATGGTGCATTGTAAAGAAACTTCACCAGATCATAGCTTTAGACATCTGGCTCCTGTCACCAAAACTGTAAAGATTTCTGACTCTTTAGATTTTCTCTGCAGTGGAGCGTTTCACATGAAACCACATCAAATGACTGTTTATATCTTGAATTATGCTGAACTTTTGAAAAACTGGTGCAGTTTACATTTAAAACTGATGAGATTAGTGTATGTACACAACTAGGAATTGAAATGATTGAAATGATTTTAACTTCAGGGAGAAAATAACTATCAGATACATAGCTAGAGATCACTTTTACCAGTTGAAATGTAGCTTTTGTCAGATGCTCAGAGCTCCATATTCAGGAAATATTTTAGATACACGACATTTAACACTAGGGCTAGTAGCACATTGCTTTAGCCTACTGTGATGTGCACAGGGCCATCTTTCAAAGCTAGCAGTCTCTGACTGTCAAATGAAAATTTTAGAAATTGAACAAATGCACAAAAAACAAAACATAACTTGTTAGCAGTATTGATGGTCTGCTATTCTCCTATTGCAGTACTGCAGAGACTGAACGGTTTTGTTCATTGTTAATATTTAATTAAAGTAATAAGCATTTTTCCAGAAAGAGCCAGTACACAATGAAGTACCTGTAAAGAATAATTAACATTGGTGGAAGTTTAAGATAGTAAGCCGTATGTTGTGATGTACGTTGATATGTTGCAGAATCTAGGTTCTTGTACTTAAACAAAAAAATTTGTTTTGTATATATGGAATTGTCTGTCCCCTGCAAAAAAAAGTGCCTATTTGTGCCTAATGGTTGTGTGGTTGCTCTAACTGTAAGGCTGCTTACTGCAAACTGCACCAGCCTCTCACATTGCCATGTTGACTGTCAAAGGAATGCTTCAGTATGTTTTTAATCTAATCTCTTTGCCTGTATCATGCATATGACCATGAACTACAATTTCAATAAGTTTCCCTGGACAATAAAAAGTACAGGAAACTTAGTGACTCTAAACACACTTGTAATAGAAGCCTGTGGGCAGTTGCTTCAGAGATTATGTTGAACGCTGGAGTATTCCTTTATTTTATGAGTGCTTGTAATGTATCCATGGTTATTTTCCAAATACATTTGGGAGACTAAAAGAATATTTACAAAACCCTCAAAATGACAGCCAATCTTTATTTCAGGGTTTTTCAGTCTTACCTGCAGGTTTTGTAGTCAGTCTTATACATGCTGTTGTTTTTAGATGGAGATGTGATAACTGGGCACATCCTTGTTCTGCACTTTCTCAGCCCCTGGGGTCAAGCAGTTTTGGCCTACTGGGCTTTGGGTGTGCAAAAAAAAAAAGACACCTTGCTGTTGCTTGGGTCAAAGGAAATGAATCAATATTGTTAATTATTTGATTTAATAAAGCTTTCTATGAATTTACAGTCATGAATGATTTTTTTTAATCATAATTCATTTAGCTTACGGTCCTATAAAAAATGTGCTGTCTTGTCCAGTTTTGTTTTTTGCACAGATTTTGTTTTTGTTGTTTACAGAGGTAAGTGGAGGATGTTGAAAAGGTGGTAAAAGACAGTGGTACTGGCTGTGTCTGAATAGTTGAAAACTTCCTTTTCTATCTGCTTTTTAATTTTGCCTCATCTGGCAGTCAAGTGGATCCACATGCTAGTCAGCTCCACCAGTATATTTAGTGAGGCCGTGGCCTCTTCACTCCCCTCACTATGTAGTCTGAATAAGGAAACTAAACTGCCTGCAAAATGGCCCATTTTTAATTCAATGTTTTTGTGAAAAAACAAAACATTTAAATTCATCCACCTAATCATGTTGTAAAGAGTGTTTCAGCCTGTACTGCTTTGTGAATGAGGCACAATACAAGTCAGCCAATCAGGACAGAAGTATATTATTATATTATATATAATATAATAATATAATATATATATATTATATTATATTATATTATAAGCATATATTAGTCTTGAAGCACAGGAACAAAAATGGTTTAATTCTAAGAGAGGCTGTTTCTGACTAGTTTTGGTACATAAATACATACAAACCTAAAAGTGAACTTAAGGGGAAATGTCAGATTTATATATATATGTGTGTGTATATATATATATATGTATATATGTGTATATGTATATATATGTATATATATGTATATATATGTATATATATGTATATATATGTGTATATGTATATATATGTATATATATGTGTATATATGTGTATATATATGTGTGTATATATATATATATGTGTGTGTGTGTGTATATATATATATGTATATATATGTGTGTGTGTGTATATATATATATGTATATATGTGTGTGTATATATATATATATATATATATGTGTGTATATATATATATGTAAAAGCCTTGGATCCCACCCTGATACTGGAGAACCCCTGTCCCACACGTTTTGTGTTTTCTTTCCTAAGTTGAGCTTATTTTTACATTGGGCTTGTTAATTAGCTGATTCGTTCATTCTGGTGATTTCAGAGCACAGAAAATAGCAAAATAATAAAGGAAGGGGTATAGCAGGACGAGGCTATACTGATAGACTCATAATGATATTGGTAAAGGATCATCTAGATGTCTTGAATCAGGGTTGGAAGTGAACTCTTCAGGAAGGCACATCTCTAGGAGCAGGCTTGGTGACCCCTGGCTCAATTGCTAGCTTGTTTACTACACAGGTGTCAAGTCGAGGCACAGTAATTACGGTTGTTGTGCTAGATAGGCTAATTACACTGATGTGAAATCTGTAGGTGTGAAAAAGTAATTGCCATCTCTGTAGGACCTTCCAATTACATGAACATGGACAGCTTTTGGAATACTTTAGTCTGATTTGTACAATGTATGCATTTAAAACTGAACCCTGACTATCACCAAGAGGTTGCCACGAATTTCTGCAATGCTAACAACAAAAGACGAAACAGACTTTGGGGGTTAGCCGAGCCCCAACATAATTTCGCGACTGAACCGTGACGTTGTGGGGACAAACCGTCCACAGCGAGGCGCTAATGCTTCGTTTTGAAAGACGGTCGATTTTCCCAAATGTTTTTCGACAAACCCTCCCTCCTGCGCTAGGATTGGTTAGTATTTCATATTCACAAGCGGCCGCCGCGCCTCATTCATTCAGAGGATGGTGCCAATTGGGTGGCCTGCCTGTTAGTAGGCGGTACTATCCAACCGGAGCACACGAGGGCGGAGTTTGTCGGAATACAGGCGGAGAAAAAACAACGTCCCCGCACACAGCGTTAACGCGAGGGGCGTGGCGCTGGTATGTCGCCTTCGTGCGTATCAGCGTGCAAGTGGGATGCTCTGCTGGTTGCAGATCAGCGCTCAGTAGGTTAATCTGCACTTCACGGGATTCAACAGCTTGCTGCCACTTACATGTTCCCACAACTTTACGTCTTTATACTTAGCCTCATCTAATTGAATCCTTTACTTTCTTTGCTCTAGTACAACTCGGCAATTATGGCTATAGACGCGCCTGTTATTTTATCCGCTCTCTTCTTTACAATCATCGCCATTATTGTTGCCTCGGCATTTTTAGCTAAAAAATCTGCACCAAAGAACGGCAAGCAGAAGCGAGAAAAAGAGGCGAGACCGGAGCATACTGCTGAGGTCTCTGAGCCCAGAGTGAAGCCCACCATAGCGGAGGAGAAAAGACAAGAAGAGCCCGTTTCAGCTCCTCCTGTCGTTGAGGAGATTGGAGTCGCAGATGAGCCCCCGGCTCTTGAAGCTGAAGTCGCCTCAGTACACCAGGCGCAAGTCCAGGTAAACTCAAAATGACCACGAATGTAGACTGGCAGGTAACTTTTTCCGAAAAGGCGAGGCTCCCTCAACACTCCTTCCAAGTACAAGTAAAACTAACCCACCAAAACCTTGAGTACAGTTTTAAAAAGTAGCAGGTAAAAAAAACTATCCTGTAGAAAAAGTGATTCTCCTGGTCTAAGATAAATGCTAAAGCTCGAAAGTGAGAAGTTAGCAGTCGAGTTTCTGTCATCATGAAATGAACCAGAATTAAGGATTTACCTAAAAGTGATTGGCTACAACAGAACTGTAAGAAGTAGATTCCTCTCAAATATACCAAAATGTGAGTAAAAGTGGGTCATTGTCGTTTGAAGATACTCAGAAGCATACAAATCAATGAACATGTTACTCAAGTAGGCAATGCGTGACTGAGTTACTGTCTATCTCCTCTATTTTGTCTGCTGTGGTTATGGTGTGTTCGTACCTTAATCCACAGACCCGAGATAACAGGGTTAAGAATGTCGGCTAAAGCTGCGCAGCGTTAATGCGACAGCGCACGGTTTCGTCTGCCCAAACAAACTGGGCTACAAGCTGTGTTACTGCTCACCAGCACAGCACTTTTGTGAAAGTTCGATACGCTCTGTTATGTTCACAAAGCGAGCCTCGATCCACCACTTAGTTAGTGAATGAAGACAGCGTGGCCATTTATGATTAATCTGATCACCCGTGGACTTTGTGAACCCACGACAGTCAGCCTAGTGCATGATAACAAGCAACCATAAACAGTGAGGTTTGTGTACGGTGTGATCACACAGCCTGTTTGTTCGTTTACCTTTATAGCCTTTAGACTACAATGTAAAACGTGATAACTGACACGGCACTGTGCGCCACGCCTCCTTACTCATCTGAATGCTCAAGAGGAAAAATAAGAACCAGTTTAAGAAATAATTGCAATCATTTTGCCTGTTTATTGCATTTTTTTCATAATCAGTTTTTCAGTATTCAGGCGCCATTTCTCTCAGAAAATGAGCTGCCTCCCAAATCACATACTGCTTCTCTAACTAGTCGTACTACTGAGAGATTGTTTGTAGTGTAATAGATATAGTAAAAAGGCAGTGTATAACTGCCTTTTTACTATATCTAGTATATATCTTAGTCATAATAGTGTACTGATTCTCAAAAATGTTTTGTGTCATATTGTCAAATCATTGGGCTTATCTATTGGCGTGGTTGTAGGACTGCATAAAATGTAGGACCAGCTCAGATCAGTCCCAAGAAATATTCATGATCTGTCAATAGAATGACATGAAGAAGATGCTCCCACTTGTAAAATGCACTGAATTCAACTGATACTTTAATTTAACATACAGTAATGTTGAATTAGCCTAATAGAGTCCCCTAAAGAAGACAGTGATTGAGTTGATTTAATATAATTTTATTGTTTATTTGTGTGTGTTTGTGTCCGTGTGTGTCTGTGTGTGTCTGTGTTAGGGCTGGTCAATTAATCAAATTTTATTTTCAAGTATGATTTTGGCTTCCAATAATTATGGAAACAGGACAGTCAAGATAAAATGATTATTGTGCTGCTTTGCGTTTCATAATGATGCTCTCATTTTGTATTGTGTTATAAATCTACGTACCCCTTTCCTTTACATCAGTGTGCTTTCACCCCTTCCAAAAAGCCTAAACTAATTGATGGTCCATTTGGTGTAATTTATTTTATTTATTATTCTTTAGATATGTTTAGTAGTATTAAGTAGCTTGTGAAAGTGTACTACAGCATAGTTGATCTATTTATTTTTATTTATTATTTTAATATATATATATTTTGAATATATATTTATATTCCGACTGCTGGGATAGGCTCCAGCTCCCCCCGTGACCCAGAAGGATAAGTGGCTCAGAAGATGTGTGTGTGTGTGTATTTATATTCCATGTGCCAAGAGCCAGTTCGGGCATCTGATTAGGATGCTCCCTGGCCGCCTCCCAGTGGAGGGTTACTAGGCATGTTCTACTGGAACGAGACCCCAAGGTCGTCTTAGGATCCGCTGGGGGGATTATGTCTCCAAGTTGGCCTGGGAGCAGCTCAGGGTCCCCCAGAATGAGCTGGAGGAAGTTGTGGGGGACAGGGTCGTTTGGGATTGTCTGCTCTCCCAACTGCTACTGCGACCCTATCTGGATTAACCAGTTTAAGATGATGATGATGTATTTCTGTATTGTTTATTTGATCAGTTTAGGTTTTTTACTGTTTTAAATTTGTTTTTCAGTTGAATTATGTTTAAAGTTCAAGGAAATCCACAGTTAAAAAGACAAGATTTTTTGAAAAGATCAGTAAAGGCATGATGTATCCATCAATCAATGGATAATCATGTTAAATAATCGTGATTATGATTTTTGCCATAATTGAGCAACACTAGTGGGTGTATACACACAGAAGCAAACAATTTAGGCATCATGGTCACATATGTGTTTATATAAAGCATGAATAATTGCATAAAACAAATTTCTCATTATTTAATGTGTGTAGGTTTATGTAGTTTTTATGTAGGTATGCAGGTACATGAGTGATGTGAAGATGTGGCCTATCAACGAACACACAAAATTATAAGATTTTTGGTATAAATAACCCCTTTATGATGGATCACTGCGAGTTATTAAAAGATTAGAAACATTTAAACAGTGAAACTTTCCTTATCTCTCTTGTTTTTTAAACCTAGAGTCAGTCTGCAATGTAAAGGTCACACTTAGGTGGAGATCACCTTGCTATGATATATTATATACAAAAAAAGGCATCATGTGAGGGTAGAAAGTGCATAGGCTGGCATAAAAAATAATGATAGGCAAGCCAAGCAGGACATACAGTCGTATGCCAAAGTTTGTGTGCACCTGGTCACATTACCTGTTTTGTTGATTTTCTAAGTGAAAATAAGTATACACATCCTTTATAGTACATTGAAAAGCATTGGAAATTACTGTTTATTTTCTGAATTTTACATATTGGAGAAAAACATAAAATGTGGCTTGTGCAAAATTTGAGAAAATATTATTAAGTTATTATTATTAAATATTTTTAAGAAGAAATATGCCATATTTATGTTTCTTCTTTATAGAGGATGTGGTATTTAGAAAATCAACAAAAGGATATTCAAACATTTGCACATGACTGTACTGTGTAAAAATGGAGTCACATAATTTTGATGATTTGATGATGAATGACGATTTGGAACCGATTTCTTTTGTAATTTTAACATTTTGTGTATTACATCTTTGTGTCAGGGATGTCCAGCTTTGATACTGGAGGGCCTTAGACCACACCTGATAGAACTCAATAGTTACGTACCAGGTTTAATAGGTGTGGTAGAGCAGGACAGTCACCAAACTCTGCAGGAGTCCGGCACTTCTGGACCAGGACACCTCTGATTTGAGCCCTTTGCAGGAACCTGCGCTTTTCTTGTGCCGTAACTAAAGATCCGTGTGCTCGCTGGTCTTTGCTGCAAGCTCTGTGCAGCATTCATTCTGGTTATTATGGAAAAAGAGGCATTTTTACTATGCTCTGCCTCAAGTTTGAGACAGAGCACCTCTTGTTTCTTTCACTTCCACTGTTATTAGACTGAGAAACAGTTTTCTTTGCCGGATACTAAATGAGGCCCTACTGTGTTTGGAGTCTCTTGAGCGGGAGCACTCCTGCAAATGTCTGCATTGAGAGGGCAGAGCTTATGAGTGGCCTAGCTGACCCGAAAGCTTGAATGGCACTCATACAACAACCTCTATCTGAGCTCTTGGGTTTTTCTGCTCTTCTATGGTAAAATAACTTTGCTTCTTTGGGCTTGGATTAGCACTTTCAGAAAGCATTGTCAAATGCAAACTACTTTATGCCATGTAGGGAGAGGTATGCAAAATGCCTTAATTAAGCAAAGTATAGGGCTGCAAAATATTAACCCATGCTACTCTGATGCTAAATGTTTATTTGTTCTTGACATCAGACTCCGCATGGCCCATATAAGGGATTTGAGGAACTTTCCTCCTCTTTCTGACCCTCTTGCCTCACATCACCATGTGTATAGTAGCTACCTCATGTTGCATATTCATGGCTTGGCTCACTTCTTTCCTCTCATTGTAGCTTGGCTGCATACTGGAATGTTGGGTGAGACCAGAACGTCATTTGGGTATCTTTGGTGTATATGTTGGTCACATAGTGCGTGCTACTTTCTACTTTTAGGCACATGCATGTGCAGTATGTAGTTGGCCACTGACTGTTCTTTACCACTTCTGTTAGTAAAATTAACATTCTGTAACATAACAGAATAATCTCATTTCCTAGTTGCATGCATGTTTATGCAATATTGCGCTTAGTTTTACTACCTCACCCACACTGCTCTAGTGAATGACCATGGTAGATGGCGTATATTCGGGGTATCAGTTTCCAGTCTTGGATTACTACAGCACTGCGGAGTTTAATATTTTGCCTTATTTAAAGCACCTGATTCAGTGCACCAGCGAATTAGCAAGGCCTCCATGACTTAATTTTAGAGTGTTAGAGGAAGGGAAAGCACTACGCTCAGCAAGACCTGAGTTTGACAACCCTGGCTTGTATGGTGGACCAGTTGCTCTCGCTTTTGAAAAAGCATGGGCTAGCAGCTGTCCATAACTGTCAGCAGATGCTTATACTCAGAATTGATAACATGAATGAATGAGATGAAACATTACCTTTACAGAGGCATTTTGAAGATACAGACATAAACACACAAAACTAATTATAGCATCATGTTCAGAAAACGTAGTTAATGGGACACCTTCACTGAAACAGTTAAATTATTATCATCACAGTGCTGTTTTTGCCTCTGCAGTTCCTGGGAGGTCTGTAATGTGTGTTATTTTGGATTGTGTCAGAGATTGGAGATTGATTGTGTAATGGGCTTCTCTTGGCCTGCCTCACTCATCAAACTCAGAGAATGGAGTGGACCTCTTGGCCTGACTCAGCTCTCCCCCAAACATTACACGAATGCCCAATCTGGATCAGTGAC